TTCGTGGTGACCGAAGGCTTTACAGAACTGTCAACTACGAACTGCCTTGTAAAGTACTGTTTCCGAGTAGAGAGGACTGAATACTCCAGGAGAAGGAAATATCAAGAGCAGATAATTGTTGGTTCACAGATGAATCTGTGAAACCGGAACCTTCCGGTTCCGGTGCAGGTGTTTTTAGTTGCAGACCCAGGACAGAGATATCAACCTGCCTAGGAACCTATGCGACTGTATTTCAAGCGGAAATTTACGCTATTGAATTGTGTGCGAAGAGATTGGAAGAATCCAACCTCATACACAAGTCAATAAAAATATTCTCGACAGTCAAGCAGCGTTGGAAGCTCTTGGCTCCTACCGAGCAACGTCTAAATTGGTAGCAAATTGCCAAAAACGACTCTCCTCGAGAACAAGACTTAACAGATTGTCTCTGGTCTGGATTCCTAACCATACTGGCCTGAAAGGCAATGAGGCTGCTGACTCCCTTGCATAGAAGGGTGGTGCAAGCAGCTACATCGGACCAGAACCTGTCACTGGCATCACTTTAGCTTTGCCAAACAAACACCTGGATGGAAATAAGATTCATAGACTTCTGGCAGAATCTTCAAGGATTGGCTCACTTCAAGGCGTTTATTCACCCTTCGAAGCTTGATACCAAACAGTTGTTGGCCTGCAGTAGGGATGAACTACGATGTCTAACAGGCCTTCTTACAGGTCACTGTTATTTGAATCATCATATGCAGAAACTCGGACTGTCAGAAGACAGTGTGTGTAGCCTCTGTTTGGAAAATAATGGAGCAGCAGAGCACATACTTTGTGTCTGCCCCGCTGGGGACCGAATCACGTTTTTAGAGTTCTGCAGAGCTGTACTCTTACCATCTGACCTGAACGACCACTCACCATACAAACTACTCGGCTTCGTTAAGAAGCTGAGTTTATTTGGTCGAGTGTGAATAGGTGTGAGCCATCATAAACCTTTGCGGGTTGCAGTGGAGGGTCGAGTAGACCTCACTCAGTTGGACCTAACCTAACCTAATAATTTTTACACCATGATCTATCGCAATATATTTCTATTATTTTATTTTTATACAACATTTACAATGGTTCATACTAATTGCACTCGTAAGTATTTCCGTCAATTCTAAAAAATAACGTTATTGTTGCCATTATCTGTTTGGTTATTGTAACGACACTTTTATCATTACTGATGTGAGCATAATTTATTTATGGTGTCAATTATGTTGGTGCATCAGATATGAGTAAATAAAGTTATGCTTCTAATGAACTAGATATGGAAAAAATATATCAGTACACCACCAAATTATATTTTTCATGTGCTTATATTCTACTCATAACTTTTTGAAATAATCGATGATCAGTTGAGAACATGAATGTAATATTTGGTAAAGAAAGGTTTTGCTTTCTACTCTCCATCTTCATACCAAAAACTGTTGCAATCTTTCAAAGAAAAGAAGAAATCAATAAAAGGTAAACTCTATATAGAAATGGGTAGATCATGCAAAGAAGTAACTTTCAGACACAAACTGTACCACACCGTCAGCGGCCATGGAGATTCTTCTAGATCTACCTCCTCTCCACATTTTGCTGGAGAGGCTAGATGGACCAATTGCACATATCAATTCAATGCAGAGTGCATTGGTTGGTTGACACTGGAAGTATCAGCATTCTGGAACCCCTGAATTTTGCCTCCAACTGTCAACTACGAACTGCCTTATGAAGTACTATTCCCGAGTAGAGAGGACTGGATCCTGCGGGAGAAGGAAATATTAAGAGCAGATAGTTGTTGGTTCACAGATGGATCAAAAATACCTTCCGGTTCTAGTGTAGGTGTTTTCAGTCGCTGACCCAGGAAAGAGATATCAACCTGCCTAAGAACCTATGCGACTGTATATCAAGCGTAAATTCACGCCATTAGGAGAGATTGGAAGAATCCAACGTCATACACAAGTCAATAAAAATATTTTCGAGCAGTCAAGCAGCGTTCGAAGCTCTTGGCTCCTACCGAGCAACATCGCTTTATCTTTGCCAAACAAAGATTGAACCCTTGGACGGCAAAAATATTTATGGACTTCTAGCAAAATCTTTCAGGATTGGCTTACTCCAAGGCGTTTATTCACCCTTCGAAGCTTGATATCAAATAGTTGTTGAACTACAGTAGGGATGAACTAGATGTCTAACAGGTCTTCTTACAGGTCACTGTCATTTGAATCATCATATGCAGAGACACGGACTGTCGGAAGACGTGTCGCCTCTGTTTGGAAAATTATGAAACAGCAGAGTACATACTTAGTGCCTGCCCCGCTGAGGACCAAATTAGGCTCTTAGAGTTTGGCTGTACTCTTACCATCTGACCTGAAAGACCACTCATCATACAAACTAATCGGCTTCGTTAAGAAGCTTGGTCGAGTGTGAATAGTTGTGAGCTACAATAAACCTTGCGGGTTGTGGTGCTCACTTTGGACGTGACCTAACCTAACATAATAATTTTTACACCATGATCTATCGCAATATATTTCTAATATTTTATCTTTGTACAACATTTTCAATAATTCATACTAATTGCACTCGTAGGTATTTCCGTCAATTCTAAAAAGTAACATTATTGTTGCCATTATCTGTTTGGGTATTCCAGCGAAACTGTTATCTTTACTGATGTGAGCTGCATTTATTTATGATGTAGATTATGTTAGTACGTCAGAATTTGATAAATAAAGTAGCTATGGTTCCAATGAACTAGATATGGAAAAAATCTGTCGGTGACTCATAAAAATATATTTTTCATGTGCTTACATTCTTTTTATAATTTCTTGAAATAATTCATGATCAGTTGAGAACATGGATGTAATATTTGGGAAAGAGAGGTGTGTAGATCATGCAAAGAAGTAATTTTCAGACACAAACTGGAAGAAAATTCTTCTGGAAAAAGCTACTTCCATATAAACATTGAATTACACAAAAAAAATCCTTTCGAAACAAATACTTTTATGTGATCGCTAAAGTTACTTTTTGAAGTATATGTCCGGTCAAAACTAGAACATGACATATTTTTGTGGTATCTTATTCAATGACAATAACACTCTATTGCGCTAAGATGTATAAAAGGAAAAATGTACAAGCAAGTCAAAGTTACATTTACATCAGATATGCAGTTTTTATGAAAACTATAAATTTATGGTTAGACTTATATCAGATTGCAGAAAATTATGTTTGCCTTATCAAAGTCTATATTATCAGCCATTCGTTAATGCAAGGTAGTGTCTATCATCAACACAAAGTCGATAATTTCCAATAATTGAAAATCGAATTCCTCGAACTGGGCTGAAGCGAACGACAAACAAGTTTGTTATCACCCCATCTGCCTGTGAACGAGGTAACCAACCGCATATCCAAAATTTGCCTAATTTCTCGTATAAGGAAGAAATGGCTATTAATCAAATTATCTCAAAGAACAATTCGTTCAAGCCAGTCTCTAATTATTTACACTGTAGGTTAATGGGATATTACCTGATACCTATTGGGAAGCTTCTTCAGGGCCTAAATTTAATGAGATGTGAATTTTTCGCCAGGCAAATTTAATGAGACATCCGCCATTAAATAACATTACAAATCATACTTACAGAAAAACAATTAATTGAACATATAAATTGACGAAAAGGTTAAACATGTATAAGATTTTTTGTGGGTTTGACAAATGTTAGGTTTTTCAATTTCTTTTCGAATGAGTAAATAGATCGATTTTGCTGAATGTCTAGAGTTAGACTATTATACAATTTCGTACCCAAATAATAATAGCTTCCAATGGATCTTTGTGTCCGAGGACATTGAAATTGAATGTGACGCCTTGTATTATAGTTATGGGTGAGTTTGACCGGATTATTTTTATTTTTATATTGTCTTATATTGGTTTTTTTGAAATATAGCTGTCTATATAGACGTCTAGTGCACCCGTTTCTTCATATAAACGTTCACTTAGAAATCTTGAACTTTTAACATCAGTTTAAGGAAACGCTTTTGAATAACCCTGAGTAGGCGTAGGTGAGTTTCAGATATTCCTCTCCATCCTAGAAGACCGTAGCTCAGGTGACTTTCAACTAAACTGTAATATATTTTTTCTTATTTCAGATCAAGAATGACATTTAATGGCCGGAATTTATGGAGAACAAAGCGAAGCTTTTTGAAGATCAAATTCACATGATAATCCTATCGCATATGTGTATCTATCATAATTCCGAGATATTTGTAGGTTACTTGGCAAAGTGAGTAGTTGAAAACTTGGCAAGTTAGTTTCATATGTAAAGGGTATAAAGAATGTTTTATCAATATTGATAGTTTGTAATCTGTTGTCAAAAAATATTTTTATTAAAGCAAGATCTACTTCCACACAGTTTTTGAGACTGGTCCAGTCTTGTCCCTTATAAAGAATTACGGTATAATCCGCAAAGCTAATTATTATTCCTTCAGACTGTATTGAAAATAATCCATTCACATAAATCGAGAAAAGAATATGCCCTAGCACCGTAACCTGAGGCACACCACATTCAATTTCTCTGAACTCACTGTAGGCTTCATTCATTTCAACACATTATTGGCGCTTATCAAGGTAGCTTTTGAAGAGTTCTAGACAATTATAATACGTTGTATAGCGTTCATGTTTCACTTCCATTACAAATATTTGATATACAAAGTGAATGATAGGAAGTGTTGTATTTGAAAGAAACTCATGATCATTGCATAATCCACACATCTTTGTAAAGGGTTTCTATTCGATGTATTAAATTTTTTATCACCTTTTCTTCGAAAGTTTCCGATTTAATATATCCATATAATGTTGGAGAGGTGGAAACCCAAAAATAGCAGAAAAACTCCTGTAACAAATGATTTCATCATCGTACTGCGTTTCAGAGTAAAATGCAGGTGGGAGAAAATATAACAAACATTGATGAAATATCAATAATCACACACAAGAAATAGTCTTATTATTGGAATTTCATAATGGTGAATAAGTTAACATGTGAATAGAAGGTGTGGTAAATGAAAATAAAATTGTAGCAAGGTTGCATAGCGGTATAAAACAAGAGTTTAAAGATAAATGACATTCATGTTATATTCTAGTGTCAGTTCACGGATCCTGCAATGAAGCTTATGGTAATTATATTCATTGGTCATTTATTTTTATAGTCGTTGTCGTACTTGTCCCACACATGATTGATAGTTGAGATTATATTTAGGGTTAGCATTTCTTGAGGGTGGGAGGGAAATTATGAAGTGTTTGAGTTATACAAAGTGTTATGCAGAAAAATGCTCCAGAACGCATATTTTCAATATGAATTTTGAAAAGCACCCGTGAAAATCGGCAGAAAATAGTTTTCACATATTTCGTTTCTGAAAAATAGTTTTTTTATAATACTTGTTTCAGAAGATCAAAGTAGAATATACCGTAATAGAAACATTATCTAAATTTCAATGCTAAATCTCATAACATATAACTAGGGATTCTGGCATAATTTTGAAATATTCAGAAACAATTTTTTTATATTTGAAATTAGCATTTAGAAGAAATTCTCTCAAAAATAAGGTGTTTTAGAAAACTTTTTCACAATGTTTCAAAAAAAAACTTTAGAAAAAATGTTCTTCTCGACAATTTTGAGCATTGTCTTGTCTGAAATGGAAAGCGCCAATTACTGAATTTCTTCATGAACTATACTAAATTCGAATAAAATTTGAAAAACGCTTCTGTTTCTTTTTAAAATCCTTGAAGAATGATTTGAAAACTGTGTTATTGCTGTAGAAATCAGTTGAAAATCCTTCGACATTGAATGGCATATCTGCATATTCAGTATAAACTAGATTTAGGTGATATTCCGAGTTGAAAATGAATAAATCATTTAGCTTCGCCTATTAGCATACTGAATAGTAATACACAATTCGTAGTAAAAAAATTGTTAGAAATGATCTACTATTTATTATTTGTTTTCTACAAATTCTGAAAAAATTTTTACAGATCTTGTTTCACTAACAATACACTTATCCCTAACACCATGATTCAATAAATAGCATATATTTATTATTATTATTATATATTCTACTGAATTTTTTAGGGATTGGAGCAATATGGAGATATTTTTATTTTATAATTTCAACCTGATTCATTCAAAATTATTCAATTCAACTATCAGATAGGGTCTTCGAAAATACATCAGTTTAAATTCAACCTCATCAATAAAATTGATATTCTCTGGTAATGAAATTTTGTGATTTTGATTCTGATAATTACTTCCACGTATTTTTTTTTCGATCCGATATCGACAATACCACCACTTTTTCTGCTTCAATTATTCAAGTAGTTTCCTCCTCATATATTTTGAAAATTGGAACATAATCGATTGGAAGGAAACCATTTTGATTTCAAAAAATATTATTCATTTTCGTGAAATATAGAGCCTTTTTTATCAGTATATGGAAAAGTTGAAAAATTAATTAGATTCTTATTTTAGTGTACACTATTTATTTACCACTATCAGTCAATGACCAAATACTACAAAGCAGTACGTAAAGTGAAATAGAACAAAATAGAACAATAATAATACAATTTCTCCATTACTATTGAACAGATGTATTCGGTTTGAGTTAACCCATTTGTGCCCAATTGATCTTTTTCTTTAAAACACAAATTTTTTAGAGTTTCATTATTAGATTTATGTAAATTAAAAAGTATTCTGGACAGAATTTTTTTTGACAAATACAAGAGAAAAATACGTGTACTCAAACGAGTACAATGAGAACAAGTGAGGTAAAATGTTATCTACGTAATATTTTTATTCGCTACTAACATTACTAGTGTGAAATTGTATAAAACAGTTTCCTTCTGAACATTAAGTTATGTTACATTTTTGGCAGCTCCACCTTGCACGTAAGTGGCACTGGTTGCATCTCAAATGTTTTTCTAATTTTCTTGGGTAGTGTCCTGTCCCATCATTCATCAAACTTCTTGGAATATTTCTTGAAGAAAGTCTAGATGACTGTGGTTTCCTATAACTTCTTAAATAGTGTCCTGTGATGGACCGTGTGAAATCTAGCAGATCAAGTTTTTTTGTGTTGACGAGAGCACATGTAATTCCCATGAGTTAACAACTGATAGATTTAGCATGTGTGTCCATAAAGGCCACCACCACTTTTTGTCTTGTACCGAGACTCTATAATTGCTAACTCCTGGTCTGAAAGGTCAACATCTCCTATCCCAGAATTGTAATTAGCAATCAGTATTGGTTGGGCCACATCAATTTTTGCTTTTGCCAATTGTCTCAGAGTAGTTAGCAAACCATGACTCGAGAAACATTTGTCGAAAAAAATAACATGGGCTCCAGATTGTTCAATGACTTGAATATAATATCCACTTCATGACCATCATCAATGTGATCTAAAGCAGTTCCTAAAGTTTTCCATAAAATGTTGGGGTGTTTATTGCATCGAAACTTCGTGATCTCGAATCCATTACAACTGAAAAAAGTATAATAACTCAGTGAAACTAGCACTATTTGCCTAATATACTCATATGAGTACACATGAAAAGAACAACGTCTGGAATTCCAGACAATATTTTTTTTAGTCATCCAGCTATCTAAAAGTAACTTATACTTACACTTTTCATCAATTATCACAGATATTCACAAATAGAACAACAATTTACTTTGTATCTTCACTAAACAAACAGTGATGCAATACTCATAATTTTCGCGGTTATTGATATGACCGTTATTATTTTACTTCGGGGAATTCTAACGGAAAACTAAGTTTCTACTATGACACCGGTTCGAATCTTCTGCATTTTGTCTATAAATGTCGCTGTAAAAAATTTAATTTCAAAGTGTACTCAAATGAGTGCGATGGTATGAAATGGGTTAAAAACATATTTTTCGTTGATAAATTCTATATTTGTCATAATTCAATCAATAACTTACCTCAACTTAATTGCCAAAAACGACTTTCCGCGATAGGAAGACTTAACAAATTGTCTCTGGTCTGGATTCCTGGCCATACTGGCTTGGAAGGCAATGGGGCTACTGACTCCCACGCAAAAGAAGGTGCTGCTTCATCGGACCAGAACCTGTCATTGGCATCGCTTTAGGCTTTGCCAAACAAACATTGAACACCTGGATGGCAAGAAGATTTATGGACTTTTGGCAGAATATTCCAGGATTGGCTCATTCCAAGGCGTTTATTCACCCTTCGAAGCTTGATACCAAACAGTTGTTGGACTACAGTAGGTGTTTGAGAATTTGAAGAAATTAATATTTATTTTGTTCCCTTTTTTAATGTTTTTTATTACGCCAATGTATATTGAAATAATTGAAAAACGTCACGTAATTGTCAAAAATTACTTTTCAAATTGTACAACTTTTACGGAATAAACACAGTTTTAGAAACTATGAGCAGCCCAGTTTCTCAGTAGTACAACGTAAGCGGTTCAGACAATAAAATAATTTGGTAGCAAAGAGTGATTACTACCATAAGAAACATAACAGTAGGGATAAACTACGATGTCTAACAGGCAACTGTCATCTGAATCATCTTATGCAGAGACTCGGACTATCGGAAGACAGTGTGTATCGCCTCTGTTTGGAAAATGATGAAACAGTTGTTCGGTCCGTTGTTCGGTCCGTTGGAGACCGAATCAGGTTTTCAGAGTTCGGCAGAACCGTACCCTTACCATCTGACCAGAAAGACCACTCACCATACAAACTAATCGGCTTCGTTAAGAGGCTGGGTTTATTTGGTCGAGTGTGAGCCATCACAAACCCTTGCGGGTGGCGGTGGAGAGTCCAATAGATCCACTCACTTTGGAGATAACCTAACCTACCTCAACTAGTCTTTTTGCCTGTATGAAATTTTATCAAACATCTCTCAATCTTTCATTCCTCAATTTCAAAGTGTGAAATCCACTTCATGAACACGACATATTAAATAGGTATATACAGTGCGGACGTAAATAGTCCCACCTCTTAACTTTTTAACGGGACAAGATATTGTGATCGAAAAAAAAATACGTTTACAATAGTGTTGCCGAGAAGGCGCTAGCAACTTTATAACGTTAAAAACACCTAGAGGCGACAAACAAAAAACTCTCAATTTTGATTAACTTATAGTTATAAGTTAACTTATAACTATTTCTTGGGAGTATTAAAAACATTGTGGTACAGTAACTTTGCTATTCGTAATCCGAGTTTTTTCTCAATTTATAACAAATATTGCGGTTAAAAAAAGTTCAAATTAAGAAAACAATCAAAATATTTTCAAATCAGTTGTTCCTTTATAATACAAGGAATTATAAGGGATTTACACTTTCTTCACTATTTATATGTTCTTTCGTCACAAAACATTTCAATTAGCTTCCAAAGATAGAAACTTAATACGCCAATGAAGCCAACTGAAGGCTTTCTAACTAATAATCTTGTTTACACATTAAATGCACTTTTTGCTCTTCAGTAATATTTGTAATTGACTTACTATATCTATTATTATTAACTATTTATAGATTATCATTTTATTATTATCATTACACTTTTCAGCTCTGGCTTCTAGCCCTCTCTGGCTATATCATAACAGTCCGATGCTCCCTGAGTACGATAGTCGCCAATCCTGGGGGGATTGGTGGTATTTATCGTGGTCCAAACTCTGAAACAGTTATCAAGGGACCAGATGGAAGTCTCATAACATCTCAGGAAACAGGTATATGCTTTCGAATTAAAATTCAGACTCGTACAATGCAAAAATATTGTGTTCCTAAAAACCCAAATTGACATAACGTTAACTTCCTTATTCTGATCGGTAGACTATCTGTAGGTACTTAATATTCAATTTCGAAATCAATAACTCACGGATAATTTGAAAGAGTCATTTTGAGCTTGCCAACTTCATATTTGAGCGTACTATTGCGTGAATTGAGAACCAAAATATCAATAGATATGATCAAGAATGGGGACAACTTCAGTTTATTGGTACTCAGATTTTATAAAATATTCAACAATAATAAATCTTGTGATGCACTGTTTGGAACCTTTGGTGTTGTAATGATGTAGTATTTCAAACCACTGAATAGTCCAATCAGTTAGTAATTGGTCATATTCATTAACTTATTTTGCAGATTGTGGGAGGATATATACCCAAAAATATATAGTAGGAAGAATTATAAAATGTCATCATACCTTTTTATCAGGTCTGAAAGTAACTGAACTTTTTGAATCGTTCAGTATGAAATTCAGCAGATAAATTACTTTTTATGTATCTATCCGTTATGTATCTACATAACAGTACAAATAGCGTTTTTCAAAAAACAAGTTTCTTTTACGGGTTGGCTGTTCTTGTTCATCTTTCACTGCTGTGCATGCTGTTTTTGGCTAGTGCATTGGCTTGGGATGTGGGGGTTGACCAAACCGGACATCGGATGCCTGCTTCCACGTAGCCCCGCTGAATACTATAATGACGAAATCACTTGTGGTTCTGTTATTTCCTAACTGAATGGCATCCCAAATCCCAACGATGGCTCAATCCTAAGGTGTGTGTATTCGTGCCGAGAGAATAAATGACACTGAGCCTTTCAGCTGTCTCTACGGAACCTTTGAGATATCAGGCGTCCTCTCGTCGCGTCGTAGCATCCCCTTGTCACGGTAATGCGAAGCTCTGCCGTGATTGACCTTTCCCTAGCTACTCATGAGACTTTTATTAGCAGAGTGAACTTAAAAATTCTTTCTGGCGCTGAGTTTGCGACTCCAACTGACCTCCATGTCAATTTAGATCAGGAGCGAGAGCTTCTCAATTCTCGAACTCCTGATCCAATAACTGAACCTAAAAAAAAATTTGGTGGTGAAGTCAAGAAACAACTGAGCCATTTCCTCAAGAGCGAGGTACCTTATGAAACCGCCTTGCACCAAATAATTGAGCGGCGTACGCAGAATTTGTCCCAGGTGGAGGAACAAACTCCCCATGAGTAGGTTAGCAAAAGTTTGCGCTCAAATGATTCACCAAAACAAGAGGCGAAAAATCCCTGCACGGTTGAATCTAAGGCATCGTCAGGTCTAGCTGACGTGCAAAAACCCTCATATGTGAAGGTTGTCGCGGGTATCAAGGTGGCAATCTTGCACCTTGACTATCCGACTACCTCATTAACGGTGAAACAGCAGCATATACTTTGTGCCTGCCCTACTGGGGACCGAATCAGATGGTAAGAGTACAGCAGAGCCGTACTCTTACCATCTGTTCTGAAAGTACAAACTAATAGGCTTCTGTAAGAAGCTGGGTTTATTTGGTCGCAACCCTTGCGAGTGTGCAGTGGAGGGTCGAATAGACCCACTCACTTTGGACCTAACCTAACCTACTAAAACACTAAACGATTGTTTATGGTTTCCACTCAACAGTCAGTAATTTCAAAGTCACTTAACTTTAACTTAACTTTCAATAATCATTTACAGCTGAAGCAGTTCTTTAAACATGGTACTTAAGAAATATTTCATATATTTTTTCTTTCTTCGAACGAATTTCCAAATTTGAATTGCATAAAAAGGATCTTACAGGTGTTTTATTCAACTATGAATTTTTATCTTCATTTACAGCAATATAATACTACATTATAACTTTTATATACACTTGTATATGTATATGTATTGTATGTATATGTATTGTGAATTGTTACTACAAGTCTGATTTGAAAACATACTGAATATCTATATTTTTTATTTTCACATATTTCGAAATTAAAACAATTCCTTATTTCACTGATCATAATAGTTTACAACAGGCGGCTCAATTCAAACCAACTCCAAACTGGAACCCATCATAGTAGCTGAATCAGAAATCGCTTCTCCAATCGCACCAGAAATAGTTCCTGACGTCAGCCCTGTTCCATTAGCTCCACTATCATCACCAGACGTTCCTATAGCCACTCTCATTCCGCCTCTGGAACCAGTCATTTCTGCCACGGTAGCTCCAATAACAGCTTCGGTATCTCCGGTTATTGCATCAGTCAATCCAGTAGTTGAACCTCATGTGGTGGAGATCATAGAACAGGATCCTCATATCATTGAAACCGAAATAGTCGATGCTCCAGATGTTGAACCTGAACTGTCTTCCGATCTGGTAGGACCGTCAGGAAGTATTTCTACTAGAGGATCTAGTTCCGTCGTTTCTGGTCCAGCTTCAACGACAATATCAAGTGAGTAACTTAAAATTCTCTCGTGAAGATAAATGAGTACCTGCAGGGATTTCATTGGTGGGGTATCAAATCCAAGTTGATTTTTTTTTGAAATTAAGAAAAATCTGAACTCGAGAAAGTCATCACTGATTGAATGTTGAAAAGAAATAGAGTAATTGAAAGTAAGAGTAATTGAAAACTATGTAGGTACCTTTCAAACCAACTAATTGATAAATTATGCCCTGAAAGTTCATACTAAGCTGATACTCCGACACTCCATCGTAGTTGAAAGTCCCCACTCCAGAAAAACAATACCAGACGGCTATACTTGGATCGATCTGATGATGAAGAGTCACACTCCAAAACTGGCCTAAAAGTTATCGTCGTCATCATCCTCATCACCATTCAGTCCGTTCTGAGTAAAGCTTATGAGTCTTCTTTTTTTATTTATAATCACCATTCACGTCGTCTTAGCTAATTCAGTTTTGATTTTTTACATATTTCACTATTTCTGTATTTCTTTTTCCATCGTTACATTTTCAGTGTTTATAGGTATTTTTCTATGTCATATTACCATCATGATATCGGTCTTTCTTGACTTTTTCGTTGGATATGTTAGAGGAGAATATTGACATTTTCAGCGATGTATTCAAAATATTTGAAACTTATATAATTTTATTTGTCGGTCGATAGCCGGTCGGTTTGACGTGGGTGCTTTGTTCACCCAATCAAACGACCGCCGTGTTAGTCAATGGTTCAAGCCGCAGGCTAAACGATGGATTTTCACTTGCTGTCATCCAACCCGTGTTAGGAGTCACACGTGTAAAGGTAAGACCTCGTTAGTCTTTAGCTCGTACAAGTTTCAACTTCTGAGGGTTGTCTTTCGTAGGGGTGCGACAGCTAGTTAACGGAAAAACATATTTTAGAGTCTCATGTGTTCTGAAACTCGCATTTGATCACCATAGCATTTGGTACAGTTTTCACAGTTCAATTTTAATACTTCGTTGCGGTGTTTCAGTTTTTTGTTTTGAGAAAACATACTTTTCAACTGTATTTTCATTTGAGAAGGTCACTTCAATACGTTCGTTACTAAGTAACATTCCAATTTTTTTAGACAAATTTTCTACTTATGGTATTTTTTAATATTTGGTGTTGACTCTTGTATTTTGGGAAGTGGAACTTTGATTATTTTTCGGATAAGGGAACTATTGTTTGGAATATGGCCTAGAACCCCACATTAAACCGCCAAGAAGTATGAACATTCATCCCGAGGATATTCTCGACAAAAACACCTGGTATGCAGACGGGTCGATAACCAAACATAGGACGAGAGCTAAAATTTGCAGTGCGTGAAGAAATCCTCATTTAAATCATCCGTTCGATCAGAACACATTTTTCATCCTGGCTGAAGAGTATGCAATCTTTCAAGGCACAAGGAACATCAATTTGAGGCCCAAACGAAGTAATCTGATCGATATTCATAGACAGCCAGGCTTACAATTCGAGCACTAATGAACCCAGAAGAGACATCCAGACTAGTCTAGAAATAGCGTGACGAACTGAGAAAATTGGCAGACGCAAATATATTGACTCTATACCAAATACCAGAACACTCAAATATCTTACAACAAGAAATCTGATGAATATGCCAGACCTGAATCATCTCCATACATAGGCCCTGAACTAACTGTGCAGGTACCAAAATCTTTCGTACGCAACCAATAAACTTTTTCCGTATCAAATTATCACGAAGTAAAAAACAGAATGTGAATTTCTGCCAATTTAAACATTTAGGATATAACACATGGGTTGAAAAGTCCCGTGCCTATGAAAGAAAACGTAATCTCCATCAAGAGCTACACAATCATTCCAGCGCCGCTTTAACATTTCAATACCTCATTTGCAGAACGATTCATCTTCTGCCCCAAATTAGGCAGCAATAGCCTTTCCATTCGAGCAAAATTCCTTACCGGTGAGCATTTTTTTAGGCCCGCGAACAGCCAGTAGTCGCTAGGATCCAAATCTGGCGAATACGGTGGATGTGGGGGCAATCCGAAGTTCAATTCATGTAGTTTGGCCATTGTTTTGATTGACTTGTGACATGATGCGTTATCATGATGAAACAATTTTTTTCTTTGCCATATGTGGTCCTTTGTTGATTGACAACTACCGACCAATAACTATTCCTAGTGTGTTGAGAAAAGTAATTGAAACATGTATCTATCAACAACTACTTCCTTCCTTAACGAAACATAATGTAATTAACAAATGTCAAAATTAATTTTGCCCTACAGCTTTCTTGGAAAATATCTATAGAGGAATTGACAAACGAAAATTTGTGGCCACACTCTTCTTCGATTTATCAAAGGCTTTTGAGTCTATAAACTCCAATATACTGGCCAAGAAAATAAGTTCAATTGGAATTCGAGGTAAATTTCTATCTCGGATTATATCTTACATGAAATTTCGAAAGATGTACGTAGAATGGGATAATGTAAACTCGAGTACTTATGACTTGGAAGTTGGAATTCCACAAGGCTCAGTCTTGGGACCATTAATGTTTTTACTATACACAAATGATTTACCACAACATATCGGCACTACTTCTATAGTTCTTTTTACCGATGATACTTCTATTTCCGCAGAAGCCGACAATCCTTTGGAACTTCAAGAAAAATTGAATGTAATAAGTCAAAATTTCTCAAAGTGGTGTTAAAGAAATAGACTTATGGTCAATGCAGAAAAAACAGTATTGGTACAGTTTCCTCCAAGAAAATATGTGGAACATCCCATACATGTTATTATAAATAACACGAATATATACCCTTCAGAATCCACAAAGTTTTTAGGAGTTCACATCGACCACTCATTGAATTGGCAATTTCAAGTTGACTACGTGAGTAAAAGACTTAATAGCAGTTTCTATGCCTTAATGCATTAAAAAAATACTGAGAGAAGAACAACTGTTAGATGTTTACTATGCTCTTGTTAATTCTGTTATATCTTATAATGTGGTCTAATGGGGAGATGCAACAAATATTAACAGGGTCTTTGTTGTTCAGAAACGAATAATTCGTATGCTTCACAATCTACGTCATACTGATTCATGTAGACCTGTTTTCAAGCAAAGGAAGAATTTGACAGTACCTTCTCTCTATATTTATAACTATCCGCTCTTTATGAAAAAACGTGAAATCGAATCAGAAACTAACTCCCAATGTCATAATTACTCAACAAGGCACGGGAATTTAATCAAACTACAACAACATTGTACAAAATGATTCACCATCTCTAGCAGGCTCCAAATTTTTCAATTGTCTACCTTCCGGCCTAAAAGTGTAGCATCAATTTTAGTATTCGAACGGAGAATCAGGGACTATCTCGTAGATGATTGTTTTAACAATATTAATGAATGTTTGGAATATCCACATTCGCCAATCAACAATTAATATCATGTCCGGCATTACCTATTTCAGCTATTATGTACATGTATAAACACTTATAATTGTTTATTTTAAACAAGCACTCTCATGTGTTAAATTTATGTATTTTGTACTAATGTTTATATACATTTCATGTTTTTCACCATTGACGACTCCTATATCATTGTAAAGTGATCATTTTAAGGAATAAAGATATTGTATTGTATTGTATTGTTCCTTTGCAATTTCGGCCTTCAAACGCTCCAATAATGCTATATAATTTTCACTCTTGCTGTTTCCCTTCTCAAGATAGTCGATGGATATTACACCACGCTCATCCCAAAATACCGTGGTCATAACTTTTCCAGCCGATTGTTGTGCTTTCGAGCGCTTTGGATAAGGTTCACTAGTTGGTATCTTCTCAGATGACGATCGTTTTGATTCCGGAGTGAAGTGATGAATCCATGTTTCATCCATTGTCACATATCGATGTAAAAATTCCGGTTTGTTATGTTTGAACATGGCCAAACATTGCACAAAATCATCATGACGTTCTTGTTTTTGGTCACTTTAGTCACTTTGAACAGAGCTTTCTTATAGTCAAATGCTCATGCAATATGGAGGCAACACGTTCTTTTGATAGCTTCACAATGTCAACTAACTCGCGTAACTCCACTTTTCGACCATTCGAAGTGAGTTTGGGGATTTTTTTTATATTTTCTAGTGATGCTGCCTAATTTTGGACATCCACTGAAATATGCATCATTAGTGTCTCTACGACTACGTTTGAATTCAACAAACCAACAATTGTTATTTCTGATGGAGCGGAGTCCTCATAATACTTTTCAAGCGATTGCTTCGCTTGAACGATATATTTTTCCATCAAGAAACATGAAATTGTTTTTGATCCATTGTTTTGAAAATAAAAAAAATAGTGTCACTCTTAGCATAATAACTCACAAACTAATAAGTCTAATATCATGAAATTTCAATAGATTTCTTTTGGAGGTTAGTACCACACTATACTATATACAGTAATTCCACTTCGGGTGATTTTTGGTTCGAATTTTCTACACGCAGATCCAGGAGTTGCAGCCTCAGGTCTGCGCAAACGACGAGTTCAAGACAGGCACGCAACCCTTCCATAGTTGTCGAATTTCATGGGTTTCACCCAACCTATTGTGAAATGGAAATATATTTTGTCACATCCGAATATGAACATCTGCCGATCCCATGAATTTTTAAAATTTATTCGAAACATAGTTCAGCATTGTCCAAATGATCTGGGTTACTTGAATATTACACAAATGCAAACTTATCATTTGTACAATTTTCTAGGGTGCCCAACATGGTTTTCATCGACTGTATTTTTTTGAGCAGTTTATATGAATAGTTGTTATGTTGAGCAGTGTTTAGAGATTGTAGTAGGGAGAAATGTCATTAGTGTCAAATACGTCAGCATTGTAAAAACTGAAACTCCTGGACACCAACATCTGGAAGTCATCTTGAATTTAGACAGGTTGGAGCCTGGCTCCCCTACCCTTTGGACTCACCAACATCTAAGTGGGACTACTGTATATAAGTATACTGTGTTAGAACTAACTGAAGAAGCGCTAAATGTACTAAGACTTGCGCCATCTATGTGTCAGGCCCGAGACTTTTCAGCTCGTGTAGTTAGTACATATGTTTACAGTCAACAGGAGAACTTCCAATATTCACAATGTGAGGGAGCCGGTTCCAAATGACATATTTGCTTGAAAAAAAATTATTATGTTGATAATTTAAACATTGCCATCAATATATGTAGTTATACATAGATATATAAAATATTTCCTAATCAATATTTGTAATTCGATGAAAGCTCTGATTAGAATAAATAATCAGAATTGACGTATAAAATGTATTGAAATTTTACTTATTTTGTATGAATACATTTTAATTACGTTTATCATGAATTGAAAAAACATTATCAGAATTCCATGGAAATCAGTCCAGAGTTCAATAAATACGAATTACAAAGTGGAAAATAGTGGATCACCTTCTTTTCAAAATTGATATATTTATTCATGAAAATGATGCATATTTACCAACTGAATTTTTGAAGAAGGTTTTTGTGTCAACAGTTACCTAAACAGACTCATTATAATGCAGTAGGATAATACGTGTAGGTTTTATGCCATAAAAAAGGCATCTGCTTTCGAAAGAAAGTCATTCTTAAAAAAAAAAATCTCTTCTTATATGAAAAGTATCAAGTATTGGAAAAAGTAGCAGACAAGAAACGTATATATTACCGATATTTCGTCAGTCTGTTATCGTCAGGGTGAAACTAAAAATACTATTAGGTTAGAAAACAATAAGAATGAGATTAGTAAATACAAGGTTGTTCATATAATAGATGTTCATGTAATAGATGTTCATAACTACATTAAAAACTGGAGATATATCCAATATTTATGATCAAACAAAATTTTGTGTTAATACACATGTCAAGAAAACATTGAGCACAAATACGCCAGAACAGTAAAGGAAGCAAAATCTATTCGAAATGTATTTTTCGTACTAATTTCTGAAAAGAATATTTTGGAAAACCCGATAAAAGGGTTCAAACAAAACTTTGTGTTAACACACATGTCAAGAAAACATTGAGCACAAATACGCCAGAACAGTAAAGAAAGCAAAATTTATTCGAAATGTAATTTTTCGTACTAATTTCTAAAAAAAATATTTCGAAAAACCCGATAGAAGGGTTAATGTGAAAAGATCACAAAATACAAGAACTCAAATAAACTATCAAGAAGGAGAATTAATTGACAGAAAACATCTGACATCGAGAAAGAACAATTTTTCTAGTTTGCCACCGTTACTAATTATCATCTTCTAAAAGGAGAGGTTTCGACATCAAATTCATAGATTTCATGCAATGCTATTCTAAAATGAAGAATTTTGAAATCTATATGATATGTATCTAGCAAAGGAAAAAAAATAATTTCACTCAAATCATTGAGATCAGTTTTTTTCATTAACATATTAATCAGATTGTAAAATCCAGGCCATCTCGAGAAACAACCTCACAATATGGCCGATTAAGTTGACATACTCACCTTGAGTACATCTATTAGGAGCTAGGCTGCAGTCAATTTTATGGGATGTAATTGGGTCTTACAAAAATCTTGATTGTCCAATGTAATTTTTCCGCATTCAGAGTAAGGAATTGAATATATAACTTCCCTATCATGTCACAATCAGTTATTGAGAATGCCCAACAGACTTAAACAGCTCAAATATATGAAAATAATATTGTTGCACTATGAATTTCTAAAAATAGCATATAGAAGGCAATTATTACTCGCATTAACCCCCTTGTATATTCGAATACTTCAATATATTTTCAATAAGTCATCTCGAATGATTCACAAACATTTTCTGACTTGCTAAAACAAATACAGATAATCTGAGTTTGTGTAGGTATTGCAAACAGCAGTTAAAACTGGGAAAATCAACACTTTCCAGACACACAAGAATGAAACCTCTTTTCTTTTCAGAGCCTGCTAGAGTGGTGATAGCTGCACCTGTCCTGCCTATTGTTCCAGTTATATCATCGGTCACGACCCATCTACATTCCACACCATACGTTGAAGTTAACAACGAAATTCCTCTAAAATCAATTTCCAGAGCAACCGTAGCTGCCGATGTATCGCTTGTTCTATCAACTATTGCTCCCATTGGGATCAGTACAGTATCCACCTTGGCACCACCAATAATCAGAGATGTTTCTAATGTGGAAACAGGTCTGAGAAACACCGGAATCAATATAGTGTCTACATTATTACCACCAATAATTAGAGATACTCCTCCCATAACTGGGAACATTGGAGTCAACGTAGTGTCTACGTTAGCGCCACCCCCTAGTGATTTGGGTAATATAAGAGGTTATGCTGGATCCAGTTCAGTTTCTTCAACAGTGAGAGATTTTCGTCCTGTGGTTTCCTCTACAAGTCGCCCACCAGAATTTTGGAACCCTGATATTTATGAACAAGTCAAATTACAGGTGCCAACGCCTCTTCCCGTAAGTAGATTCTCCACTGCTCATAACAGAGTTTTGGCAACCCCAGCCTCACCTAACAGCTTCAGTGAAGACAGTAACATTGTTCAACCAGCTTCCTCATATGGGTTCATTGATAATTCAGCAAGATCTGACCAAGATTCCTCAACGTTCTCGCCTGGAGTTATTTATTCATCAACTGTGGGACCTCCGCCTATTGTCACCCACGACACTCCAGTTTCAAGTGAAAATATACAAGGCCTAGATGAAAATCTTCAAAATACTAAACAAATTATCAATACCAATGTTGGAGCCAATTTACAACCAGGTTCTTCCAATGAATTTATTAGAAATTCGCCTTTCTCCGGAGAAATTTCTCCTACCCCAAGCCCTAGAGTAATATATTCATCAGAATTCCCGCCAGGATCATCTTTTGGTAATGATGTTGCCTTGCCGGATGGAAATATTCACAGACTTGAAGAAGCAGTTGTAAGTAACGGACAGTTTTTTATTGACCCGACCAACATTCCATCACGAAATATCATACCACCAGAGATAGGTCGTCTTCCACCTGTTTCCAATGGAGCTACAGACTTGGGAACAACCGTACAAGTTTCTTCAGTTCCAAGAGCTCCTGAACTACTCTCGCCTGAGTCACCCAACGTTCAAAGAATCGATAACGCAGGAAATGGAGCAGCTTATAACTACAGGAACATCCCTGATCGAAGTGAAGAGAATCTGCAAAACGAGATAATTCTTTCTGATTCCGGACGGGATTTGAGTAATGAGGTATATCAACTGCCGGTTGGATTTACTTCCAATGTTCCCCTGTTGAGAAACACGAATCCTATAGTTGACAGTAGAGATTTTCGAAGGCAATTCGCACAAGTTCAATCACCTCTCGCACCTGATAGTGGTTATCCTCTTAGGCCAGGAGATTATGATGACAGTGGTTCTGTTAATTTATGGAATAGGTATGGCCGTACGGCCCAGCATAAAAACCAGTGAAAGTTTTTATGTTCTCGGTGATTAAGACTAGTCAGTTCATACAAAGAGGTGGGGGATAATTAGTCTGGCACTGTTATTTGTGTCTGCAATTTCATATTTTGTGTTCTTATTATAATTTATTTGAGTTTCAATAAACTATATATGATCAAGTTCTTTTATTTTTGAACCTATGAGTTACTTCACAATAAGATTCAAAGTCAATATCAGATATTTTATAAAAGAGTCGTAAGGTTTAATTGTCTCCCTCAAAATTTACACACAACACAAAATACTACCTAGAACAGATCACTTCTTGTAATTTTATTATCATTTCATCTCAAAAGGATCTATTTCGCTGCATTCATAATAAGACAACTCTCAAGTTTGTGTTCTGAGTAAGGGCATTTATCGGATGATAACAGACTCCTGCAATTCTCCGGCCAAAATTCTTGTCAAGACATTATGACCTTCAGGTTGAGACTAGGAAAAGTTTCATTTCTCTAAGAATTAGTAAACCAACCACTTTAACATTAAATTAAATTGAAAGGGTATACTTTCAAAAGCGATTATTTTTTGGGAAAAAAAGGTTTTTTATCCTTCTACTTCTCCATCTTGATACAAAAATGTGGGAATCTTCCAAAGAAAAGAAGGAAGCAATCAATTCAAAAATTAACTCTATACAAACATGTGTAGATCATATCATGCAAATATGTAACTTTCAGACATATACTGGAAGAACAGCTATTTTCATATAAACATTGAATTATAGGAAAGAAAACTACAGTGGGGCCTGGGTAATCCGGACTCCCGTTTGTTCGGTGATCGCTGTAATCCGGCCGGTTAATGGGCTTCTCGGGGGAGGCGGGCATTAAAAGACAAATTGCTAATTATAGAAACGTTGGATAAAAGTGACAGCTACCCTGTCATTGCTCGGAAGTTTGGTATAGGCAGGTCAGTAAGCGACATAAAGAAGAACAAAGACAAAATCCTTGAAGTTCGTTAGCCTAACAGAAAGTGGTCCCAAAAAACACTGAAGAAATCGGAAAATCCTGTTTTAGAATATGATTTGTTTAGATGGTTTTTGCAACAAAGCTGATTGCATGTTCTTATAAGTGGTGATATAATTTGTGAGAAAGCTCGCATTTTTCATCGCCAGATTACAAACTTCAATATCGAGTTTAATGCAAGTCGGGGATGCTTAGACAAATTTTAAAAAAGCCACGGAATAAGACGTAAAAAAATGGCCGGTGAAAAACTGTCAAATGATGAGGCCGCTATCAGACCATTTCACTAGAGTTACAGAAAGTTATTAGAGAAAAAATTTAACAGCAGCATAGGTTTGCAATGCTGACGAATCTGGATTATACTGGCGATTATTACGAGATCATACTTTAGCCTCCAAACTTCCTCCGGAAAGAAAATGATAAAGATGAGAGTGACATTCATGCTCTGTGCAAATGCGGCTGTAACCCGTAAACTTCAATGGTATGTTGTCGGAAAATCAAAAAAATTGCGGGCATTTAAACACGTCTTCCTGTTTGTTATCGTGCACAAAAATGCTTGGGTTACGAAATACTTGTTTCTTGAGTGGTTTACAACAGAATTCGTTCCCGCGGTCCGTCGCCATCTTTTGTCTGTTAATTTGCCTCCTCAGGTACTGTTATTGTTAGATAATTGTCCTGGGCATTCATCAGCACATGAAATTGTCTCTGAAGACGGCAACATTTTTGCAATGTTCCTGCCACCTAACACCACGGCATGTATACAACCAATTAATCAGAACGTTATACAAAATGTGAAAATAAATTACCGAAAATCACTTTTGGTTAACTGGCTTGCATTATGTTCTGAGAATCTCATGGACACGTCAAAATCGATAACTTTAAAGGACACAGTTTTTCTTTTGGCTAATTGCTGGGCCAATGAATATTACTGGAGTTTTTTTCCTGGGCCAATGTTAAGGAATCGCTAATTAACAAATCATGGAAGAATTTGCATCCTGGATTTCTCACTAATAATGACAAACCAGAAGATTATGTTCCTTCAGCCCAACTTTTTGATAGGTTGAGTGGACCCAATGATTCTCAAATAAGTGAGGCAGAAGCTCAAGAAGCTTTCAAATGAACTGAAGAAAACGAATTTGATAGCCACGAAGTTACGTTTCTCCGTCAACTTAGAGACCGGGCTTTTGGAATGAAGTGCGAAAATTATAAACAGAAGAATATTACAGACTTTTTCAAGAAGAATCAACTTATGTTTTATTTTAACTTACTGTTTTTCTTACATGGTTGTAATTTTGAACATGTACATTTCAGTCTTTATGCTTTAATTTAAAAATTGATTGAAGAAACTAAGGTTAAACTTGTGTTTTATTACCATTGAATATGGCATACTATAATCCGGACGCCTCGATAATCCGGAAAGGGTCTTGTTTTTGCCTCTCCGGATTAACGAGACCCTTCTGTACTTTCAAAACGAATACTTTCATATGAACACTGAATTATACGAAAAACATTTTTTCTATTCAATTTGTATTCCAAACATTCATAATGGAATCGAATCAGATACCATTTACAAGATTCCTACATAATATAATTGATGAAAGAAGTGAAACTCCACTTGCATGGAATACCGGCATCCACACTGGTAGACATTCGGATGTTTCGCCTAAGACACTTGCCTTATTGACGGGTAGCTGTCCTTGTTCATCTTCCACTGCCTGAACCACTGTGCATGCTGTTTATGGCGAGTGCATTGGCTTAGGATGTGGGGGTTGAGTAAACTGACCAGCGGATGCCTGCTTCCACGTAGCCCCACTGGATATGGGAATGACATAATCACTTGTGGTTCTGTTATTCCCTAACTGAATGGCATCGAAACGATGGCTTAATTCTAAAGTGTGTGTATCCGTGCCGAGAAGATTAATGACACTGAGCCTATCAGCTGTCTCTACGGTACCTTCGAGATACCGGTTGCCCTCTTGTCATAGCACCGCCTTGTCACGATAATGCGGGGCTCTGCCGTGATTGACCTTCTTTCCGTAGCTACTCGTAGGACTTGTATGGACAGAGTGAACTTAAAAATTCTTTCTGACTCTGAGTCTACAGAGGAGATGGGTGTCGAATTTACGACTCCAATTGACCTCCCTTTAAATTCATTTCAGGAGCGAGTCTACAGATGGGATAGATGTCGAGTTTACGACTCCAATTGACCTCCCTGTGAATTTAGTTCAGAAGCGAGTCTACAAAGGAGAAGGATGTCGAGTTTACGACTCCAACTGACCTCCCTGTAAATTTTTTTCGGGAGCGAGTCTACAGAGGAGAGGGATGTCGAGTTTGCGACTTCAATTGACCTCCATGTAAATTGAGTTCAGGAGCGAGAGCTTTTCAACTTCCCAACTCCTGATCCAATAACTGAACCTAAAAAGAAAAGTTTGGTGGTGCAGCCAGGAGACGACTGAGTCGTCTCCTCAAGAGCGGGGTACCTTATGAAACCGCCTTACACCAAATTCTTGAGCGGCGTACCCAGAATCTGTCTCAGGTGGAGGAACAAACAGCAGATAAGCAAACGTTTACGTTCAAGTGATAATTCACCATAACAGACACGAAAAAGCCCTGCACGGTTGAATCTAAGGCATCGTCAGGTTGTCACGGGTATCAAGGCGGGAATCTTACACCTTGACTATCCGACTACCTCATTGATGATGAAACACCAGATCATATACTTTCTGCCTGCCCCGCTGGGTACCGAATCAGGTCTTCAGAATTTGGCAGAGCCGTACTCTTACCATCTGACTCAAAAGACCACTCACCATACAAACTAATAGGCTTCGTTAAGGAGCTGGGTTTATTTGATCGAGTATAAATAGGTGTGAGCCACAATAAACCCTTGCGGGTTGCGGTGGAGGGTCGAAAAGACCCGCACTTACTTTGGACCTAACCTAACCTATTGGCTCTGCAGTACCAAATACGGATAACATTATATGAACGAATTGAGTGTTTTTTCACAAAATATTATCCGTATTTGGTACTGTAGAGTCAATATGACAAGTGTCTTTTCTTCCAGTTTGTGTCTGAAAGTTACTTATTTGCATGAAGTACACATCTTTGTTGAATTCACTCCCTTCCTTTCTTTGGAAGATTCCCACATTTTTGTATCGAGACGGAGAAGGGCAAAAACCTTTTTTTCCCAAAACATTAAATTGTACTGTTTGTTGTATATGTGAGTTAAACAATAAGTACAGTTTATGCAGCATGACTTCACTCATAAGATTCACAGGGGATAGATTAAAACAAAGTTATGATTTAATCAATTCTAGATATCAGCATAGCACGTTAGTGTTGCTTTTATTTGTCGTTTGTCCATCTAAGGGGTTAAACTATATTGTATGAGCTACAATGTCAATAAATTCTATTCTTCTCATTCCTCACAATATTTTTTCACTCCGCAACATGAAGCGTACAACATGAAGAGTCTAGTACAATCAAATCATGGTGATGGATATACCATACCAACAGCAAATTAATGATAGTATCAACAGGCTGTATTCAAATCATCAACTGCGAATGTTCGGTTTTCTTATTATTAAGTAACTAAGGAATATACATGACAGAGTATGTATATCATACCTATAGAAATGGATTGTTTCAATGAAAAACTTATATTGACATCTCCTCAGTCTTGGCAGTTTTCTCAAAATCTCACATGAATGGCATTTTTCTCACTGGACTACAATTCATAGAATAAAACACACGTTTCGAATGCAAAACAACAAAAATACCGATAGTTACAACACAAAAATGGCTAAGATCCCTGAGCAAGCGCAGTGAGCCAAGAATGACAGTATTCTGCATCTGTCCGGCTAAGATTTCTGCCTTAGTGCGGCAAGCCGGTATGATTTCAAGATTCGAGAGTAGAGAGGGCATCATTCCACCAAGGACACCAATATTCAGAACAACCATCTTGACAGAGTGATCTGGATAGAGTCTGCGGAGTTCGAAGAGAAAATCTCGATATTTTATCCGTTTTTCCTCCTCTTTTCTGATTCGAAAACATTACCGAGTTTATCAGCTGCACGGGCATCTGCCCTAAAGAGAAATGCTTCCTGCTCTCTCATGGTCACGGACAATTCAGAGAAGGGGATTCGAACTTCTGACGACTTTACAGGCTGTATCCAGTACCATTCTGTCATGTAGACACTTCAAACTCAAAAGTCCACGACCTCCCTGTTGTCGGGGGAAGTACAACCGTGGAACGGACCATTTGGGATGCAAACTCCTATAGAGATGCATCATTTTTCTGGTCTTTACGTCGAGTTGATACAGCTCCTCCCGAGTCCACTTCACAACTCACTATTATTATTATTATTATCATTCCCTTCCGACACAACAATCATGTTACCTACCTACATATATGTGTATTCAGGTACATACTTCTACACCCTTGCAATATCAATTACTGTTGTATTGTTGCATATTTTTTTCCATCATACTAAAAGGAATCAACCAATCATTTTCTTCTAAAACCATGTACGAACATGTGATCATACTAGAAACATTGCGAAATAAATAGTAAAAAAATGCATTAAACTGAAACGGTCTACTGATTTAACCGCGGTTCACCTTGTAAGTTACGCATTACATTTTTACATTTGAAAATGAAGGCGTCGTCTAGGGTGGAGTACTGCATAACAATAGATCACGTTTCAAGTACCTGTTGGCGTGTTACGCTTCATAAAAGGCTTCATTAACTGGAATATACAAGGTGGGAGTTCGAGACAGAATTTTTCAGTATGAATCTTCCGTTTCAAACAGTTGACATGGGACGGAATATCGAATAATATCAAAAAATCCATGGGCTCAATTTCAGTTGTTTCTGTCGGTCACTGTATTGAAGCTCTTCACATAATTCAGTAACCAAAGACGTTGAAACAATCAATATATTTCCAGCTATTTGAATTTTGCAACGAATATTTGAAACTAATTAAATTTTAGTCTGAATATTGAGTTGAATAGCAGATATACAAAGTAGGTATGGGAAAAAGGATAACAATCATCAATATTTCAAAATTACTATTAGAAAATGAAAATTTATGACATTATTCCGTCGAAATTTGTACATCAGACAGACGTACAGATTGGTTCCATAATTACTATCATTTTTTTAAGGAAAAAACACAAGCACTACCGTAAAATCCTTAAAGCGATCTAAGAGCGGTGCCTGAACGAAAGTAACGATACACATTGGATTTGAATGGCTCTCAGGAAGTTTATTCCACAGAAACGCAGTTCACCAAATGAAAGATTTCTTAAACAGTGAAGTTTGTATAATTATGTAAAGTATTTCTAATCGTATTTTTTTTAAGAGGGAACAAATTTTGCTCTTCAATGCCCGTAAAGGAGAGAGTAGTTGTTTCAGAGACTCTTCCTTTCAGAATATATATGAAAGTGAAAGAAATGTATGTAGATGTTCTGCAGAACATTTTTCTGGGAGCTTTCGTTAACCTTTGTTTTTTTATTTATCATCGTATTTATGAACGAGTAGAGGTTGGAAACTGAAAAGGTGTCTCTTTATGAGTTTTCCATATTTTTGTAATTGCACTTAATCAGACGAGTTCATGTGCAAATGTGCCGTGTGGCGAAAAATTTATTGCACACTTTTGCTATATCGTTAGACAAGACAAGTTTTATTTACCAAGAAATAACATTTCGCTCGAAGAGCATAGAAGAAAAAAAGTTTCATTTTTTTGGTAATACGAAAGTTTCCAAAATATCATGTTACTTGTTTATTTTGTGGTAATTCATGATCACTTTGATGAAATGAATAAAAACACTTTTGTCTAATTACCACTAGTTAATTTTATTTATACGAGCGGTTTCGGGTTAAGCCCCATCATCAAGTATAAAACTGAAATGTGAAGTTTGAAAACTCGGTTATATCGGGAGTTTTCAGGTAAAATGTAAGGATAAGTACTTATGATGCACTGTTTGGAACCTTTGGTGTAGTAATGAATATTACTGGAGTTTTTCCCAACACCAAATCGTTATTTTTAACATCTCGACACACGTGTTTTGATCACCAAGTGATCATCTTCAAAGAGGAAGATTAAAACTGTTTTAATCTGTTTATGTTTATGATTCTGGGGGTTATTAAGGATGCGGGTATTTTCTAGTGTGACCATAACTTAAAAGTGACTTAATAGTGAGCCTATAAGGATAACTGACTTTTGCAGATTTAAATTATTATTATATTTGATGAAATTATGTTTCAGACATGTATCAAGCAGTTTGCAAAATTCGGTAGTTATATATGGTTTTGTATTATAATACGAAAGATGGGAAATTCTCATTTTCGAAGGCCCAATCTCCACATCTTGTTAATTATTAATTTGAGCGGGAGTAAGAATAAATTTCAGCAAGTGATCTTGGCGGTTTTTTTTGGAAAACAACCCAGTCTTCAAAAAATTTCCTCCTCGTGATTCAGAGTGTTGTGTCTGAAATATCATGTTTAAACTGAGTAATATTTTTGGAAATATCAATTTTCTTTTCCATTTCTTTACTTGATGGTAGAGTCTATCGAAGAGAGTCGTCATGAAATTCATTAAGATAATAGTACACTTTAGTCTGTAGTTCCCTGTCTGTCAAATTTGAAAAATTACCAAACTCGATAAGAGATTTGAGATAGGTGAAGTTAGAAATAGTATATTCAAGTAACCCTTCATTGGCTCAATATGGTCATATATGACATCATAGTGCTGCCATTTAATGAAAATGATCACTTGTATTGATATCATTGACGAGATAATTTCATATTCTATCAAATTCTTGACTTAACGGTTATATCGAGAGGAACTTCTGATTGTTGAAAACATCGACTTCGGATACGTTTATCATTGATTTAAATTTTAAATGGGGCTGTGTAGGTACAATGACTTCGTTATCATGCTGTATATCATTGATACATAAATACTCATAATTTCAAAACATTCGCTTTCAACAAAAAGTACATTCCACTCGATATTTTATGGAAATAAGTAATTTCATTGAATTTTCATGGAATTCGTTGAACAATCATATCAGGGTCCTTCGAATAATATTTCTGATAAATATTTATAGTATTTTCATGCACGGGATCATTCGAAGGAAAAATATAGATGTAGTTGAAATAGTGTGCCACTAGCTACACAAGATTATGCCAGTAGCTACTTTTAATGCTGGAATACCTACTTGATGAAAATCCATAACGTATTCAAGTAACTCTTTATTAAGAGATNCAGTCTTCAAAAAATTTCCTCCTCGTGATTCAGAGTGTTGTGTCTGAAAAAAAGTATATATCACCCAAAACGCAAAAAATTGCAAAACTTCTTCGCAACGTTTAACCCTCCGTTAGTGTACCCAAATAAATTATCTCGGTTAGTGTACTGGGGTATGGCATACCCCAAATAAAAGTCATTTCAGAAATACTGAGATAACAAAGTTTTATCGTTTTGATAACTATATATGTTTTTCTGCATATTTTTCAGTGAAATGAAGCAATAACAGCAGTTGAATATTTCTCTTTGAAATTCAAAAATCATCAATTGAAAAATATATGTTTATTATATCCTGGAAAAACACAGTTCAAGTATATTTATCATAAAATATGGAGATCATAACATGGCATATACAACTAAAAGAAATATTCTAAAAAACTGTTCCACAAACAAAACATTGCAAAACTGAGAGTGGTAACTTCCCAAATAGAAGAGTTCTGGCTCTTGAAATTGGCACAATTTTCGCATGTCATCATTGCGTGCTCCATACAAATTGGACTATGTCTTCCTGTCTTTACTTCTTGGACAAACAGAATATCTATTGCTTGAGATTCGTCGCTTAGGTCCCGGTTCATGACGTTTCACCTCTGGGTTTTCCCGTAGTCGTCGGCGTAGAGCGAGGTTGTGTCTTCGTTGATTTTGAAATTGTATTTCTGCGTATTTGCTTTGAATATAACTTGAGCATTTACTCCAGCGGAATTCATGAACGAAAAAAATAATGTCGAAGGCCAACGGCGGTTGTTTCTCGACACACTGTAATTAGTAGATAACTCATCCAATATGTCTACACCGCCTTCGGTGGAATTATAGAAGCTGATAATTTCAGGTAGTCATGATGTAATGTAAATAAAAGTATGATATTCTTTCCCTTTTTGGCACTTGTTTTTTCTGCCAAATCCAACCGATGTCAGCTTATACTTCTTGAGCAAATTCATCATAAGAGGGTAGCTGGTAAACCAGTTATCAAAAGTAATGTTTTGTTTAGTTCCAGATACTGGTTCAATTGAACGCTCGACTATGTCTTCCAGATATTCCGTCTCAGAAACTATTTTCCGATTCGTACCGTGTGTGTTTTGTTTCTTCTCCAGCAGCATGTTCTTCGCCTATTTGTGCGACTCCGACTTCTTCTAGCACACCTTCATCTTCACCTTCAGAATTTCTATCAATAAATAACCCATCATCATCAGAACTGGCGCCAAACTCTTCCCATAAACGTTTGAGTCTTTTTTGTTCTTCTTCGTAGGACATTTCACAATTTTAGTTTGTGGAATAAGAATCAGATATCATTCACATGAGTTCTACTTTGAATGAATGGTAATAAATTTTACTCACATAGAACACTGTCACCCTCACTGGTATCAGATGGAGTAGTAGAAAGCCAAAAACTTTCTTTCCCAAAAAAAATTAATCACTCCTAAAAATATAACCCCTTCAATTAAATTAATAAAATGTTTGATACAAAGAGTAAAAAAGAGATGAATATTTTTTCATTTCAAGGCATGCATATTACATAAACAAAATATCCTACTACTGGTAGACATACCCATAATCAGGAGTGTTTGCAATAATGCAACATATGCTTAAAATGCGTAAGATTACCGAATGGAAGGTGAAGGCCTCAAATACATTAATGATCATTTGAAGTTTTCTACATATAAATACTAGGGTTGAAGAACAGATATTCAGTTTTCAATCGACTGTGAAAATAAGTACACCATGAACTCCTTGGTAAGGTTTTACTCTTAGACTTCTTTATTTATATATCGAAAATCCCTTCAACCCAATTTTTATATCCATTAGAAGTCCCATGTTCATGAAAAACTAAAATTAGTTTCTTTCTTTCACTTTTCATTAGTAATGGACGTATAACGAAAAAATAAACTTGTGACGCATGTGAAACACCGTGACACCGTGAACCTCCATACCAAATTTGAAAATATTTATTATTGATTGTAATAAACCAATAGACAATATTGTAATAACTGATAAAATACCCACAAAAATTGAAAATCACTTTTGGAAATACTCCCTTGTGTAGTAATCGTAGACTAAAGAAATCTTAAGCATTAATATTCTTCACATTTTTTTCCAACCCTGATAAATGATTTTGCAGAAAACCTAAATATATTTTACCAATTGAAACACTCGTTAAAGGACGTTCACCCTGTTTTCTGATTTCTTTTCAACGAAACAAAAGTTTTAAACATTTTGAGTGGCTCGAAGTTGTGAAAAACATGTCACGGTTGAAGATAACATAACAATGAAGGACATATTAAATTATTTTCCAAAAGAAAATAAAAACGATATGCTAAGTTGACACAGTTCAACTGATGTCAGTTCAATGTCACTTCAATGTCAAATATTAAATGAATTGAAGGGGTTATATTTTTTGGGAGTGAATAATTTTTGTGAAAGAAAGTTTTTGGCTTTCTACTACTCCATCTTGGTACAAAAAAAGAAGGATGAGGGAGCCTTCCAAAGAAAGGAAGGAAGTAACTCTATACATGGATGTGTAGATCATGCAAAGAAATAACTTTCAGACACAAACTGAAAGAAAGTTCTACTGCATGATCTACACATCCATGTATAGAGTTACTTCCTTCCTTTTTTTGGAAGACTCCCTCATCCTTCTTTTTTTGTATCAAGATGGAGTGGTAGAAAACCAAAAACTTTCTTTCCCAAAATATTAAATGTTATGACATACATCCAGCAATAGGCCTGTACCAACTAGTACAAGGAATAAGATTATTGTGATAAAAAAGCTTGGAGAAAAATGCCCATGAGACTGCAGTGTTTTCCAGATACATGAGAGAAATAGACAAAAAAGACGGCTTGAAAGTAGTAGAAAAAAATCTGAATTCAAGAATCAATCATCCATTTTCTATATAGATACATCAATTGATGCGGCAGTGATAGCTATCCAATTTTTCGATAACCAAAGATATACTAAATATCACTTTCGCAAGTCCATTCTAATAATGTTTAGCTAACTGTAAATTATGTAGCCCTCATTCATGACTGAAATCATTACTGAGTTTTGAATCCATGTTATTCAGAATTGAAGGCTCTTCAGGGATCAAGTTATGAATTAGTATTTGAACTGTGAATTAGAAAATTGCATCCACCGTAACCATTTTTAAAACAACATGATAAAAATGTTTTTAATTTACTTTACTCAGTTACTTTCGATCAGTTGTTCTAGAAAATAACTATCATCAAACATAAAATCAGTGAACTAAACATCTTCTTGACGTGCTTGTGATAATGATGTGTTCACGATGTTATCAACAATATTTATCGTGCGCCTCTATTTGACACCTCATTATTAAAAGTTTTTGTTTCGTGTTAGGAGGAACGCATTCGTTTCTCATTAGGATCATAGTGTTATCTATTTGACTGTTCTCAAATTTCAGCATCTTCTTTCATTCTACTCTTTAGTTTAATGACTGATGTCTAATACTTCAATATCTCTTTCTTTTTATAGCGTGTTTCTTGTGGAGTTTTCTGCATATTTCTTTAATTTTCAGCTTATTCGTTTTTTCATCCAGTTTCTGTCTATCATCTCAGTGACTAACTGTGAGTCTTATCCAAATTTTTAAAACTTTCTTAAAAGTTCATTGTGATTTTACACAAAACCCCGACACATTTTCCGTTATAGAATAGCTTAAACTTCAGAAACATGAATTATTATCTAAAGTTCAATCAGATATTTCATTGTATACTAGATTCAACTACATGAAAAGAGGAAATATAGTCTTTGATTTACTAGAGAAAGCAGGTAGAAACAGGTCAATCATTAATTTTATATCACAAATCAATTTTTGTAGATGGACTTAAATCGATTATCTGGTACGAACAGATAAACAGAAGCAAAGCAGAGATATTCAAATTGATTTGATCGTTTATTAAATCACAGGCATTTCTGAATTTATTATTTTCCATACTTTCCAAAAGGATGAGTATGAAACTTTTCTTCTGGAGATGAGGAGTTCAAATTCATGATGTAACTCATCTTTCGCTGTGTAGAGGTGAGTAGCATAAGCCGAATTGATTTTTTTCATTTTGGAAACATTTTGGAGTGCTTTCAATATTCTCAGATCGGTATATGGCAAACATCGAAAATTATATGAACAAGACAAATTATAAATTTCTGATCTACCCGACACCAAATTAGTGTTTTTGTTATTTCAAATATCCATGTATTATATCGCCCGTTCCCATGTGAACCGCTGACCATGCTGAAGCAGAATCTCGCGATTCTGGGAAACTGATGTGCAAGAAATCTTATCTTCATGGGAGAATATTTTTATAATTCAGTTTAATTTTGCTCTCACACTGTTAAAACCTATTTTTATGAATAAAACTTAATTTTTAAAAAAGGACTTTGACACCCGAAAGTTATATTTGGCGCAGTCGGTAGGATACTCGAAATTGAACGTATCGAACGTGCAGTTTGCGTTTCAACGATTCATCGGGTATCGAACTTGTTGTTTTGTCTTGTGGAGGTGTTTGTGAAGGAGTGGCTATTCAAACTTCAAGAAACCAAATCCATCGTGGACCTTTTAGCTACCCTCAACAGGCAGATCATCGGGGAGTGAAGAAGAATCGTCCAGTCTCGCAAGGAAGTCTACCTGGAAATCAAAAATCGAGGAACCAGTCGTGTACCTTATAAAGGATGCCCAAAGTTCTTACAATTTTAATATTATCTGAAACTCTCGGACTTCAGGAAAATATATCTAAACAAAACCTAAAAAACAATCCAGGACTTATTTCTCTCAGACTTGGAACAGCCAGAGTCGAAACGCACGCATATACACTTATTCGTTACTATGATTTAAATCCAATAATCATGGAAGTACATAAACTGAAATCCAACTCAAAAAATGTAAGGACACTTGTAGGCGGTTACAAAGACTACTCATGGGATACATCTAACTATTTAAAAATATTATAATTTTCTGAAAAAGGGGTGAGTGATAGACTCGACAATATTTTACCACATCCACTCAGAACAGAACGCGGTCTTATAAATGGCGTTGGATCCATTTCCAAATCAATCACAGGAAATTTAGATTCCAGCGATGTTGAAAAATATGACCGTCGGATCAAAGAATTACAAAATAATCAAAATAATCTAGTAACGAACATCAAGAAGCAAAACTCACTCTCAATGTCATTAATTGATCAGTTCAATAGTACAGTTCAGCAAATAAAACATAATGAAAGGCTGGAATCAAAAATAAATCAAATAGCAAAAATTGTTGAAAATTAAACGTATAAAGAAAATTCTATGTTCATCAAAGACATCGTGAATCAGATAATCAATACATTTGAAATCATAAATTCAATTTTGCAAGATGTTGAAAACTCAATACAATTTTTCAGAAGGAACATTCTTCATTCTAGTATGCTTTGCTCTCACACTATTAACACCTATTTTTGTTAATGAAATTTAATTTTCAAAAAAGGACTTTAACACCCGGAAGTTATATTTCATGCTCAAATTTATATTGATTCTATACGTTATATTCACATCTTTATTTTTTTGAAATCTTCACCTATTTTAGAAACGGGTAAATTTCCGTTTCAATTTCCTTTGCCTTACTATAAACTGCATTAGTAAGTTTTTGTTGGCAATTTACAGAGTATTCGTTAGTATTATCACGTAACATACATCTCTTCTCTATATCAGTTTCAATATCAGATTAATTCGTACATTTTCTGGTTATTCTTTTTTTTTCATCAATGTCCTCATTTCGAATTATACTATAAAGGTAGAATTCAGAATTACAACTTGAACAACAAAAAAGTACTTTCCTGATAGTGACTTGACTTGTTGTTTTTACTGATGTCATTCAACATTGCTCATACATATATTTTTTTACGATCATGACAGCTCATAATATATTTTTTATGTAAAAGAAGTCGTTATTTTTAATAACATGCAAAACACATACTTATGCTAAAGTTCAATAATTGTTAAAGAATTCCTCTTCGATTTGTTACGAATAACAAGATTAGGCTTTCGTTTCGATGCTTCTGGAATTAAATTATATCCATCTCATACACTGTAAAGTAATGATATTGACGAATGCTAGCACAAAGTGAATTATTTGCTTTGTACGATTTAGTGGTAAAATTTCCACTTCAATAACTGATAACTGTTTTTTTCTTGGAATTATTTGGTAAAATTCATATACATATCAGATTTTACCCGATTGTATAGTTTTCAAAATATATTCAAGAAACACATTATTGTGGCATCTTCACTAAACAGTTTTACGCGTTTCGCTATACATAAGCTCCATCAGGCGTGTTTATACTCTGAGTATACTCTCAGTATTAACATACCTGATGAAACTATTGTATAGCAAAACACGTGTAAACTGTGAAAATCTAACAATGGAGTGTCACTTAAATATATATTATATGTACTTTCAAACAAAAATTACTATTCAAATAAAAGATTGTAAACAGATGATAATTTTTTAAGGAGTTGACATTGATAACTATCATTCATTGACTTTCAGGTCGCTATCCTCCTAGTCGCCACCTTGGCCTGTGCCCAAGCCTCCGTCCTCGGTTGGGGAGGAGCTGCCACCCTCGTAGGACCTGCCAATCCAGGGGCTCTTCTCTCAGGCCCCGCCGCTGAAGCTATCGTTGCCGGACCAGATGGCAGTCTTATCTCCGGAGCCGCCCAAGCTGGAGTCCTTGCAGCTGCCCCCATTCCCGGTGGAGTTGTCAGTGCCGCAGTCGCCCCTGGTGTTGTAGCCCCTGGATGGGGAGCCGGCTTGGGATGGGGACACGGAGCGTGGGGTAGATAAACAGTCGGCTAGTCTTTGAAAATTGTGATTTTTGTCGGAACTGATCTTGAATGTTAATAAATGATTACTTTTTTTATTCTTGTGCTTGCTTTAGAGGGTGGTGAGATGAACAGCTGTAACTTTGCTCAAGTTCAGCATGTTCAGATATTGGTAAGATTTTTTCACTGATAAATGCAATAATAGAATATCGTGCCCTGTGAGTTTTTTAATGAAGTTTGAAAAGCATTCGAGTGCTTCAAAGTTGTTTGTAGATGTTTTCATGTGAATCATAACATTTTTTCACTTCAATATGAAAGATACATGTCAGGACCTTGTTAGGAATCACACTTTAAAAGGTAAGACCTCGTTATTCCTTAGCTTGCACAATTTTCTCAACTTCTGAGAGTTGTCGTTCGTATGGGGGCGACAGCTGATTACCGGAAAAACAGATTTTAAACAGATTTTAAACAGATTTTCAAACAGTGGTTTGCTACTTACATGAGTATTTGCAAGTGATATGTAACAAAATCGTTTCGAATTTTAGATCTGAAAATATGGGTGTACCTCAAATCTAAATTTTATGGCCCACTTTACCAATAGTTCATCTATATACGAGTACTACTAAAATTCTCGAAAGTACTGCTAACTGAATTTGTTGCCCTCGCTAATTAATATTTCAAATATCCTAAAACAAGTCGAGGTTGTGTACACAAATATATGTGAATGGGATGACAAGAACAAGTTTTGCCTGGATTACAACTGTAACATTGTATGAAATAAGTCGAGCAAATACTCAACATCTTGATCATATCTTTAAATGATTCATTGATTCATTGTACATGTACATGTACATGTACATGAATCACTAAACTACCAGGACTTGAAATAAATTAAAAAGAATCGACAATGAAGGCACATTATGCATAGAGTATGCTTTACTCATTATTTCGGGTGCTTTCATTCTAACTCAAAATATAGCAAAATTCTCTCAGGAGCCTATTCCGATGTTTTTTCTATTATAGCTAAAATGAAGACAACTGATTAATGTGGAAGTATGTACAAACTTTGGAATTTCAACGATGATAAACATCACTTTGTAAACCAATTACAATCTTATTTCTTGGACGGAAAGTAAAATTTTGAATATCAATGAAATTATTGGTATCATAAAAAAAGGTTTACTTTCCAGTTAATCGTCCAAAAGGGAACTCGAACATTTACCCTTATTTATTTCCAAGAACTCCTGCAAGTTCAACTTCTGTCCCTCAGCTTCTACATGAAGTAGATCGTACAAAATGTTGAAATCATGATTGTTCTTCAAAAGGTGGCAAGCATAGGTGGAATTGGTCTTCTTCAGTTCGAAACTTGTTTTATGTTCAGAAATTCTCGTTTTAAAATGTCTTGAAGTTCTTCCTACGTACACTTTTGGACATGATCCGCATGTTAGTATATAGACACCTGATCTGTTGTTCTTGTCTATATGTGATTTGTTTTTCCTAAGAACAAGTATTTACCAGTTGAGGAGGCTACGGTGTTAGCAAAACCCATCTAGGAATAAAAAATGTTTGTGAAAATTGTTTAATTTTTATCATGGATAGAGAGACAGCGAATCTACTTCATTGTCATGAGAGTATTCTTGTGGACGAAGTTTCACTTAATCTATAATGCAGTGTATAAAACAAAGTGTATTTGAATTAATCAATTTTCACTTCGCCATAACGCCATTAAATCACACGGCTAGCTTTTTAATTGAATATTTGAGGCGTTCAAAACGTTCAACACTACAGCTGATTCAAAAGCCGCCGTCTAATTGAATTAGTTTGGCGCTCACCACCACGGCGCTAGGTGCGTTTTGGTACATATAACAAGGAACGTATTTGGCTAGCGTTAGAAGAAAATGTTAAATCAATTTTCCACAAGCCTCATCCGGTTCCATTTGCTTTTCGGGGAAAGGTGGAGACATAATTGAATAAATTAGAAAAAGAAGGTGTAATTGAGAAAGTGGACAATTCTAATTGGGAAACGCCATTAGTACCATTAGTAACCATTAGTTATGAAAGCAAATGGTAAAGACATTCGGATTTGTGCAAATTACAAAATGACGATAAACAAATATCTTAAAGATTTTAACCACCCCTTACCTAGAATAAATGAAATTTTTGTAACTCTACAAGTCACCCTAGTTGATTTGCCATTTAACCAGTTGGCTAAGCGTCTTCTAGCTGTAGTGTTGAACGTTGCAGTCAACAAGTCGGCTAAACGACTTATAGCCGTGTGATTGAATGGCGTTGTTGTTCAGTCAAAGGGCTAGCTATTTGATTGAACGGCAATTTTAACCTGTTGGCTGCGACATATATAAATACATATAAGTCGTACAGGATACTGAAAAATAATAAAAAAATTTAATTATCATTATAAACTTCTTGTCTATTACAGTATATCACTTAAAATCCTTTCACAGCATTCCTGAAGCATTGTAAAGATTTTATTTCTGTTACATTCTTTGGCAAATGGTTAAACATTCTACAACCATTATAAACAATGGAATCCTTTTTGACTGATGTCACTGGTGTTGGGTTGCCTTGCCATATAATGGGTTGGTGAGGATTGAAATTTGTTCAAATATTATTAAATCAAACACACTATTTCCATTGTAAAGATAGAAATCACTTTTATAATTCCACGAGTTCTTCCAAGAGCCTGTACATTTTGATTTGCACGGCTCGTTTTTGCAAAATTAAAATATTTTGTAGAAGATAACCACTACTATTATTTGATAATCGTAAAACTACCAAACCCTTGGGAAGATCGAACAAACTTCAGTTTCGTGATATAATATGAACTTCAGCAATAATATGAATCTTCAGCGATTTGAATCGCTGGAGATTAAATTCATTTGGGAAAACGTTCTCAGAAAGTTTATTCCACATAAACGCAGTTTTCTAAATGAAAGAGTTCTTAAAGAGTGAAGTTCGAGGTATACTGAGTTGGACCTCAAAACGATAAACATTCACAGTCCGTCGCGTATTTTTCATATGTACCGCTCTTGGTGGAATCAATTGTGCCAAGTCACTTGAACACTTTTCGTGAAAGTATATATAGAAGATATCTCCAACCTTTCTTCGATGTTCCAGGCTATCAGGATTTCACGTAATGTTGGCATCTCCAATCAGACGGATGGCTCTTTTCTGGGTGGAATCCAGCAACTTCAGAGTATGTTTGGGGGCAGAGCATGAGTACAATACTCCAAAAAAGGTCTGATCTGAGCTTTATAAAGAAACAAAAGTTGCTGAAGTGTTTACAGTTTTCTGGTTCGGAATAGTGTTCTTAGCTTTTGAGAAGCAGCCTTTGCTATTCAAGCGACGTGATTGTGCCATGATATATTGGTGTCCATTTTGACCCCCAACAAACTTATCAAAGCAAAAAGCGGAATTATCTGACCTGACATTATTATATCCGGTTCGGAGACAACTATCTTGAAGAAAATCGATGCCTGGGTTTTTGTGGCACTGAATTGAACCTGGTAACGTTCACCACAATTCGAAATTACTTCTAGATCCTCATTAAGATATGCAACCTCCTGTCCATGTCCTTGTTCTGAAAGCACAATGAAAGTTCCAATGGCGAAGAATCAATAATTTTTTTCTGTAAATAAAGAAGAAACAGCAAAACATTGAATTTCGAAATTTTTAGGTTTTTACGTATATTTTCGGAACCAAAAAAATGCTAGAGTCGATTTTTTGGTATCATTCAGTAGAATCCAAAATTAAGTATTTTTAGCACGGTTCAATCAATTTTCTTGAGTCTTACTGTTTACGAAATACCAACGAATAGACTTGAATTTGAATCGCAGAAAAAGAAAAATTAATTATGTTTGTCATTTGTGCTAGTGAACCACCCTGACTCGTGTGATATAAAGTCCAATTTCCCTGAGTTGCATAACAGAACGGAAACTTCTTAGATTCTTTCATTGAAGTAGAAATATGCCATCTCAGCAGGAGACTCCACCCAGTGAAATACATCAATCAAGGCCAGTGATATAAACCATTCAAGTATGTGCATAAACACGCGGAAATTTCCACAATTCCACCATTTACAACATTTATGACCTCAAATATTCAAATTTACAATTAATAGTTCTAACAGATGCCCGTTTTGGTATAATTTTAATGGATATCACCGCAGAATGTTCATTCAATTCTAAATTTCACGCATCACGAGCTTGAGAAGAGGAGAATGCGAGGTCAGTTTTGAAATACCTACTGGGGGTTGAGAAGGATATAGACTGCTTAAATACTTACTTGATTATTCAGACATTTGCATTTTCAGTGAGAATGATGAACGCAGTCTTGGTGAGTACTTTTTAGGTTAGCGTCGTTAGATTTGTGAATTTAATGCCTATCAAGTAATTTCAATTCGTGGAGGAAAGTATGAAAACAACGCTTTGATAAGTTCTTTCACACTTTCCATATATACAGTGTGTGTCATATTCCGTTTCCAGGTGAAAGAGTTCAGTTATTAAAAATGTCCAGTCGTGCATTTGATACAATCAGTTATAATACTTTATTGTCAATTCTGATGAATTTCTGAATGAGTTTATAGGTTCGTTCTGGTTTTACGAAATTCAGGTTCTAGGACGTCAGGATCATGCGCAGTTGATATAGAGCGTTCTTGTTTCATGAGAATAAGTTCGGATTGATGAATCCTCTGTTCTGGTTTCGACTGTGAAATGATCCTAAACTGTATTGAACCGTCCCGAATCGTTCTTGCTCTCGAGGCTGAACTGTTGAGAACTGTTCCCGTTGCACATGCGCATTCATGTGAAAATTTGTTTGGGCTATGCTATTTTCTAGGATGTTTTCTTATTTATTTGATTTAAATAACTGATGGATTGAGGTTAGATAACATTTGATATTTTTTAATAACTATACAGATGAGTTCCTGCTGAAAAATGTCGTTATGCAACCACCTATAACCACGAGTTCAGGCTGAATTCAATTGTGAATTAACTGCAATTAATACAGGGCAATGCAATAGCTAGTTAGAAAAATAAACCATAACAATTGTTTTCAATCAACAAAGAATCAGTAATACTTTATGATCTTGTGATGCATTGTTTGGAACCTTTGACACGTGTTGAAGTGTTAAAAATAACGGTTTTGTGTTAGGATAGTACTCAAATAATATTCATACTTAATGATACTACTATTTGCAGAAAGTGAACGTATAGTAATTATAAAGAGAAAATTCGCTCAATTAAAAGTCGATCCAAACTGAAAGTGTTGAAAAGGGGATACAATTTCAGAGGTTGAAAATGGTTTTTCACAAATTCATTCGAAACAACGATTCGTAAGTAGAAAAAGATTTACAACTTCAGTGGCAACTAGTTCTTAGTAAAATAACATTTTTTTTGATGATTTTTTCCAATGTTGGGATGATGAATTCCATAAATATTCAATTCAATATCTTGAAATGTATATAGGATATTGAGTTTTATGATATTGAGTTTGTGAAGTAAAAAGTCGGGCCATACCAACCCGGCCAGTGTTTCAAGGACATTTTCTTGCTCAGCAGTATATTTTGTATCAGAAAAATAGTAGATTCGTACAAAAAATGAACAAAAATATATTCAATAGATACATAAATACATCATGGTAAATTTCAGTATTAAGATTCTGCCAGAAGTCCATAAATCTTCTTGCCATACAGGTGTTCAATGTTTGTTTGGCAAAGCCCAAAGCGATGCCAATGACAGGTTCTGGTCCGATGAAGTCGCTTGCAGCAACCTCCTTTGCAAGAGTCAGCAGCTTCATTACTTTCCAGGTCAGTATGGCCAGCAATCCAGACCAGAGACAATCTGTTAATCCACAGTAATTTCACAAACTACACCGAAAATGTAGCTCGAGAGGCTAAACCAGAGATCTACTGCAAAAACACCAGTCCTAGCAACTCTACATGCAGTGCTCCACTGGTGTGAATTGTTTTTCATCTGCAATGGATTGATTAGCAATATTCCGTAGTCGAATTGCATTACGTTTTCATCACGAAAGATTCAATCTTCTGGCTCGCGACATTGTTGATAACACTGTGACGGATATTGCTGATTTACTTCTACTATATTATATGACCACAATTATTCATGAAGGCACATTCACATATGTCATGACCTTTATTGTCTTCGCAGGCATTATGACAACTGTCATAACCCAACAAACCGAACGTCGTCAATTTGCTTAATTTTTGATTTCTTTTCGTTTTTCAAATGTTTTGCATTTCGGCAGTTCTTGAGTTATATGTGTATGGTATAACTAACATGATCTTGTAACTTTGCTTCGCATATTGAATATGGGATGATGACTTTTGTCATCGGCCACGTCTACGATACGTAAGAAATTTTTTTCTCAAAGAAGTACACTTTGTGAGTGAATCTCCAACCATAAGTTCTTCTCACCCTATTTTTTACCTACCGAATGAGTACGATATAAATTCATTAACGGTTGCTGAGATATTACAAGAAATCCTCACTATGATTATTGAAAACTGTAAGCTCAGTAATTGATAGTGATCTTTCCAGTCTGAGAAAAAGGTGATATTCTGTAAATGGGCACAACTCAGATTCCTGGATTAAAAAACTTTCATATTTTCTCATATTTTGTAAAGAGATAAATTTTCGAAAAATTGGAAACTATTCTACTGGAAACAACATTTTTTACAAACGAATGGTGAAAATAATTTAGGGGGTGTCTATTAAATGGCGAAGGAGCTGGGAAGAAATTCTCCTGCCTTACTGTGGTACATGAATATACATACATACATAAATACATGCATGAATACATACATAAATATAAATTAAGAACTGATGAAGTTTGTTTTGTAAATCAGCATGAAAATTGAAGGGTGGCTACAAACGGAGTGCCCATTCCTTTTTTCGAAAGTATAGGTGAGGACAAGGCAATTTTCAAGTTACTGCCTACTTATGGACAAAATAATTATAATCCCATTGCTTCGGAAAAATTGTTCTCAAAGTACCGTAAAAATTGATATTTTCAATGAAAATCTTGAAAATGTGCTAATAACCCCAAAATGTATCGAAGAACAATAAACAGCAGAATTTTATGCGAAAACAAATACATTACTTTATTGTCAAAACTGTTGAAAAAAAGGTATGACTAAAAATATTCTGGACTTCTATCATCATATAGTAATCCTCTCAGAAAAGCACGGATAATCTAAGAGTATCTCATGAAGTAAAATTTGCCTACGAACTTGAATATCATATTTTCGAAAAAATAAAATACTATCCTCATGAAATACGTCTCGTTCATGAAACTGCTAATAACGTCAATAATCGAAAGTAAGTCACCCTGTATATCAGATTATCATTTGAGAAAACAGATGTTGCGGCAATTTCCAATATTATTATTTATATAACATATACTGACTATGTGCTATTTTATGGACGTAGGTACTATATACTTGAGACTAACTCATATCCTGATTATTAGAGTCTGCCCAATATGTGAATCCTCTCTACTTTTTTCACTAAAAAAATTGCCACTGTGTTAATAGCTGCCTCTTAAAATTGACCTGCCCATCCTAGAATAAAATCTACAAATTTCTAAACTTCCCTCGTTTTATATGTTGAACTCAAAACAGTTGTCTTCTTTTTCCAGGAGGAGTTGTATCAGCGGCAATAGCACCTGGATACGTTGCCCCAGCTGCACCTATACCTATAGCTCTCCATTCAGGAGTGGGACATGCAGGATTCGGTCTGGGATTGGGTGTTGCTCCTGGATCCGGGCTTGAAGGTCAATACGTTCATGATTATACAGAGCAACTGTACGACGATGGATCATATAAAGGTGGAGAAGATGACGGTCACTACTGAAAGGGATCTCTCATTCTTCCGTTCAATTTGAATATATACATTCCTGCTGTATAATATGAGATTTTATTCTTTCACGGGCATTATGTGATATAGAAATAGATGAGAGTATATAGTTCATGTTTTCCTGATGTTTGTTCATTACTTGCATGGTTACCACCAGAGATTTTGAGTATCAATGATTTATTGTGTTAAATCGTGTCACGTAATTTTCACAACCAGAATGTTAGCAGAGTGTTAGCAAATTCACTCTTTGAAATAACTCGTCAGTAAGTCTGAGTCAGATTTTCTCTCCAATATCTGAGAAATATTTTTAGAATGTTACAAGATTATGTGCTCCTATGAAAAGTACGATAATTATGAATTTCATTCGCATTTCTACACTAGTATAGAGTAAGATGACATTAGTAAAACCTCAAAGGTGTCAATTCTTATTTCAAAGTGATAGTAGATATACCTTAAAAAAGTTATTCGAAGACACGAAACAGTAGCATGCTGAAAACAAGTGATTTATTGGATAGAATACGTGAAAACTATCAGACATTTAATTTTTTTGAATTTTGAAAAATGTTTGGTGGAGAATGTAATTTGAATTTACTTGGCTTGAATATTCTGATGTCTATATCCCGAATTCTGGTTTGTTTGAAGGTGATTGACAATGTTTCGTGATGAATTTCACTAGTTCGGACTTCCAACATTAGAACCTGTTTCAGATCCGGTAACACTATCCGTAGCAGCCTCACGAAAACCAGGCCCCCAAACGCGGACTGCGATTCCAAGAATTGCATTTACCGGATACCCTGTGAGTGCGGAAAATCCTATATTGGTGAAACTTTCAACATTTAACAAAGGATATCTCGATGAAAAATGCAAAATGAATGGTTTCATATATTTTTTTCAAAATTCAACAAAAATTTTGAGTCAGTATTCTGGAGATTCTGTTGTTTCCATTGACATATTTTGTTGAATAGAAGATATTGAAAATTAAAGTACTTCCCCATCACTATCTTCAGTAAAAGTCATCAAATCAATAATTCAGTTTATTCATCCTACATAATATCCAAATGGATAATACCAAGGATAATAAGTATATCGTACTGTCGATCCATAATAAGGCCATCCAACGCCAAAGGAAGCAGCCTGAAAAAAATAACATAAATGATATCATCAACAACTGCTTGCATGTAACGGTATTACAAAATATGTTCACCAAACAAGTGGAGTTGTGAAATACCGTGACTTGACATGATTTTTCACAGGTCCAGTACAAATAGTCAACGGATTTTAGCCCTCGGCCATTTTCACACAGAAAAATAAATTCTATCAGTGCTTTTCTGTCTGGTTAACTCAAATTTTCTTTCTCACTTGTACCGTCTTGTGTATTTTCATAATATTCCAGTCGAAAATTGATAAACACATAGGGGTGCGACAACTTTTTGGGGTATATTTGAATTTCCGGCTGATTTATTCTTCACTTTCAGTTCTGATGATATCATGTCAATCTTGACACTGGCTTCATACACATCTGAAATGCCCGTGATCACTCTCTTTGTTCGGTTAACGGACTGTGATTGATTATTCCGCATTTCAGTTAAAGTTATAACACTTTTCAGAAAGTAAAACATCCGGAGTCAAAATAAAAACAATTCATACACTTGGGGATTCATTTAGAACATTATTTCTAATAATGAAAGTAGTATTTTTCGTGCTATGAATCGAACGTTGAAAGGTAAGACCACATTGAACTTTAGCTCGTACTAATTTTCACTTCTGAGGGTTCTTGTTTATGAGGGGGTTACAGCTGGTTAACGGAAAAACATATTTTAAACGAAACAAATGTTTTGTCTACGCACACACTCATCTATACCATACTGATGAGTAATAATTAGCATGAAACAACTGTGTACTCTACTGCTTAATTCAGTTTTTCCTTTGTATCGATCACTTCATGAAACATGTTTATAGTTTGTGCGACTGAGTGTTGATGAAACATCTGACAAAATAAATCGACGATTCGAAATGAATATGAATTCTAATTACATATACATGTTCGTTACTGTTCAGAATAATGATCTGTTAATATAACTAGTTGAACGCATCCCAAGGTTGAATAATAGATACTGGTTTCAGCATAATCATTTAAATATTTACATTATCGAATTATTAGTAACATAACAGTGCACATTATATTTTCCAGTTACTCGAAGTTTTTTTACCAACAACTTAATAGTTGTTGGTAAAGATTTTCAGCACTGAGTAAAGTATTTTTTTGTCTGAATTTGTGACATTCAATTGTATTTACAATTGTTTCAAATGGTGTTATTGAGTTTGTTTTTAATGATTTTGGAAACATTCCAAATATACCATATACTGAGCTCTTTTATATTAATAGTCAACTCCTGGTTGAAAATACTATCAAATATTCCATGAATACTATCTAGACAGTATTTGTTGAAATGTTCCAGCTATTTCCTTATCATCTTTTACAGAAAGAGCACATCCATGATCTTCAAAATATATTCCTTCTGAAATACTATTCCAGATTTTTTTTGTAAAAACCAATGTTTTCAAAGTTTTCCACCTTCACTCTACATTATTGTCAATTTGATTGCGAAATACAATATTTCATACCAGGGCCAGTTTCGTTTCGCCTAAGAAAATCGAACAGGATTGTGCAAAAATCCTGTTACCAATTAGTTTTGGATCGTTTGTATAGAAAAAAGAAAAACTACTTGACAGGGATAGTAGGAACGTGTCATTGACTATAGACCTCTTTATCCAGACCAGAGCAGATTCACAAAAATGAGAACAAAAATAGAAACTCCACTGGCTAATACCCTTCGTGGTATTAGCCAGTGGAGTAGTTGTTTTCTGATAGGCGTCAGTCCATTCAACCTACTGTGTAGGTATATCCGAGACGAGCTTGAACATTTAAAGTTAATTCCTTTAGATTTGTTTACTGCCTATCTACAGGCATAGCCCACTGACTAATAAGAAAGCTGATTTCTTTACTATTGAGAGAGTGTTCGATATTAAACTCCTTACAATCATTCATCCAGGTGTCGAAAAGAAGACGAATTGACAAGAGAAGCTGCAGGTGGATAGAATAAACTACCCATATGCAGTTACAATGTTACATTCACATTTCTCAAATATACATTTCATACCAGATTCATTCCATTATACTGTCTTTTTCTTACCTAGTTATCAGCTGGAAAAATATACCTATACTTATGGAAAATCCAACATAGCGTCACCAAGCATTCCTATTTTCAATGATAACTCATAATTTCTGGAGTCGGTTGTATCATTAGTGATAACTAATTATATATGGGTATTTCAAGAGTTTTGTCTGTTTTTATGATTCTACTTTAAACTGCAATATTTCAGTGAATACTTATTCCATCCAATCGAATTAAGCGCCGTTTGAATCAGTACACTTTTGTCAACCTAACAAAAGTCGATTAATCCCGTGTTATCGCGATTCGATGAAGTCGACGAAGGCCGTTTTTGCCTTGGCGAAGAATTTACCGCCGAGAAAGTTATCGAGGTGCTTGAAAAGATAGTTGTCGGTTGCGAGAAATCTGGAGAGTATGGTGGGTGAGGCAGAACTTCGACCCTCAATTCATTTAATTTTTGGGCGATGATTTATGAAACGTGCTAACGGGGGTTGTCGTGGAGCAAGATCGAAACTATTCTGTTGACCAGTACCGGCAGCTACTGACGCAATTTATGGTACATTTCGTCAATTTCTTCACAATATAGCACTCCGCTGTGATATTAAGGCCTGGTTGTAAGAAAGTATAGTGGATCACACCAGCCGCTGATTATGATACAGACACCATGGTCTTTTTTTGTGGATTTTCGCCTCTGAGAAATGCCTAAGTAGCTCATCGTTTTCCAACCACTCTCCTGTACGTCTACTGTTGTCGTAGATGATCCACTTTTCATCACATTTGACTATCCGATCCAAAAAGGATCGTTTTGGTTGCGCAAATGCAAAAAAGGAAAGATTTCCAAGTGTGTCGACCGTTCAAATTGTGGGGTACCCACTTTTCGAACTTTTTGGCCTTTCCAATACGTTTTAAACCATCAAAAATCGCATGAGAGCTGACGGCCAGTTCTTCCGCCAACCTGCGCACCATTTGTGATGGTTCAGTCTCCACCAGAGTACTCAAATCCTCATCCTGGATTACTGTAGGTCAATCAATCCGGGTTTCATCTTCGAGGGTGAAATCTCTATAACGAAATTTTGTCGAATGGTGCGTTTGTTAACACTATCATCGCTTGATATCTGGTTGATTTTTCGGCTGTTTCGGCAGCTCTTTGGTTCAATTTGATTTGACCGAAAATCGCTCAATGACATCATATAGTAAGTAATAAGCTGAAAAGAGGCAAAAAATCAAAATTTAGAAAAAAAGAACAGCATCAATGTACCTATAGAATACAAAATTATATGTCACAGTGGAATAAATATTCATTGAGATATAGAGCTACAAAAACACATGACATTAAAACGGACAAAACTTTTGAAACAACCTAATAAAAAGCCCAAAATGTGGGTGAACAAAAAATTTTTATTGCGTTTCTATTAACTAAGAACAACTATTTTGTGATAATATTTTGTACTCACCAAAAATGGATTAGGATCTGGATCAGGAGCAGGCCTAGCACTAGTTAGAAACGGAATACTACACAACAACAATGCCACCTGAAATTAAGTAGGTATGATGAAGTAACTTTATTAATTTTATTGTCAGGAACTATCATGAAAAAAGAAAAAAACAAAGTGTGATATCAACAAACATTAACGAATATTTTTAGTTCTGAGTTCTTCAGAGGTTTCTGCGATTCGTGCTCTTCCTGTTTGTACAGCAAAATCCGAAACAGCTACAGAAATATGTGAAACTAAAAAAAAACAAGGGCTGTGTTTTCCTCCTTCAGCTCATTGTTGACAAACTATGTAGTCACGAATATTATGTCCCGTTCGAATTCAATTCCGTGACTAGAAACCTTCAATAATAAGATATAATCAAAACAAACATTAATACAAAATGAATTAATTAATTAATAGATTAAGCCGATGTCTATACTACTGTCACTCTATAAAGAGATATATTAACACTTTTTCTTCAACTCTTCAAAAATAGGTATAGGATATTTATGAAGTTATTAGTGATGGATAACGTACTTCAATATTAGGCAAAATGGATCATTTATTTAGAAGTAGAAAAAGAATTGCTTAGACACGAGCTTAATTCACTACAATATGTGTCACATCAAGTGGTTTAGGTATACGAGTAAATATTTCGTATTGAAGTTTCAGTGCTTAAAATTATTTGCGAATCTACAGAGCAACAAGTAGAAATGGGCCGAAAAAAAAATAAGATATTTTTCAAAGCAATTGTTGCATATTACTTTCCATATTGATGTTCAGATTATATCGAGCGGTTGAGAAATTATGCAAAAAATGTTGAAGAGTCTATTTTGCTAGAAAAATATTTCAAAAAAGTACTATATAATGAATTGACCAGATTTTTCTGTAATACTGATGGGGTGAATTATAATTCAAAAGCAAGACCAAAATTTTCCTACCCACAGTGAACTCATCTTGACTACTTTCTGAACGTATGAATAGAATAGTTTATTGGCAACGTTATACGTTTGAACAAATATTTGTAGCAAGTCAAAACGAAAGTGTAATGAATATATCGTCATATATACAAATATATCTCTATCGCAATGCTTGTATAACGAAACAATGTACACAATAACAAATACAATTAAACAATCAAACATCAAACAACTAATGTTAAAAATGAGAACAATCGTTACTCACTCGAAGTCACAAGAATCGTCTATGTTTCAAAACATATATTTATCTGTGAAATAAAAACAGTGATTCAAAAAAATGCATTCAGTTTTTGTTTGAAAGGAAGCGGCATAATTTTAAGATGATTGAAAAGTGGGCGACAATGATCTCTAAAGTTGGCATTAGATATCAGACGTATAACTCTTTTTTGCAATACAAAAATTCCACAACACTATGCCGTATACCATGTGACTATGAGAGAGTCCGAAGTAAGAAGATTTGACCACTCTGATACCGGCGAATTCCTTAATCTACGAATCATTAATATTACGCTTGATAATTTCTTGGCCAGTTTGTCAACATGGCATGACCAGTTCAATCTATCGTCTATGTTGATCCCAAGTAGCTTAACACTCTACCCGAAGTTAAATTTGTATTTGTGGAAATTTTAAGATCTTAATTTTCACCCTCGTTGAGGAGAAGTCTATTTGAAACCAGTTACTTCCAGACTTCATGGTGGCGTTGGCAGAAACAATCAAATCATTCACATTACAGTGATACTCCACCAAAGTGGTATCGTCCGCAAATAAAAAATATTTTTAGGAAGTATATGGTAATGTAGATCATTTATATATAGAATAAACAAAATTGGCCCCAGTACACAACCTTAGCGCACATCATATTCAACAAATTTCACAATTGATTCAATCCCATGTAATAATACACACTTTGATCTTGGCCCCAGTACACAACCTTGGGGCACACCATGTTCGACATATTTCACAATTGATTCAATGCCATATAATAATACACACTTTGATCTATCGTGCAGGATTCAAAAATGTTAAGGAACAGTCCACGGATACTATAATAGGGAAGTTTCTCAAGCAGAATAATTTGCGAAACACAATCAAATACCTTCGATAGATCGCATAACGTTATGAGAAAATATCGACCCTCCTCAAGATCAAATTCTTCAGTGCCGAAAAGAGAATTAGCTTCTAAATATGTTATTAATCTGCCTTTGACACTTTCCTTGATAAATTTACCAAGTATAGGTATTATCGAAAATAGGTAGAAAGTTGTCAATAATGTGGGGGTATCCTTTTTTCAAAAGAGGTAAGAGTACATTTTTTTTTAATTGCAGGAAAAACTCCACGAGCAGAACATTCATTTTCAATAGGAGTCCGAACAATTGGAGTTCTTGAGAGACTGAATACTTTCCGTCACTTTTCTCGGTATTGTGGGGTACAACACAAAGGAGTTAACTGACATTTTGAGATTTTTCAAGAAATGGTATTATATTTATATAACAAGCGGTTCATTAGTTGAAACGAAAATAATTATTTCCAACATTGAATTTCTCCACTGAAAAACTTGAGCATGATTTTCTGAGTAGTATAAAGTCGAAAGAGATCCATAAATAGGTGAACAACACCATTGGTAATATGAAAAGAAGAAATTCAGTTAATGGTAATTTATACAGAAAACTCAGTTTCAATAATATCAAGACGGTTGTTGAACATAAAAACTTTGAAAGTTCAGTGAAAAAGAGGAAATTTCGGGTCAGGTTAGCATGTTTTCTATAAAATCACATGAAATCTATAAAATGCCAGTTCCTTTGAAATGCACATTTCTAACTTTGAATCTTTCAGTGTATGTGTCAAATTATATTCAAAATCCAAAATATTCTTTTGAAAAAAAACTTGAAATCAATCAATTTTCTAATGATCCTTTCATGAAAGTAATTATAAGATATTTTGATAACTCTTTTATTTTATCATTTTTTCAACATTTATAAGTGCAAAAATATCCCATTTCGGAGAGAAAATATGATCAAAATGAATTTCAGACACTTACCCACAAATTATTTAGTGACATTTCAAAAAATAACTCTACCTTGAAGAAAGTACCTAATGCAATTTCATCAGACTGCTTCCACTAATATATACTCTATAAAAGTTTGAACATTGATCGTAATGAAAAAATAATAATTATGATGGTCAAGCTACGCAACAAAATTTCCCAGACTCATTTTAAATACTTTATTTATCAACTTTTTATGAACCTTCAATTGATCATAGTGGCATTTGAAATGGTTTTCCATTAGCGACGAAGTTAACAGAGGTGGCAATATACGAGTATATGTGTTCCCAGCAGTGATACTAAACAAATATAACTATGTTTTGGATTGGATTTTTCAGGTCTATGATAACTGTACATTTTTCCATAATTGAGAATACATTACATTATACATACATATACATTATACATACATTATAAAAGTAATTTGGAATAAGAATAGAAATTGGTCTTTCCATTGAAGAAACTACCTTTATACTCTTTATTTATTTAGGAAAAAGTTCTCCCCGTTTGACCAATATAAAGTTTTGAGTGAGAGCCCACAAGTCAATTCATTTACTCCTGACCTATCCGATACTGAATTTTTGTTTTTAATAAATTTGCCTAAAGTATTATTTGTTCTTGAGTACGTTATAGATTTTCATTAAGTATCAACTGATTCCATCACATATATAAAACTTCTGTAAAACGAATCTTACCGTAGTTTTTTCCTACACCAAACCATTATTTTAACACTTCGAGACGTGTTTCGATCACCAAGTGATCATCTTCAAGAGGAAGATTAAACTAAATATACTTATAATGTTATTCTTATTTATACCATTGATACCTCTTCTAGGTACCTGCGTCTTGAGTGTCTAAATTAATTTTACAATTATTTAATAGCCAAGTAAATTTAATAATTAAAATACTATTTTAACAAGCTATATAGTATACTATTAGGTATACCATTAGGATTAGTTAATATTCATTACGATTAGTTAGATTAGTTGGTTATAAGTAAACATGATAATATTATGAATAACGATGGTAGACCAATACCTAATAGTATACTATATAGCTTGTTAAAATAATATTTTAATTATTAAATTTACCTGACTATTAAATAAGGACACATTGTAAAATTAATTTAAGTCACTCAAGACGCAGGTACCTAGAAGAAGTATCTATGGTATAAATAAGGATAACACAATTGGATAAGAAAATTGGAAGGGTAATTCCCATTCATAAGAAAATGGACAGATATAAATTAGAAAATTATAGACCAGTCACCATCACATCGGATTTTTCAAAATTTTTTGAACACGCATATCTTGATAGACTTTTGTATTTCTTAAATAGGTTCAAACTCTTGACAGATCATCACGTTATCTACCAATACTGCAATACTTTCTTTTTTCGATACACCGTTTGAATATTTGGAGGCAGGCGAGTGTCCTGTTGGAATTTTTTGTGATCTCAGCAGGGCATTCCACTGCGTCAATCATAATGCTTTGTTGTCAAAGTTACACTCATACGGCATTCGTGGCGTAGCACATTCCTGGATTTCATCATTTTTAGAAAATAGACAACAATATGTTACAATTAGTAACCATAGTACGAGTACTTATAATGAATGTAATTCAAGTTTGTTAAATATTTCAATGGTTGTTCCGCAAGGATCGGTATTAGGGCCTATATTGTTCCTTTTATATATAAATGATTTGAAATCACATATTAGGAATACTTCTTCAACAATGTATGCCGACGATACGTCTTCAATAGTATCTGACATGGATGAAAACTCACTTTTAGACAAATGTAAATATACTTTGCAATCTGTTATGAACTGGTGCGGAGCTAATTCTCTTTAGCTCAATGCTAACAAAACACAATTGGTTAGATTTCAAAATCGACAAAAACATTGCGTGCCTATTCAATTTCAAATTAAGAACATGTCAATTCTGGGAAATGAAGAGAAAAATTTTTTGGGAACTACCATTGATGCATGTTTGACATGGGAACAACACTGTTCGAATTTAACGATTGAAATTAATTCATTTGGTTATCTCTTTAGAAATCTAACATACAGGTCAGCAACTTTTGCAACTATAACGTGCTCAAGTAGCTTTCAGATTGAGGCGTGGCATATGTATGTGGGGTAACTCGACTTCGATATCAAATGTATTCGTTGCCCAAAAGTATATTTTGAGAATAATGGCCAAAGCCTCAAAAAGGGCCTCTTGCAGAAATGTATTTAGACAATTTTACATTTCAACTCTTGTCAGCATGTATATATTCGAATTGTCAATTTTTGTCTTAAAAAACAAACATAAATTCATCACCAATGAAATCATGCATAGTAGGAATACTCGCCAAAAATATAACTTCCACATACAGTATTGTAAATATAAAGTTACTTCTAATTCACCTTATGTGATGGGCCCAAATATCTTTAATAAGTTACCAAAAGAAATTAAGGAGCTCAATAAAATCAATGAATTTATCCGAAATCTGAAAAAGTATCTAACTGATAGTTGTTTTCATAACCTAGACGAATTTTTTATATCATAAAATAGTTTTCTTTTGTATTGTATTTTGTATTATGTGTTAATTTCAGAGTGTTTTTATATTGATACGGACACTACGTTTTCTGTGTTCTTCATTGCTATACATACTTATATGTCAAACAGATAATCAATAAATAAAATAAAAAACATTGCAAGTATATTTAGTTTTATCTTCTTCTTGAAGATGATCACTTAGTGATCGAAACACGTGTCGAGGTGTTAAAATAACGGTTTATTGTTGGGAAAAAACTTCAGTAATATTCATTACTACACCAAAGGTTCCAAACTGTGCATCACAAGTTCTGTAGTTCTGTAGAACGCTTCAGAAACCTTTATGAACTTTCCAAAGGGTAAGCGATTTGATGATAAGACTAGTGAATGGATGCTAACCGCAGGAGATGGGCATTTCCAGCATTTATCGTGATTTTCATTTGAATTAGGTATCATTTAGTTTCTTCTTTCAATTTTGCCTAAAAATCAGTTTTGAAAATATTGTATGTTGATTTAAACAAAACAATTTTCACAAAATCGTTTCACTTTTCAAAACGGTTGCACGTAATTGACTGGAATAATAATTATTACAATTCGGTACAATAATTACATAAATTACTTATGATACAGAAAAAATTAAAATAAACATTCATCATCCCGTAACTCAAAAACAAAATCCTTGCTGCCCATGTTTATATGAGGAATCTGAGGAATCGTCCTACAAAATATAAGATGTTCATTAAAAAGCATCATGTACTGTCTATTGATAAATTAAAACGAATAAGGACAATCATTTACATTTGCTAAATATTCTCCAATAACACTTTCAGTCTTGTTATTACATCTCTGAGTAAGTTGATATTTAGCTGTGGTAGGCTGGTTTTGTTCGTCTAATTAATAAATGGGTCATAATGATATTGTTTCAAAAATTCGCGAATGTGAAAATCAGAGTATAAATAGAATGATATAGACATTACTATCAGTATCAGAGTAGCTTCAAGACAGTCATCAACTAGTTGCAGAAAAATGGAGAAAATAGTAAGTACCTACAAGAAAAAAAACTATATTTGGAATTGTAACTTTTTCTTTATACCTTATAGCTTTTCATAATTTCATTTTGAAATAGTGAACTTCATGAGAGTCTTCTTCAAGGCAGATAATTTTTTCTCGCTCAGCTTGTATTTTATTTCACTGTGATTTCAATCGGTTGTTTTTTGCTCAATATAGATAATTGTCATTTCCAGATATTCTTTTTAATTTTTAATTTGTGTTGGTTCTTTTGGGAATTTCAAATCATTTTATATATAGTATTAGACAATGGAAGTCGGAATTAATGAAATTCAAAACCAATGAAAGATATAATTGCAACCTCTGGCATAGAAATAATTTAACGCAAACGCTGCTCCTGTACACCAGAACTGCAATATTCTTCTCGACGATCGTTTCATCAACTGGTTTGCTTTATCAGGAAATGAAGTAGGTATATGGTATAGTTCATCTCCAACAGACACTAACTTGGTTGATGAAATACGCTTCAAGAAGAGTATAGCAGATTGGGTGTGTGAGAGCAGTGTTTGTGTTGGATTGTATAAAACTATAATCAAAACAATTACTCGACTATTTTATTCAAATCCTCATAATAAGGAAAAAGAATAAATTAATATTCAAGGAAATAATACTTATTGTTGATAAACATATCACGAGATGAAGCGATGAAAACTAAACAATGCTATGTTTCATACTTTCAACCTTGTCATTTCAACATCATTCCCGAAGTGAAATAAGGATGAACGATTTCTCTTTTCAATCCTTCCTTCTTTTTCAGTTTTTCAGAACGTATCAAGAATAAACGTCACAAAGAAAATCTACCAAAAACAATCGTTATATTGTACGTAACAGAACAATATCGATCAATAATTGCTTAACTTGCTAGTTTACAATTTGGTAAATGATGGTGTTGATGATTATAATAAAAAAAATACAAGCTGTTTTCGATATCTTCTGTTGAAAGTTAATTCCATTCGCTTACTTGTATTTAGTGTCTCACAATATCTCGATCGTACCTATATATTGATAATTTAACGCGCGCTAATATCACAGTACAGTTGTTTAATGATTCAGCATCCAAAAATACGTTATTCGGCCACTTATTTAGCTGATGTAGCAGTTCTTGTCATGAGCTATACAAGTATTTCAATAATTTAAGAATTTCATCCGTATAAAATTCATCTTTTGCTCGGCTTAAATGAAAATGACTTCAACTCACAGTCGCAGGTGAGCAAGGATTTTGGAAAAAGGAAGAATGAATAGCCCGAATTTATTGTTCAGGATGAAGAGTGTTTGTTTTTCTAAATGCAATTGTTAATTGTACTGATCTGAGGATAATTCACACTCAGTCCATAAAGTTTCCACAATATTATGAAACGCTAGACATGTGAAATTTAGGTCGACTGTATTGTCAGTCTTTTTTGTCTGTCAAAGGAATGTACTTACATTAGGCGTCTATCTTAATTTTTTGCATATTTTTCTATCAACCTCTCTCATCTCTGCCATTAACGTCTAGTTTCAATTTCGTTCTCTTCTTTTTTCATTGGTTGCATTATTTCTCTCATGCTTTTCCTTTCTGTCATTCTTAGTTTTTCATCCTTTTTTTTAGTCATTGTATTAGTTTCTGTACCATACATCTTGATATCTATAATTGATGCAGGATGCAGGATGTGTGAACAGGAAGATGAAACTGTCAGGCATGTCCCATGCGAATGTCCGGAGTTATCGTCAATAAGAGAGTGTGTGTTCGGCGAGTCTTGGCCTACACCTGCCGATATAAAGGAGATGTCTCCCAGAAACCTGTCCACCTCCCTGGAAAGGGCAGGATGGAAGATGATGGAGGAGAACAACTCCTTGGGAGGATGTACAATGGGTCACATGTGGCCTAAGTGCTGTGAGCCTACACTCACCCTCCCTACTCTACAGATACAGATACAGATACTCCTTCTCGGACTATTTTATTTGCTTATCTGCTGAGTTCTTTGAATTTTTTTTATATTCTTTTGTCTATTTGTTTCAATCCATTCCAGTCTTGCTCTGCTTCCTCCTTTCATTCTCTTGCAAGAATCATACCATTCTTTGCTTTTCTGGTGTGATTTCTATCCAAGTAATTCTTTCACTCACTATTATTATTATTATTGAAACACAAAGATGGTCATGGTTTCCAGATAAAACAGAAACATAAATACGTAAGAAGCACGGGCACATTTATATTTTCAGTAGTTGCCATAAAAGTATTATAAGGCATTGTCTAACTAGGTCATTACCTGCTTGTGTTTCAATCCGATTTTGTTATGTTGATTCGTGTGGATTCAGACTAAATCGACAAATGTGAGACAATGTATAAAACAATATTGAATTCGTCTATTCTCAGTCTTTCATTGATTTTATTTTTCATTTTTAGGTTTCAATATTATTTTTGGTTTTCGCAACCACGGTTAATGGAGGTTTCCTGACTGGTCATCATCCCTACCCTGCCGTAATATCATCCAGAACTGTCGTATCTGGGGCCGTAGGCGGAGGGCCAACAAATGGCGCCTATTCTTCATCCCAATCTTCCCAAACTGTTTCTTCCCCATCTCAGTTACAGTCATCAATATCGACCTTCCTTCCAGCAATTACCTACGGATATTCCAGTCGTCAAAACCAGAATGGACAAAATCAAGGTGGACAGGGCGGGCAAGGGCAAAATGGACAAAACCAAGGTCAAGGAGGGTATGGTTATAGCGCTAATAGTCCAAGTGTCCTAGCATATGGAACGTATGGATTTGGTCAAGCCCAAAACGGACAAGGTCAAAACGGACAAGGTCAAAACGGACAAGGCCAAAACGGACAAGGATACGGTGGGCAGGGCAACCAAAACCAGGGACAAAGAGGATACAACGGTAACAGTGGGGCAGGGCAGGGCGTCAGTTACTCTTCAAGTTACAATTATGGGCACTATTAAACCTCGAAAGTATCAGTTAATGTTAATGACGACTATACCTCTTTCTGACAGATATTATTCCACGTCGTTTCGCTGTCTCGCATCGACTCTAGTGCAGTTATCACCAGCTTACTTGAAGTTTGTTTCCTTCTTTCACCTATGATTGAAATAACAAACTCGATCTTTATTTTCTGTATAAAAGTAATCAATCCTTTGGTATGAACTTATAAGTATTCGTTGATGTTCAAATAAACCAAACAGTTTAATTAGCACATATCAGATAGAGGTGTATTCGTTGAAATTTCTGATAAAACGAAGTATACCTGGACATCGAGTAGAACCAAATCATTTCTTAATGTTACTATTTGCAATGTATGGATAAATTCATTGACTGCTTATTTATAGATTTCAGTTTCTTGTACAAATATATATGTACTTATATTAAAGTCCATGTGTCTCTCAATATGATCCTCTGTTTCAGAAAGGAAAATAAAGAAGGTTTAAAACGATTCAATATTAGGGAAAGAAAGGTTTTGGCTTTCTACTTCTCCATTTCTCCATCTCTGTACAAAAAAAAGTAACTCTCAAACAAAAATTGAAAGAAAGAGCCCTCATGAAACAACTTGTTTCATATAAATATTGAATTACATGAAGGAAAAATACTTTCGAAACAACAACTTTTATTTATTTTATTTACTCATTCCGAAACATCGTTATCCGCCATTGAGGATGACAGTGTTCTATGTACCTAAGTGAAATTTCATCTTTTTCATATACCTACTTTATTCTTTAGAATTTCTGTATATTGTTACGTTTTTCCCCATGCGTTCATCAATAATTAACTACACTGAATAATCAAACTTAACTTGATTTCACTTTAAATACAACAAACACTTCAACTAAAAATTCAACTATTATTTGAATGTCTATCGCCTTTCTAGATCACTTCGCGTACCGCACTGCAACGTCCACTTGACTGTCTGAGTGTCTATCGCCTTCTTTATCACTTCGCGTATCGCACTGTATCTTCCACTTGACTGAGTCGATATCTTCATGGCTAGCCTTTAAATATCGTAATCGAATGTCGTAGAAATTTCGCTAAAGTTCTGTCAAAGTCGGTAGCATTATTCTCGTTGCTTCTCGAGTGGCGGGGAATCATCGTACATTCGCGTGCTCTTAGCTACGTCACGTTTGGTTTATGGTTACCAGTGGCGTCCGGCGTTATTTCCTTTCGGGCATGATTTACAACAATATGATATCCAATTCGATCCCATGACGAATGTTATGGGATCCCTATGGCTTGAATTATATCAAATAAGCGAATTAATGTGTTTACGTACTGTCATTGTGACATGAGTAGATTTAACTCATCCGTTTTATAACGTCGTAATGTTGAGTGAATGAATTGAGTGCTTCATCTTGCAATATTATCCAAATTGGTGCTGAAGAGGCAAGTTTGTTACTCCGAAACATCGATGTCCCCCATTGAGAATAACAGTGTTCCATGTAAGTAAAATTTCATCTCTTTCATACACTATATTAGGTAGCAAACCCCATTACAATCACCAAAATTAAATGATTTTTCTGTGTAGTTCATAGTTCAAACAAGTTTATAAGTAGTCCTGTACAGGGGTTTTGAATCTCTTTAGCAATAAAATATTTTTAAAAGCATTTGACCGAGTAAATCACAGTTTGTTGTTGCATAAAACTAAACGTTTTGGGTATTCGGGAAAGGTACATTCTGCAATTGATTGAAAATTATCTTGCCTGTAGAGTCTAATATGTAAAATATGGTAACTCAATATCTTCCTCAATCACAGTTCCGCAGTGTACCGCAGGGATCTCATTTAGGACCACTACTTTTCAACCTATCTGTAATTGACTTGAATGATGTTATTTATTCTCTATAGTGAATTTCTTCTATTTGTTGCTGATCTGAATATGTGCAAAGTTATTCATGACTCCTCTGACACTGAATTATTACAGATTTATCTTGCAACTGAATATAAACAAATGTCATAAAATTACTTTTTTCCGTAACAAATATCCCATAAATATTCCATATAAAATAAATCAATTGCAACTGGAAACAACAAAAAATGCAATCAAAGATTGACCCAAAAATGTCATTCAAACAGTATATTGCAAATGTTACTGCTAGAGCACCAAAAATGTTAGGTTTCACTCTTAGATCTGCAGAGGGATTATCTCTCTTCCTAAAAATTCATATATTGCTCAATTATTAGATCAATAATCAAATAAAACTCCACAATTTGCTGCCCTTCATATAATGTGGATATTGATTTGCTTGAAAGTGTTCAAAACAAGTATTAAAGGTACTCTGCATACAAACTGGGATATATTGGTGAATATAAGTATGAAATTATATTAGACATTCTCAACTTGAATACCCTGGCTCATAGATTAGAATCAGATCTTAAGCTAATTCACAAAATAATCTTTCCTAGCATTGATTCCCCGGAACTTGTTGAACTTCTTCAAATGTAAATCCAAAGAGTACAAAAAATAAAGAAATTTTCAAAGTACTCTTTCATTATACCAACTATGGCCAGAATTAGTCTAAAGGTAGAATTTTGAGATTTGCTAACACTTACAATGTGGATTTATTTATTTACGGGTATACCAATAACAGTAATACGTAAAATATGGATAGCAAACAAAAAAAAATGTGTTTAAAATCTGTTTTTCCATTAACCAGCTGTCACACCCCTACGAACGACAACCCTCAGAAGTCGAAACTTGTGCGAGCTAAGGATTAACGAGGTCTTACCTTTTAACGTGTGATTCCTAACACGGTATATATATTTAACTCTAATTACATCTACTCTAATCTACTGAAATCTAGTATGTAGTCATGTCTGGCATTAAATTGTTACAGAGGGTATCCATGAATTGTACAAGCTTTCAATGTTTATTTTCTCAGTATTCCTTTTGAATGAAGATGGAAATGCATCAAACAAGTCAATATAACCCTATCAATATGAGCAGTTCTTTGAAGTCTAGTCATATGCACCCGTAATTTGTTGGATGGAATTGCACTTTGAACAATTCAGAATTAGCTGTGGGAAGCCAACCAGTCCATTCAGAAGACAATTTGAAGGCAGCATTACTCAGGAATTTTTTCTGAACTTTTTCTATTGCATCTGCATCATTTTTATAGCGGTGGTGCCATATAATGCAAAGCCTGATAGTTTGAAAGCTTTAGATACAATGTTGTTCTAATGTCAAATAACACACCTAAGTCCTTAATGTTTTCTTTTGATGCTAGGCTTTCAGAGCATCAATCAAACTCGATTGGGCTAGCCAATCAAACTCGATTGGGCTACTTCTTGAGAATTTTATTTGGAAGCATTTTTTGCATTCAAATACAGTAAATTTATGTCGCACCATCTTACAATGTGGTTCAGGTCATTTTGTTAACCACATTCCTGAATAATTTGAGGTCATCAGCGAACATCAGAAATTTACTATTTAGAACTTTTCAATTCATTCAAAAAGACTGTGAAAAGATTGTGATTGATTAGCTTATTATTGCCTTTCTTATTTTTTTCATATTTTTTCCTGACATCTAGCTGATAGTTGCAGTACATAAGTGTGATTTAGTTAGTTATTTTGTAAAAAATAAACAATGCCGTAAATAATTAAATAAATAATATTTACATTACAGAAAGGGGTGCTTGGAAATAATGACCTCTTATCCTTTAAAAAATTGTTACAACATAAAATGAAACACCAACTCGTTTAACAAAACATTTTTGATAAAAATACTTTCACAACACCAAAACACAATAGACACAAAAGAGATTTCAAATAATGAGAGTTCTTTTTCACCTAGTCTCTGCAATATAATCATTGTACAATCTCAAAAATTTTTCTTTACAAGCCATTTGTATTTTAAGTTTGCTGCAAAGTAAAAACACTCCAGATAGTTTTCTGTGCAAAGAATATACCTCCTCAGGAGGTGGGCATAAACGATGTGTTATCATTATCTGAGCAAGATGCTGCATTCTGATTGTCATATCTTGGTTGGCAAAGTCATATTTTCCATCGGTACTCAATATTTCGCCCAGAATCATTACTGCATCTACATGGGCATCTTCCATGATCTGAAAATGAAATCTTTCAGTCCACATTTCAGCTTTCATTTGGTTTGGAGAATGAAGTTAGAATGGAGTAGAAATTGAAACAAAAATTATAACTGAAGAAGTATGGGATACCTCAAACGAAGTATTATTATATATAAAAAGTCAATTCGAATGGCATAAAAACTAAATAAAGCTACCGGACTGAATCATGGCTGGTGGGAAAAATCGTATCTACGTAAAATTTGGATCGGTGTATGACAAAGAAAGTATTAGGAAAAAGGAACTCCATCACTAACTGAATACGGTCCTGAATTTGGATGTTTACGGCTCGAATAATCTAACAGACTTATAACATATTTCTACACATCTACTGCACATCTTGAGGGAAAGGCTTCTCAACGGCCATGACCCAGTAGTTACAGAACGTCGGCAGTTTCTTTCTATGGCATGGTCGACGTTGTATAAACTGTTTTGTCAAAATTAATTTCATGTGATATAAACCAACCATTTTGCAGTACCCGGCTTTTGGGACTTTCTTCGAATCAACCACAACTTCAAATTAACTAGTATAGAAAAATGCAAAAGTGGCACCTGTTTCTTGGAAGGATTATACAAAAAATTCGCCCAATTTGGATCCGTCTGCATATATCTGAATTTCAATATTTCCAGGAGAATGAGGTCCATGATTTTATTTCCAATGAATTCTCGATGTTCCAGGTCCAGATCAAAGCACTGGTCAATAGGAATGCCGTCCAATAATTCTGTTGTGAAAACCTGTTTGGTACATAAGTGATCTGAAAAATGTTTGTCTTGTATAAAAAATAGTCCAATCTGTAAATCATGGGTTTATTATTTCTCTGAATAAAAATATGGCCAATAATTTTAAACTACTTACCCACAACTTCTGGAACGTAATAATCCTGATAAGGCTCTAATATACCCTTAAACTTCTTTGTGCATTCAGCCTCTCTGATATAATCGACTTCCCAAGCCAGCTCCCTCTTAGCAACTGTCATCAAGTTATCCAAAAACATTCCTTTAGGAAACACGTTCCACATTTTCATTATGCCTCCAAGATTGTTGATGTCACTCTCGATACCTTTTCAATTAAAAAAATATGCCTTAGAATTAGTTGTGCTGTAATAGATGTTTCTCCATACCTTTTGCTACACCAGGATACTGTATTTTTATGGCAACATCTCTTTCGTTTTTCAATTTGGCTTGATGAACTTGTCCTATTGAAGCAGCTGCAAATGGTCTCTGTTCAAACTCTTGGAAATGTTTCATCCAGTCAGGTCCCAGCTCAGAACTCATCACCTGATGATAATAGCTATGAATAATAATTGACTATCCATCAATAAATACATATAATGAAAGTGTAGGGCTCAACCAATTAGGGTGTTGTTTTCACAAATGTATTCAATTAACATTTATTGCAATTGGTTCATTAGAATCATCTCAAACATAATGAATAATGTTCGGTTGATTTGGTTGTAATTCGGTCAATTATATTCATAGTGTACAAAACAAAACGATAAATCGAATCTGGGAAAAACCAAACTGTCCATGCTTACGAAGTCGCGGCCAAGACCTAGTTTTTCTTATTCCTCTTTTCAAAAACAATTTCAATATTAACTTTTTAACATTAACATGAAAAATAAAATTGAAACAATGAGATAGCTTTCGAAGTGTAATATATAAACTTTCATTGGGACTCTGACTTCAGTAAGGGATTAACTTTTTATCGAACCCGAACAAGATAGGTCATTTAATTTGATTTTCCCAGTATCTATACTGTTGTGCATGAGGTAAGTATGGTCCTATCCAGAATGAATCATTATGTAGATGGAGAAAGCGAGTGAATTAACTGTAGTAGTCGAAAATTCCATTTTGTAATGTTGAATAAATTGCTAAGTTTCCATTCATTCAAAAATGTATACACATTACAATACATATACTATCTACATACTCCTACAAAAAAAGTCTAAGTAAGGGTTCTCTACAATGAAAACAAAATAATACATGTATTTTTGACGAGAGTAGAATAGGATAGATAGATTATGAGTATACTGCCACTGAGATGTTTTCTAAAATATGTTATAAAAGAGATTGATCAATATAATAAATTCTGTATGAGGAACAGCATTCACGTGTTTACATTATGGACAATTGATAAGACTATTAGTTTTGAGTAGCAGTATCAGATCTTATATTTCCTTTTTTCTCAATACTGACAATTTTTCACTTTAAATACTTTCACTGTTGTTACATAAACTTCGTCGTGAAATACTATAATAATAATAATAGTCTTTATTTGAAATAGAAATCCTAATATACAAAAATTTTAATAACTATTACATAATTATTTGATTAAATGAATGAACATCTGCTGTTACTAAATATAAAAGTTTGTGAAACAATATGCATTACTTTCAATGTCTTTCTCTGTAAGATCGCTTTGAATTCAATACAAAAGCGAGTTACTGACACCAATTGAGAGATATTGTATTTTTTTATACAATGCAGACGTAAAAAATTACCTCCGCTCAACTTTTGAACGGCAGAAAGGTACTTTTCATTTTTGCACTTTATAAAACTGCAGATGAAAAGTTCTGAAATTTTCGTACCTGTTCCACTTGCCAGTTGGGCATAAAATCCGCCGATTTCCTCACTCTTTCCAGAGCTTTTGCCAAGTCTGGATTTACAACGGATTCATCCTGTATACTCAAAATCTGACCCAATTTCAGAGCTGCCCCTCTGACCTTGCACAATGTATCTACTATTCTGTCCATATTAGCTTTGCTCATAAATAAATTAGTACTGTCTGGAGCGGACTCCCCAAGGCCAAGTGTCCTTTTTGCATATTCCGTGGCAGTCCCCAGTCCCAAGCCAGCAGCAAGGGTCCCAAATGAGTACATCCTTCCTATTCTTGATGAAGGAACTGTTCTTTGCTTAGCATCTTGTGACAACTGCAAGTAATTTAAACAAAAGCTCCATCAGATTTATGCATCAAGCAGTTAATGTGTTCACAATAAAATATGCGATAAAACACATACTTTTATATAACATCTTTATTTTACAAGTGAAAAAGTAAGTCAAAACAGCACGGGTGTAATAATAATACTGAATATACATATAAAAGCGTGCAATCCCTGCTAATTTTACTTGCTGTAAAGGATTGTATTGATCTATATTAAATGCACAATGTATTTACGGTACTTAATTGGATAAGAATGAAAGCTGTATTGCTTAACTTTGTTAATAAGTTATTATTTCTCGAGGATTAAAAATTGTTATTGTGGTTATTAGGATGTACAATACTGTAGTACATTTTTTTATCAATTTCATAGGCTATAGCCAGCGTTTGCAATGTAAGCACAACAAATTGTGTTCATTTACTACATCACATTAGAAACCTTTAAAATTATCAGTGTTTCTCTACTACATTATACATGTTGTATACATATAAACCTTCCTCTTCAATCACTGTATCTATTGAAAAACCCGCATCAAAATCTGTTGCATAGTTTTAAAGATCTAATCATACATAGGAATAGACAGCGGGATCAACTTTGTTTTATACTATGTAGTGATTTGACTTTTGTAAATTGTTTACATGTTGTTTATTGAAAAGTTTGTATAGTTTCAATTCTTTTGTACTGCACAAATATTTAAATGGAAGGTAAACCTGGAACCTCTAGCATAGAATAAATCCAAAAAACAAGCACTTTTCCCAATCACCAGAAATGCAATACTCTTCTCAATGTGCAATTCACCAACCCAGTTTTTTGATGAAGGAGATGAAGGATATATGAGGAACAGAAAATTTTTGAAAAAATTCAGATGACCAATGGTTTATAATTATGTTGGACCTTCCTCTGAGAAATTAGCAATAGACAAAGGTGATGTATTTTTCAGTAGAGAATATGTGTATTTAGAGTTACTCAAATGATTCATAGTCTCATGAAAATGAAGAAAATGTAGATGTAGGAGACAGTTTTTTACTATATTAGTAGAAAACATGAGTTTGAGCTCTAGCAGTTTTGTGAAAAACTCCAAGTGGGATGGTTATGTAAAATAAGTAAATAATCAATAATAACTGTTAATTTATTGGTAAGAAGTTTTAGAATAATTGTAATAACTGTTTTTTTTTTATTTATGGAGGGAAGAAAGAGTTGAAGTGTTCATTAAAACATATACAGATATAATGATACAAATTGTCAGATTTGTAAGGAGGTATAACAAAGTGTTATTCTGTGTTGTAGTTTCTGTTTAAAATATGTTTTCCGTTAATCAGCTGTCGCCCCCATACGAACAACAAGTCTCAGAAGTCGAGAAACTTGTGAAACGTGGCCTTACGTTTTAACATGTGATTCCTAACACACTATTTCAAGATAGAAGTTAAAAACAAGAGTCAACAGAGTCACAAGAAAATGTCAAAAGAAAATGTTGACATTTTATTTGTAGAAAATTATATTATATTCGGTCGTTTGAATTTTCTTAAAATAATGACTTTTGTGAGAGGGATGTGATACATATATAAGGATTATTAACTGCATCCTTTGTCAATATTGATTGACATAGTCTTTTCATGATATATCAGAGAAATTCACAACAGACTGATAATATAACCCTTTCAAATCAAGTACTGATGAGTTTAAACAGTCAGTCTAGAAGTTTTGAATTCATCAGTGATGATTTACAAATTTCTTCCAAGTCAAAAGAATGGATTAAAAATTAGAAATCAAATTAATCATATATTGGGGTGTCAATATATGAACTCAAGATCATTGATAATTGAGATACTTGATAACTGCATATTGAATGGTGGTATTTTGTTCATGTTCCATACTAGAAATATTACTTATTGGTGTTGTCTGGTATTATAGTTTTCATATCAGTTTTTTGTAAAAGTCATCTGTCACTTGAACATTAAACTAGACATAGATCCATCAAGCCACTGAACAAGCTGTGTGATCATAGGCAGTCGTCAGAGATACTAAAACGTTTCTCAAAATAAGGAGGAACAGAAGTGTAGAAGCTAAACTAACTAAGGCATCAACAAGCAATTGGAATTCTGATTTAGAATAGATACTTGGTTTTGGGAAGCCATCCAAACCCTGTGACAGGCCTAACACCAAAATGGATGAAATTATCACACAAATGGCAAATATAAGAAAACTTCCTCAAAAAGTGAGAAAAACAGCAAATTAGTTGACATCAGAAAAGAAGTACATGAAGAAATGTATGTATTACTCCAAGTTTCCTCTAAAAATGATAATATACCAGTCGGTTCAAAAGTCAAACTGGTCTGTTAGACTTAATTTCTTAGTGAAAGCTCTTAACAGTTCTCATGTATGGTATGAAAGTCAAAGGTACAAATAAAAGCCTTGAATATTGAATAGAGGATCTGAAATATGTTATCTTTCTGGGACGGTGGGTTGGCGTGGGTAGTTCACTCCACTCACTCAATCGACGGCTGTATGAACCGGCGGTTGGAACCGCAAGGCCGGGCGATCGATTTTCATTTCCTATCGTCCAACCTGTGTAAGGTATCACAGGTTAAATGATGAGACTTCGTTAGTCCTTAGCTTGCACCAAGTTTCGACTTTTGAGAGTCGTCATTCCTAGGGGGGCAATAGCTGGTTAACAGAAAGATTTTAACAGATACTGAAATTGATGATTCACAAATTTTTGTATCCTGAAATAACTTGACAAATAGTAAAAACAGGAAATAGTTCAATATTTGAATATTAACATTATTTACTTTTTGTTTAGCTTTCTCATTAGGCACTGCTTCCATTTTTTTATTACTGTCTACAGTTTTCACTTCTGCATCATCTTCTTTGTTTCTATCACCAGCTTTGATTAGCTTTGCACGATGCTCCATATCAAGTTTTCTCAATAATTCTTCGTCACTTTTTGTTAATTTTATTTGGAATTTGTGAATAGGATGACTATTGAGCTTTTCGGTATTTGACTGTTGGTATTCTATTTTATCAGTTTTTGATGAACTTCTCGAGTTTTCCTTGGTTTTGGAGGGTGTTGCAAAAGAATCTATAAAAAATTACAACTTTGACCTACTCTTGGAATATCTATATATCTATGTGAAAACACACACCTACAGGTTTTAGCTAAATTAGGAAATCTGGTTAGGTGTGTTAGTCATTGAGTATGATCTTACCTCTTTTCAAGGCCACATTTTTATATGCATGCAACCCATGTAAAACGGTTGCTACTCGTTCAATACTGTCTTTTGCTGCATCTCCAATTTCTGATACAGTTTTTGAACTTCCTTTTGGAAGGGTTTTGCATACAGAACAATTTTCCACAAATGGGCGAATGCTGGAGATTTTCCATATGTACTTTAAATTTTCCTCTTGTATTTTCACACCCGCTTCAGCTATTAGTTGTAAAGACCTTAACAAGCATGCCACATCGTGAGCTCGAGACATTGCTGCTGATAAGTATAAATATTTTAATGAGCCATTTTAGAATAATTATTCAATGTCACCTATAAGCTGTTACTTCACAGAAGTGTTAGGAAGTACTTTTTCCACTTGGTACATACCTTTTCACACATAAGAATATGAAAGAATTTCAACCTTTGGGGCCGTTATTTATCGTCCTTCAACATGAGACAAGTTATTAATAAAATGTGTTTTTATGAAAGTCACTTAATGTCCTGAAGTAGAATATAAAACAATATTTATTCTCAAAGTGGAATTTCAAAATTACTGATTGGGACATAAGAATATATAGATTATTTTTAATTTCACTCAAGACTGGTTTCCTCTGCATTCGAGTTGACATCCAACATCCGATTGAGTTTGAACTGCTTCTTACGTCATAGACCCGGTTTTCTATAGCAGTGTGAAATTGGCTGCTAAGTTAGCTGCCAAAATTTCCGAAGACTTCCGAACGTTCAGTAGCGTACGAAATAAAATTTATAATTGATACATTTATGTCTATGAAGCTTATTGCATTTTCAAATAAAGTTATTATTGGCATAGTACCGTGTTCTCTCTACTGTCCAACGATTGGTTTAGTATTTTGAGGACATTATATCAAAAAGCAATGAGGTATTTGAAATTAAATGTCATTGATTTAATAAGCACTGTACTCTTTGATAAGCAGGGTCTGCTCGATCGAGCGTCAGTTCGAAAGCAGTTCCAAAAACATCAAATCAAAATTTTTTGCTTATTCGTTTCCGTGTAGGTTCATTCATTTGCTTTTATCCCTTCATCTAGTCCCCAAGTGACATTTTTGTATTTATGGTAACAGTTGTACGGACAACTCGGAAATTCCGACTATAAACTGGAAATAATGTGAATTGTGGATAAGTCAGTTCAAGAAGTTAGATTATTGGGTTATAGAAACGTTTGAAATCTGAGCAAGATGTAGGAATCCAAAAATTACATTATAGAAAGTAATGTTAACATTTCCAGCCTTTCCAAACCACGGGAGTCAAGTTTCAGCTGTCGCAAGACGATTGTAGTATCGATGTAAACCTTCACTCCGTGTTAGGTACTTCACAGTTTTATGATTCACCACTTTTTCAGTATGTCTTCCATTTTGTGTCTTTATCTCTCGTTTTTCCGTTTTGAATATGATTTGTATCATCAAAAATCAATTCTTAACCTTTGTTATTGTGGAACATGCGTGTATTTTTTATTATTTCATATAACTGATGTGTTCATGAGATACCTAAAAATGACAGAAAATTGCTCTGAATTTTTTAATTTATTTATTTGCCAAATTTCAAAATCATTCTAACCTCAAACTGAACAATTGCTTTGACATAAAAGGGTAATATTCATTACAAATTCATAAGGCAACTAATTTATCAGTAAAATCTCTCCAAAAATAATATAAAATTGATGTTCTCGAGAAAGAAAATGTACTTATATGAATGTCCCTGGCAAGTGTCCAGAATGTCAATTTTTCAAAAAACAAACTAGTTGTTGGACCGGACCACATACCGAGTTTTCTAGTAAAAGATTGTACCCACCCTTTATTAAGCCCTTCGCTTCACATCTTCAACCTTTCACTGAAAACATCTACGTTTCCGGAGATTTGGAAAGCATCACGAGGATGTCCTATATCTTGAAGAAAGGGGGCGCAATTGTTATAAAAAATTACAGGTCTACTTCTATATTAAGCAATTTCTCGAAACTTTTCGAAATAAATCTATACGGTTTTATCTATAACTCGATCAGAAATATAATATCGGACGATCATGAGTTCGTAGAACAAAAGTCATGTGTGACCAATCTTGCATGCCTTTCACAACATGTTTCAGATGCTTTAGACCAAAAGCAACAAGTTGACGTAGCTTATACGGACATGCAAAAGGCGTTTGACCAAATTGATTTTCACATCATCATTCAGCGACTATCATCGTTTGGCTTTTCTGGAAGTTTAATTGATCTTTTCACAAGCTATCTCTTTGACAGAAAGCAATACGTAGAACATGAAGGTTTTCAGTCCTCTTTCTACACACCTAGCTCAGGGATACCACAAGGCTCGAACTTGGGGCCTCTTTTATTTCTGATTTTCATTGATGACCTGGCGAAAATGATGAACTGCACAAAACTTCTTTACGCTGGTTATCTAAAGCTATACAAAGTAATTGACAATTATGAAGACTGCTTCATTTTACAAAATGAAATTGATTTAGTATTCGACTGGTGTTCCAAGAACCATTTACGTTTGAAAATATCGAAATGTTACATTTTATCATTTTATAGAAAAAAGAATATAATAGAATTTTCTTATGTTATTGACAGCATTCCAGTTAGTCGAGTAAATGAGATGACAGATCTTGGAATCACTTACCACATAGACCAGGCTATTTCATCAGCAAATCGAATGTTGGGCTTTATTATAAGGAGTACGAGAGAATTCAAGAATATTAATACGATTATAACACTGTTTGATGCCTATGTGAGGTCTAAACTAGAATACGGCGTGTTAATATGGTATCCAATTTACAATTGCCACATACATTATATTGATGCTGTTCAAAAAACATTTTTAAAATATCTGTCTTTCAAGGTCACAGGATTATATCCTCAGAGGATAACCGACTATTCTATCCTCCTGAATAAGTTTAATGTAATATCTTTGAATAGACGACGACTTTTTGTCACAATCTCCTTTCTTCACAAACTCCTAAACAATAAGATCTCGTGTACCTCTCTTTCACAAATGATCAACTTCCGCACCCCACGCCTTAATTCCAGATATCAAACGACATTTTACTGTGATCTTGTCAGAACAAATAACAGTTTGAAAGCACCAGTGTCAATACTTTGTAACAACTATAATTCAATATGTGATATGTGCGATATTAATCACAGTTCTCAAAGCTTTATTTTAAAATGTATTCTCACTCTAGAACCTTATACCTGTGATCACTTTTTTTTCGCTTCTTGTGATATATTTGTATTTCTACTTATTTTTCTTTTAGTTGTAGCAATCTTTTTTTTTAACTAATTATACTGTTTTGCATATATTTTCATCAACACCTTTGTACATTTCCTGTAATTGAGTGAATGCCTGTTGGAAATAAAGTGCTATCAATCAATCAATATATTTTGCTCGTTATTTGAGAACATTTGCAATATCTTACAAAAAATATATTTTTGCATAAGCATTTTTATGAGTGAAGCGCACCGAAAGACATATTCGTGCCAATTTTCAGCCACGAGTTCAAATTATTTCAGAAAATAGAAAAATTGTGATAAGAGCTCTAAACACAGATTATTATCTTCTCCAAATAATTGAGTCTACATTACTAAATTCAGTCTCAAGATTAACGAATATAAAATGATGATTTTCGAATAAACAAATCAGTAAATCTATATAGCAACTTAGATTTTCCTTTGCGAAGGAACTGATAATGTGATTAAGGCAGGGTTATGGAATTAAGGCAATGTCATAAATATCTAAAACTCCCAAAGTGCACAAAAATATTTTTCATATTCAATATGGATAATAATCTCTCGGTAAATACAGCCTAAACGGCGGAATAATAATCATCATGGAATATGATTTATCAATTCAAAACCAGAAACAATAACATACAATTAAAATAAATATTAAAAATTATGAGCTCAATATTCGTTAAATAAAAAATTTCAATTCCATTTCAATTTTTCAAAACACTGTACAAACAATTGGAGAAAAATTATAAGTTCCACACGGCAGAGAAACAGATTTACTTGCATTGTCTAGCTAGCCTCTACTTCGCTTCGCAATGAAATGCTAGTTCCAGCAGTAAATTTGTTACTACTTCTCAGCCTAGTTGAATAAGTAACTGTTATGTTTTCCATATTTAACAATGTTTGAAATCAAAAATTTTTCAACAGGTTACTTGTAATGATTACATCTACTCAACCCCAAAGGTATTAATTTATTTGCTTTTTCAGTAGCACGCTTGGGTCATGTACAATTGTACCATTTTACGAAACTTTTATAAGGGCATTCAATTTCAAATTTGTACAACAAATTCACGTCTTCAGTAGCCCACATCCAAATTTACATACAACTGCCACAAAAAGTTATTCTGTGCTTTTGCTGAACCAGCACCTTAGCAGGAAAGCACAAAACCAGAGTTCCAATATTCTGTGACCATGATATCTTACATTAACTGTAATTTTGAGAAACTATCATTGTTAAATATATGATATTCATTTCGATAAATAATATTCGGAGTGAGTTTTATATCGAAATGTAGATAGTTATTTATTTTACTCACATTGAAATATTCAAAAAAGGAAACATATACCATATGACCGGATCACCGCTTTAAACATTTTCAATATAGCAGAAATGTTTAGAGCTCAGAATACCTTACAGAAAAGATACTCATCTGCTGGCACTTTGTGGCATCAAATATATATCTTTATTGGTGGAACGGTAGCCTGTCGGGTTGGCTTTACTCCACTCACTCAATCGTCGGCTGTGTGAACCGGTGGTTCAAGCCACGAGGCCGAACGATCAATTGTAACTTCCTATCGTCCAATCCGTGCTAGGAATCACACGTTAAAAGGTAAGACCTCGTTAAGCCTTAGCTCGCACAACTTTCGACTTTTGAGAGTTGTCGTTCGTAGGAGGCGATAGCTGGTTGATGGAAAAAACAAAATAATGTTGTCATCTCTGCAAGTTGATAAGTCAACATTTTAACTGAACAAGCTTAATTTAACTATGTTATCGTTAACAATCTTTAGGTTCATTACTATCACCTCGTCATCTGCCAAAAAATTTCATGGCAAAATAATGTTCCTTTTGTAATGTATTGTGTACTTTGATGTTTCTGAGATATATTTTCTGTGTAATTGCGTATTCGCAATTACACAGAAAATATATTTGTGTAAAAATGAGCGAAAAACAATAAATTGAACATATAAATTTTTATCCATTTGTATTGAAATTTACCCGAAAAACGATGTTGGCAACATGTGCTGGAATCATTTATTGACTGAAAATGTCCAAGTTTACCTATAGTTGATTTCTTATGTGAAATCTAATGAAAACATTTATTAGTTGACAGTTCGATGCAGAATATAGAAGGGCGACAAAAATCTATATAACTATTTTTTCGCAATTCATACCACTCTAAATTCAATTATATCTTTGAAGAGTTCATGGCTGATGGTTTCCACATACATATAAGGAGACATTCAGAAGACGAAAAAAACCTCCAAAAGGAAAGTGAGGTTGGGTTTCGCTTAAGTTGGGTTAGCTGAAGTTGTGATGAAATAGAAAGTTCGTTGAGGAAGTACCACTTTTGCATATTTTAGATTTTAGAGTATATTTTTTCATCATTGTCACAATGGAAGATAAGCGATTTGCCCATGTTGCAACGAATCCAAAATTTCGTCCAATACCAAAGAACCAAAGGAAAGTCAAAATAGACAAGAGGTTTCAGTCTATGTTCAAAGATAAACGATTCAGAGTTGAGTATAAAACAGACAAAAGAGGAAGACCAGTTAATCATACGTCAAGTGAGGACTTACGAAGATACTATGAACTGAGTAGTGAAGATGATTCCTCCGAATCGGAATCAGAAAACGAAGTAAAAGTGGAAGAAGGAAAATTTGTAAAAGCTCCTAAAGATAATGAGACCACTAATGATCTGGATGAAAAATCCGATAAAGATAAAATTTTGGATGAGAAAGCGAAAAAAAGACTTCGTAACTTAAAAATTGACTATGCCAGAGGCGAATCGGCATTATTTTCTGAAAGTTCTTCGGATGATGAGGAAAGCGACGAGGAATTACTGGAAACAGAAGAATTGGATCACAAGTGGGGAGAATTGGACAATGATGCTGAGCAGACAGAAAAACCCACCTATAGGTATGTCATGGTTGACCTATGCTTTTATAAATTTGATAAAAGAATGGGACATGTTGTATAAAATTGAATCAATTGATCTAATTGAAAAGGGAATTGGCGAAATACAAAATCATGAAAAAATAAAAATTATGAAAAGTGCTAGCTAGAGTTATTCTAATTCATAAGCCAGTTCCAAAAAAATGAAAAAAAACTGCATACACCGATTTCTGTTATGTGTCCTATCAACATTTATTAAAATCATGATGAAGAGGAGAAAAACATGTTTTATTAATAAATATGTGAAGCTAGACAATTATCAATAGTGATTTCTGATTGGTAAATAATTCAGAGTATTTCAATTGCCTTTGTGAATCACATAACCACTGTCAGTATTGTAACGGAGGCCATATGAGCAAAGGCAGAGACAGAAGTGCAATTGTTACCCTCTGCAGATGTGAAGGTTGAAGGAGACTTAATCAGTCATTGAATATGAAAAAATACGTTTTTGATAATCGAAATAATCAAGAAGCAAATTATGTTTTGTTGATGTTTTTGGCTTTTCCAACCTGCTACAAGCTGAAAAATAAATAAATTTTTAATTTTGATAATAAAAAGCAAACAGAAAAGTTTAACCGGAAGAGTTACGTCGTTATATGAATTGTTTTCATTTCGCCTATGAATAAAATGATTGGATTTTTTTTATGTACTTAGTTTTCCTAAAATGGATTATGTATCAGAAGTTGATTCTTTTTCTATCTCAGAAATAAGAAATCATTGCTGGAAACTACCCTCACTGGTTGAAACATTTGTGATTTTGAGAAATCTAAGTATATAAAAAAGTTTCGATGATTTATTTCATTTATAGACAAAAATTTTATAAATATGAAAAGCAACTGACTAATTAAATTCAATAATAATTTTGCCACTTCCCACACAATTCAAAAACATGCAGAGATGGATGCAGAGGTTCATTTCATGTGGAAACTATGCACTTGCTGAGGCAGAACCGAGGTCCCGTTACAACCCTGTACTGAACCAGTCAATGAAAATTGTGTCATTTGATTATTCATTGATCTTCAAAAGGCTTTCGATGTTTTTGAGACAAAATGTGTAATCTCATATCTAGCAATGAACAAGGTAGACAGTAATATGTCAATATTGAAAGAATGAAAAAAGAGTGAATTATTCAGGAATTTCACTTATCAAATTGAAATATGCAGTATTAAGGCCATCGATATCTCTTCTAGTGTTAACACTATCGCATTTGAGGATATATATCATTTCGCACAAGAGTCTTTTGGATAAATATGGTTGAACATCTAGGAACAGTTGGATGATTAAAATTAAAAAGTGTCCATATTCTCTTTCATGTTCAACAAGGGCTGTGGGTTTTTTTATATTTGGTTTCTTAGAGCCTATTATGTGTTCTGAAACTCGTGTTTTAAGAGACCGTCCAGTTTGACCAACATAGCATTTGTAACAGCTTTCACAGTTCAATTTTTACACTATATTGAATTGTATGTCTTGTGGTGTTTTCAAGTTTATCAGATGAATTTTCTACAAATGGAATTTTGTGATATTTGGGTTTCATCCCTGTATTTTGGGAAGAGGAACCTCTTTCTTTAATTGTTTTTTTAATAAGGGCTCTAGGACAATTATTTTCTACTAGGTAATTCTCAATTGAATATTTTTGTTATGGAATTCAGAATTGGAAATGGCAATTACTCTTGATTTCAAATTTCTTATAATGTTGATTTTACTGTTGAAGTTATGTTTTGAAAAATAATTTTAAAATGTCTCAAATTTCAGTTTTTGATGAAAACTATGAAAAGTAGCTAATATTTCTGTTTTTTATTTTTTGGAATGGAAGTAACAATATCGTCAACATATATTTTGAAAAAAGGCAATGAAAATTACAACTTTTTTTAGTATGGTAAGCTATCCTTGAAAGATAGATATATATGTCATCTGTTTTTTGGAGTATAAAAAATCAATACATAGTGAATTTTGCTATATGTGGCAACGTTTTTTATGAAAGCTTGCACAGGTAGGATAGCTGCCCCAATTTCATATGAATAACATCATATTTCAACCAATTCACACAAAATATTTATGAATTATAGACATCAACGTTCCTCTTGAATCATTCGATCCATTGGTAAAAATTGTAAGAAAATTCATTCAGTGGTTTTTGAGGTTATGGCGATCAGACAGGCAGACCAGGCGGGGAGTCTTCGTTTTATAATATGCACTGTTTTGAAATCATCGCAATATTTCAATAGGTTTAATACAGATAATTTGATATACATATTATATAATTTCAGGTTAGCAGCCTGTAATATGGACTGGGACAGAATAAGGGCAGTAGATTTAATGGTTCTTTTCAACTCATTCTTAACTCCTGGTTCTGTCATAAAATCTGTAATAATCTACCCCTCCGAATTTGGTAAAGCCCGCATGAAAGAAGAAGAAGTGAAAGGCCCCATAGAATTGGTCGAAAAAAAAGCAGAAGAAAATGAAGACGAAAACGAAGAGGGTTCCAACTATCACATGGAAAAACTGCGGCAGTACCAACTCAATCGGCTCAAATATTACTATGCTGTCATAACGTTTGATAGTGCCAGTACTGCAAACAAAATATACACTGAATGCGATGGAATGGAATATGAGTCAAGTGCTGTGAAGCTCGACTTGAGGTTCATCCCTGATGACATGGAGTTTGACAATGAACCTAAAGAAGTTTGTGATAAGCTGCCAGAAGTGAATAAGTACCAGCCTAGGTTTTTCACAACAACGGCTCTTCAACAAGCAAAAGTTGATTTAACATGGGACGAAACAAATCCAGATAGATTGGAAATTTCACAAAAACTCAGTTCTGGTAAACTAGAAGAAATATCAGAAGCAGATTTGCAAAACTATTTGGCTAGTAGCAGTGATGAAGAAGAATGCAAGGAAGAGAAGGATGAAAGTGATAAAGATTCTGAAGATAACCAGGGGGAGAATGTTATTGATAAATATAAGGCTTTGTTGATGGATATAGAAGATAAGGAGAAGGCTAAAAAGAATAAAGATGTTGAAATGGAAATTTCTTGGGGAATCGATCTGAAGGAGAAGACTGAGGAGTTGGTAAAAAAGAAACAAAATAATTCAGAAGATAAAACACCTTTCGAGAAGTATCTAGATAAAAGAAAAGAAAAGCGGAAAGAAAAACGTTCCAAAAAAAAGACAGAAATGATCCCTCCTGGCAGGTATATGCATACATTCTGTCTTCCCTCATTATACTCCAGACACATTTCCTCCTTCCATACCTTCACAGTCGGGTGAGTGATGAATGAAGACGAGGGCAAAAAGCACTTTAGTCTTAAAAAAATACAAGACGCAGAAAATGAATCTAAAAGTAAAAAGAAGCGAAAGAATAAATCAAAGAAAGATGCTGGTGAAAGTAAAGTGGAGGACGATTTCCAGGTCAATGTTGCTGATGAAAGATTTTCAGCATTATTCAATAGTCACCACTTCAATATAGATCCAACTGATCCACATTACAAAAAAACCAAAGGTATGGAAACATTGATATCAGAAAAATTGAAGAGGAGGGCTGAGAGCAATGGCGAACCTGTTGTAAAGAAAGTTAAAGGAAATCGATGTGGTAAAAAGGACGCTGAACTGAGCTTGCTCGTTAAATCAGTGAAGAGGAAAACTAATGACTATATGAACAAATGATATATTTATATAAGTGATATATATTTATTAAACAAACTGATGCAAGATTATTTTGATAGAAGTTGTTTTGAATGAATTTTCAATTCATTTTATATTTCTATTTATAACAGCCCTCTAAATTAGAATAGTAATTGAGCTGTATCATTTGATAATTATGTTTGAATAAATGAGAAAACGAATGATTTGGAAGCAATATCTTCACAACTGGGGTTTCAAACTCTCCTCAAACTATGAAAAATCACCATAAACATCATATACAAACACTTGTGATGAAAATGGCCAATACTTCATGAAAAATGAAAGTTCAAGCAACATTTCATTGTGTACATTTCACAAAACTGCAACACATGTCCCTACACAATAGCTCTTCTACGTGATTAATATTGATGTTATTATTGTATTAAACACCCCTGGAGAAGCTACTGAACAGTGAAACACATGTTGGGGTTTGGTAAACTGTTTAATGAAAATCTCTCAATAATTTTTGCTAAAGTACAATTTCCAAATTTTCACATCCTTTAGCATTAGGAAATTAAAAAAAATCAAATTTGATATTCCAAATTAACTTCTCCAGTCGTAAACATTGTACAAGGTATGCAGACAATAAAGGGTAAAACTGGGACCTTTGGCGTAGAATAAATTCGAAAGTGGCAAATTGATATAAAGTTATCAAAGTTCAGACATAGTTTTACTAGTTGCCCATATAGAAACCTTAAAAATGATCTGAAACAGCTAGAAGTTATAGAAAATTGGTTTATTGAAAAAAATATATGAAGAACTGCATGCTTATTTCAGTGGATTTTACAATGGGGAAGTTTTCATGTGTATCAGTCATACCCATGTCTTCAAAATTTTGTTTTTAAATTTACTAAATGTTGATGTAGTTAATATCATTCAGTAATCTTTGTCAAACCGATATGGAAAAAAACGTTCAATCTTTTTAGTAGATAGTGTGAACATGAATACTTTTCTGGATAGTTTCAATCAGGCTTTGCCAAGTGCTTGTAAATCAGTTGTATACCCATCTCCTCAACTTCTTGAAGAGTCCACTCGATTTCTTCCTCATCTACTTATGATGGCCAATGATTAGCAATCTAGTGTCCACCACGATTAATAAGTACTTTACATTCATTCTGATACCAATTATTCTCTCATTTATTGTTATTACCATGGCTTCTCATCCCTCCTAGCAGGTATATGCATACATTCTGTCTTCCCTCATTATACTCCAGACACATTTCCTCCTGCCATACCTCCACAGTCGGGTGAGTCATTGCAATTTCTGCAAACACATAAATTGTGCAGATAGTTGTTTCATCTTTTGCCACCATAACGGTGAGTAAGAAATTTCATTCATGCTGAAGACCTTTACACATACAAAATAAACATACAAAATACAGTTTTTTATATGAAAAATCTTATTGGACTAGTCAAGTAACACTAGACCACTGGACTACAAAACCGCAACAAGTGTTTCGGTATACAATAGATTCCTCAAATGTTTTCATAGTAATTGGATTCAGGTGTGTCTATACTATGGACAAAACAAAGAAATAGTCTATAATTCAAAGTTCAGAAAACATAAACCACTAGACCAGAACTTCATAACTTATAATATATTAGGTTAATTTTTTTAACTGTACATTTGTAACCGTTTGATAAGACCAGTAGATCTACTACTTTTCATAATTTTTTTTAATTTCGAGAAATGTTCAGTGTCCATATTCTTTAAAAGAAAAATTCAACTTCAGAGAATTGTAGAGGAGAATAATATAAAACACAGTTATTTACAGCTTAAAAATAGCATTGAATAATAAACGACATGAGTGGTACACTTTTATTACAACACTGTAGACGTATTATCAGGACACTAATATATATACAAAATTTTTACATTTATAGACATGGTGTCTAGAAAATTGCATATTAATTTATATAGTAAACCCAAAACATTTATTCAAGCACATGTTAATCTTAAACAATGAATAATAAATATTTTTTTTGTGTTCCATCTGTATGAAATTGATACAAAAGCTAATTTCTCCCCATCTCCAGAAGATAAAAAATTCTATGGGTAAATATTGGGGTACGAGGGAGTTACACCTAAAAATAAATATTACGACCAACCCCAGAAAACCAACTTTATTGTATCCGAAAAATACCTAATGTTTTCCTTTAGAACGATTCTAGTTCAACTGTTCCACACTTTTGTGATCCACATTCATTTTCGGTGGTTTATAGTGTGTGTATACAAAGAAAGGAACCAGTTCACTTTCGGTAAATTTCACAGAGAAAAATATTTCTGAATAAAACGATGAGTCCAACATTATGAGAAAGAATCCCGTATAATGGTGTATCGAAATGTCTAAAATAAAAATCAAGTGCAAAACAATAATTCAGGAAACTCTGAAACAAATGAAATTTTCGAATCGAAACATGTGGAAACTGTGTAAACAACATGGTTAACCTTTTAAAGAAATGAGATCAAATTCAAATTTAGACTTTAGTGAAATAAATACAAAAATGGAAATGTCATACCGGGATGTTAGGAACGGTAATAATGAAAAAATCAAATGGAAACGTGTCCTATTTTGATTTCCATGTCTAATCTTCAAGTGCAGATATGGAGTTGAGAAATAAAAATTCAACAGAAGCATAGAAGGATCACAAGTTTCTATTTTAAGTTTCAAAATAGCAACACTCTTCACTCTGAGAAGAGTGTTTGTTGGCTGAGGACTGCAGGTTTTTATTCCTGACGTACAATCTATAACTGCATTAGAAGTTATAAAAAGCAATTGGGCAGCGGAAGATGTGCTTTAGTTGTCCTCTAAGCATATATTACATCGTTCAGGGTTGCTTTATTCCCTTTGATGTCTACCACAGTTGTAGCCTGCAGACTACGCCAACAAACACGGAAAATAGCTTTGACACAGTGATTTTCATAGTATTTATTTCAATAATATCTTGAAAAACGTTTTTATTTCCAATAATTTTTTTTTAGATTTTGTTGGAATTATTTTTTTTATTTTAGTTTCGGATTGGAATATTGTATATATTTTAGGGTGATATATGTTTGAAAGTTATCTGTTACATTATAAGAGCATTCGTGACAATAATTTGTAAAACTCAATTTACCACCATAACTTGAGCAAAGGTTAATCGCTTTATATTACATTTGTCCCACAATCTGGCTAGGAGACAGACCTCGTTTCTTCAGAAGTATACAAATTATATTGATCTATTTCACTGCACTTTTTCAGTTGGAATCCTCTTTTATAGATTACAGTGGCAAAAAATAAGTTGAAAAGGGTAACTGTTGCTAATGGGTGTTGTTCATAAAAAAAAAATACAATTGTGAAATTGACACCCTTTAGCTAAGGCATATTTTTTTTAACTTAAAATATAAGATTATTAAAATCGTAGATAGTAAAAGATAGATGGTTTAATTGTCGCCAAGTTCACTGTTTTAGAGTACTACTGGATGGAACCCTGAAAATCGATTCTAGCTATTATAGTTCCGTAAGATACATTACCAGGGTATCGAAGTTATTCCTTACTTTACCTATACACACAGTATATAACCACAGAGATGGCAATCGAAGCTAAGTTGGGAATTACTTACTTTCTGTACATTATAGTCACATAGAAGTCATATAGAATCCAATTTGTTTTTCAAATTCATATAAGTTAATGTGTTACACTCCAGAGATTTTAAAATATAAGGTTTTCATCGTGTCCATATAAGTTACATAAAATCATAATATTACAGCACTATTTTTAAATTAAATGATTTATTTATGTGAACTGCAGTCAAATATTACAATTAATGATAAATATAACTCATGATAAAATGTTGAAAATGAAATTAATTTCAGAAAAAAAAAACATCACACATTCAGATGATTCATTTAAAAGAGTATTACTACTAACAATGAAAGAATTTTTTTACTCTTGCTAGTTGAAAGTTCCAATTTTCATAAATTTTGGGTTTTTACTTTTCAGGATGTGTGGCATAATTTCATACAATAAATACTAAATTCTTCCTTAAACATTTGCACATGCACTTCAGCAGACTATTGTCAATAGTTTTGACAGAGTAGAGTTGTGAGATTTTCTACAAGTATTACACATGAAAAAATGTTATGATGTGGTATTTGTTTGATGGACAATACCCAAGTTCTGATTAAAGCAAATACCTCATTTATATATATCAATACAAGTTCTCAGTAGATACTTTGATCGACTTCTTTTTCTGAAGTAATCAATATTACTTTTTTTACCTTTCAATTAACTTCCTGGATTCCTCACACTGTTCATAGACAATAAATAATATTGATATCTGAAGAATGAAACTTTCAAAATAATATGTATGAACAGACGGTCTTCTTTCTGGCATATCAATTGATTTCTTTCAATTTTCATCACTTGGAGACCATGATGTCTATGATTTCTGTAGCCATACCATTCTAATCCCTCCCAAAGATTTCAAAACGTTCAACATATTTTATAAAAAGATTTAAAAAACATATAAGTCATTTTTGAAACTCATAACTGGCATCTGAATGTATGATATAATATTTAAGTAATGCCATTTATGGCAAAAATAAGATCATTTCCATGAGTGATGTCATAAGATTTCAATTAAAAAGTATTCATTACTGAACTGATTTTGATACCGAATAGGTTTTAACAATTATGGTTATCACAAATTCACTAAAATACACCGAAAGACAAAAAACTGCCCCAAACTTTTGGTTGAATTATTCGATTCATAACTTTTGAGTTAGTAAGACAAATTGCAATATTTTTCAATCTTAAGTCAACAATAAGTTTATAATTCCACACGAGTCCTTGGAAAATCTATATTGAAAACATGGTAACGCATAGATTTCTTGAAATGTTTATTTGTCTATTTACTCAAAGAAAAGAGAATCTCAAAGGTTAGGTAGCATTGAACTTATGAAAATTTTGAGTGTTTCAGTTTTTTTGTCTTTCATTTGCAAACTATACTCATGGATATGAAATAAAAGATATCTTGAAAACACACGTTGAAGAAAAAAAATATAACAAACAACAGGAATAAAATTTTCAACAGTCAACTACTTCATTCTAACTAAAGTCCAGGATTCAAGAAGTAAGAGTAAGTTGATATAGTAAATAATGTTAATAGACTTTCTGATCAGTTTGTGAACACAAAATAAATAATCAACTACCTTGTTTTTATCACTTCCTGTTTTGAAATTAACCCTGAACTCTTTGAATCCTGAACTAGAAACCAAATCACGTGAAAAGTGTAATATGGCATCTGAAAAAATTAGTCGTAATAACGTCCAAATACTCATCTGAGCCATAATTTCAACCGCAGTGCATCCACACCATTCAAATAGTATCTGAAGAGTCTCTTATCTCGAACAAATCCTAGCTTCTCGTAAAGTTGTAATGCCGGTTTATTAGTTACTTCGGTTTCGAGGACTACTTCATCAGCATTACCCTGTAACATTTCGCTAATAGCCATTCGAACGAGGTTAGAACCAATTCGAAGTTTGCGATACTTTTGGTCGACGGCTAACATTGCTATGTAACCTCTTTTGATCACTTTACGGTGAAGGTCTAATTTGCATACAATTGCACCTACACATTCTCCTTCACACATTGCCTAAAAATAGAGTCTGTTTAATAATAATTTTACTCATCCAACGATAACTGTAATTGATAAAAAGATAACATATTTTCTAGTATCAACTCTATATACTATATATATTTCGGTACCTACCTAGAAAGGGCATTTGAAACTATTGATTGAACTCGATTATATAATGACATGAATTATAAGTATGACAAATAAATAAATTTCCATACATGATATAAATAATCTAACTGGCAATGATACATTACTTATAGATGCAGGATACTCAGAATTTGGTCTGTGAAATCGAGAATGAACAACTCATAAAAATTAACAAGATTGTTAATTTAGACAACAAAACTGAGGAAATAAAGAACCCTACCATAAAAGGAAAATATTGATTAATAAGAAGATAGTTGGAGAAAATGAATATAACGAAGACTCTGTCGTTGAGAAGAAAATGTGGCTATATTGCTACACTTGTCTAGTCTCGATCTTTATACTTGAAACTGTCCTTTTCCATAAGAATAAAAAAGTCTAGAGGCTGCTATTACCTACTTCACAATATTACAATATCCATACCGACTATCATAAAAATCATTTATGATGGGATTAAGTTATACGTTTGCCTTCCAGATACATTTAAGAAAACTATAATTCAACTTTGAACATGTATTATTAAAAAGGCCATATTTATTTTAACCTGCAAAAATATCTTGATAACACTATGAAGAGAAAATATTTTTGATTAAATATGTCCCATTTCGAAATTATTTGAACAAGCTTTGTCAATCGGACTTATCTTAGAGAATGAATCATATATAAGTGAATATATAAGTGTGAGGTGTATGTTTTTATAGTGCAGTTGAAGCATGGAAAATATTGATAACTTTTCAAGACAGTTTTGCACAAGAGAAAAATGAATCGACCTCTCAAAAAAACTATTACCAATCTTTACCTCCTTTCCAAATGTGTACTATCCCACAATAAACAAAGAACACCCATTAGTAGAATAAGGTACCAGGAATATTACTAACACTAATAAAATTGATAACCATGTAAAACCTTTTCACAGAACTATATTATACAATATTATTTTGCAGAAAGTTTTTCATAAGAAATTTATAGTAATTCTTAAATGATTTTTTATCCCTGTTTACCTTTACCAGATATACTTTTCACATTCCCAATCTTTGAATCAAAAAGTTATTAATAGGTTCTTACCAGAAAGCACAGCTTTGGCCAGTTGTGGATGAAGTATCTGTATGTGTAAATTGAATAAGGTTCGGACAAATCTTTTTGAATGATTTTCATGATCATTGGCATCTGCATCTCAGACTCGTACTGTATAAAATCTATCTTGTGCTTTGTTTTTAGAGAATCACATGACTTGAGTTCGCTGTCTTCTAACTGGACATTTTTTAAACTATCTGTTATCTCTGCAACATGCTCTCTGGTGATGTTTAAAATTGCTTCTTTGCACTGTGTATTATCTTCACTACCTCTTATCAAAGTCGAACTACTTGAGGCCCCCTGATCGTTATTCACATTGTCGATAGATTGTGTTTGACTAACAGATTCCAATTCATCCAGATCAGGAGTTGGGATATTATCACAAGAAATATTATAATTAGTATCTAATTTTTCATCTTCAGAGTTCAGATTCTTAGTGCCATTTTTATTATTATCTACACTATTTACAGTTCTAACATCCTTTGAAATTTCATTTTTATTTCTGCTACTTTGGTCTATTTTTTTTTCAACTTCGTGGGCAGTCTTCGCCAAGTGAATTGTTTCAGATTCGTTTTCATCTTCAATATTTACAGGTTTATCATTGTTTTGCTTACATTTTTTACCTTTTCCATTTCTCCTTTTAACTGGTAATGAGTCATCTTCAGCTATCCCATTTGCAATGCCATTCTTCAGTTCTGTATTTTCGAGGCATTTTTCACTTAAAAAGCAGTTCTTAGGTACATCTTTGATCTTTTTTTCGTGTGCGACGGAAGGACACTTATCAACCTTACTTTTTTTATTATGAGTCTTGTTCATTTTTTGCCCAGAATAATAGAAGAAAAATAATCACCTATTTATTCTTCTCATAACATTGCTGGCTTCAAAAAGATAAAAATGTTAGATGAAAAAATAACTGCAACCAAGACATATTGATGTGGAATTTAGAATTAAGAGGAGGAAGACAGGGATAGGGTCTTGAAGGTTGAAGGATTATGTAGTTCTTTATTTGTAGGTTATTATTCCTGTGAGCTGGTGGTTGTCAAAAAAGCAGGGTGAATCTGAAAAAAAGATATTTTGTCAATAAACCATATATTTGTATAACCGTAAGTAGAACACGTTTATTAATTTATATTTATAAAATATCACCTACATTATTTTAACGCCTTATTTAAACAAAAAACCAAAATCCAACCTAACCTCACCTCCTTAAACTAATATCAAAGGAATGAATATAGGCGTGAAGCTAAAATCTCCAGACATTACTAGATATAATGGGGGAAACCGGGGCAATTCAAACGTACGTTTCCGCTTCAAAGATAATTTGAAATACAGTTGGAATAAACATGTAAATAACTCATTAAATACATATTTCAAGCGAAACTATATCTGCATAAAAATGTGCTATTCACCCCCTGAAAACTTAATATTCCATCGTCTTATAATTTTATGAACGAATATTTTTCAATTATATATGCCTAGTAGAAAATTGAATGCTTACAAATTTTCCCCATTCAATTTTCTGAGTTGGATTATTTTTCATTTAATTTTTCATTATTAAAAAATGTTACTATAATAACAAAACAATAATATATTCTTTATTTTGAAAAAATCTATTCAGTAAAACATGCAGAAACGACTTTTTGGAGTTTTGCAGCAAAAATAAGTGAAATCTATCCATCTTACTATTTGTTTAGTAAATACTGAGAGTAATCGTTGAACTTTCCAGTCTTATAAATGAAAAATAGATCTTTATACCGTAATTTTTATGAAGCCTCACAAGAAAAATCCCAGTGGAGTCTAGTGGTCCATGTATCCCAATCCACTTATTAGAAAAAGCTGTCTCCAATTATTCTTCGTCAATTCTATTGATACAATCAAATATTCTGTTGTTATCGGAATGTATTTCAATCATTGTTTTAATTGAGTCTGTAGAAAATTCAAATGTTTCTCGCTGTTGAAATGAAAATATCGTCTTATTAGATATCCATTGATCAAACCGCACCAAACATTTATTTTACATTATACTCGTTGACACCCTCCATTACTGAGTACCCAGCTTGGGTTTACCTGCGACCAGTAATGTTAATTATTGCAAATGTATTGACAAGTTTTACTTTTTAAGGATGAAATTTGTTATTTCTCAATATCCTACAGCAGGAACCCTTGAAATCCCAGAGATGAATTTTATTTTTTCTAGACATATCATCGGGTGATTATCAACTTGTTGAAGAACCAGAACTGTGTTGTGATCAGTAGTGATGGTCTTTAAATCTTCACAGAAACATAATCAGAAACTCTTCTTTCAGGCCAACGCTGTCTGTACTTTCGATGTACAGACTTAGTATGAGGTGTTAATACAATCATTTGACATTCAATACAAAACAATGATCAACGCCTCCTAGATGTTGAACAAAATACTGAAATGTCTTTTCGTACAAATTCCTGCCCATTTTTGAATTATCTGTTCATTGCTGCTCAAATCAGTAAGAAAACATACTTTTTTGAGAAATTTGCAAATAACTAAGATGACGGTTTCGTTAGATCGTTCGTATTATTTGACTGCCCTCAAGAAAGCTAGCAGAGTCTTCTTCGAATAAGATTTTACTTCCATGTCATACTTTCAGGAGAAATCAAGAAAAGGAATTTATATGACTATTTTAGGCGATATTCATTCAATTACAGTAATTAGAGATTATCCATTTAAATAAATATAAGTTCCTGTTGTCAAGGAACACGTATGTAATTGACAGCTGATGTACAGGCGTTTAAATGGAAAGAAATGACAAGTATGATGTCTGCAAAGTAATACATTGAATTTTTCTTGAAATAGGCCTTATAACATATATCAGAAAATAGTTGTAGAGAATATGGATTCCCGCTGGGTACACGAGCGTAAAGGTAACATGGCCAAAAGTAAAAGTGAAAACTATCGAGGAGAGATACATACGTATAAGGAAATAATATGGCCAAAACCTTGGAAAAAGCAAGCCCCACAAACTCTTATTTCTCTTCTTTTTTTTTCTGATTCATTCGGTCGTTATTTGATGAAGATCCATAGTAATTTCAAAAACTACAAATCGTAAGGTGACCATCTATCTTCCCCCCTTTAAAACGCAGTTCTCAATAAAATAACAAAAAAACGACAATCCATGTTTCTACATTATTTTTGTACGGTACATCTAAGGGTTCACACATTGATAGTGTGTTTGTGAGATATCATCGAAATTTTTTATTCGTTTGAAAGATCTATTGATGATGTCATGTGTGGGATATAACATCGTTCCATCTAAATTTCCATGACTCTGGCGCATAAATCAAGCTAAATTTGACCGATGGCATGGGTTGTCGGCTTAAAGGACCGCTGTGGTTTGTGGCTTATTCGTATACACCTGCGACTTGAGGAAACCCCACAAGAAAAAGTCTAACGAGGTCAAATCGCACGATCTTGGTAGCCAATTCATATTACCTCTACGTGAGATGACCATGTCCCCAAATTGTTCGTGCAGATTATCCAATATGACATGAGCTGACTTTTTTGGGATGCATTGAACGCTCTAGATCTCATGTGGATTGGTGTCGTGCCAAATTCGACAATTTTGTTTGTTCACGTACCCATTCATCCAGAAATGGGCCTCATTGCTAAAGATTATTTTTCGATGAAAATTAGGGTTAGTTTCCAAATGCTCAACGAACACACTTCCATGTCTATAGTCACCTTCAGTTCTTGGGTCAGTTGGATTTTGTACCGGTGCAGGCCCAAGTCACGACAATTCGCCAAGTTGTGGTCCGACTGCCTCGGATTCTCCTGCACACTCTCACAGATAGCTGCGATGTTTTCGCAAATCTTGCGTTTCGTCGACGTACGGGTATTGGTCGATCGTTTACTGAACTCCAATTCATCCACAAAATTGCGAATATTCCTCTCGGTAGGACGATTATGGCGACCATTATTTGATGAAATAATATTATCATTTGCACAAGTTGTTGAATGCTATATCCGTCCATGGTGATTTGGCAAAACAGACTGAATAAATGACAACTAATTTGACAGATGTAGCTTCAACAAGATGGCCGTTATCAATTGTCAAAGTTCGGAAGTCCCTAATGCACCAAAATTTAGTCCAACTAAATTACTGAGTGCATCAATGTGTATACTTTTAAATAATTTGAATAAATTTAGATTGATATCAAATCGTACTGACCTATTTCTATGGTGATCTATATTGACCGATTTATTTATTCAACGTAAAATTCATTAAAAGAAGTGATAAAAATCTTGTTTACATAATTTTTATTAACGCTTCATATTTATACTTACGAATATAATAAATATATAGAAATATGACTGAAGCGTATCGAAATATTTTATTAATGTGGTGAAATGAGAAATATGCTAGACATATTAAGTAGGTAGGTATATAAAAACGTGTCATCCAAACGCTAACTATTTTTAGGAAGTGCCAATATAGAGAACAAGAGAGAGAAAACTGAAATGTTATTTTTGAAGGTGCTGATCCGATCAGCGATTAGCGGTTATTTCGAATCCAATTATCGTATACGGGGAACGGATAATAACTATTTAAAACACATCCATAAATATTGAATATTATCTGTTCCAAAATAAGAAGCCATCTTAACTTTTCTACTTCTCCCGTTTTGCTTCACGTTGTACAATTGTACATGTTGCAATATTTTATTCCGTGTTGGAATATTCAAAAATAATTTGTATTGCACATCTACAACATAAAACGAACCTACATACAAAATTTTAGCCTTCGAAAATATACCGGTACGGAGAAACAGTGACGAAAAGATTATTTTCATATGTAAACGCGCCCCTTTTACCCTCACGGGAGCGTCCTAGTTGGAATATTTGAAAAACCTTTCTTAGTGAGCATCCATCTGAGACCTAAGAAGCATCTACTTACCAAATTTTAGTTTCCTAGGACTTACCAGTATGGAGAAACGAATATGAATGAGTGTTAAGTACAATTACAGTACAGATTTTAAAACAGATTTTTTTTAAGTGAGTGACTTTCGCATTTATAAATAGATTGCTTTTCTGTCACATATGCGAAATTCAATATTTATGTTCGATAAGGACTGTATGTGGGCCGGTTGTTGGATATTTAAGGAAGAGACAATTCAGAAATTAATAATGGACGACACCAACCTTATTTACTTCCGGAAGATCTCCTTGCATCTAGTTTCACCTCTTAATATGTGATCGTGGGGTACCCCGGGAGCGATATTGAAGGATGCTGTTTTTAGATATTTATAATTTCTACTCCACAAAACATTCAGTGGAACACATTTAGCAGAACACACGTCTTGCTTCCTGTCTTTTCCATTCATGAATTGGTGGAAAACTACCCAGACCGCAATCATGCGTATATGTAATTGTGTTCGACCACCATTTGTGTACAGACAATTGTGTTTTTCATGATAATAGAAAACAGTTCTCTTCAACAAAATGACAATCTCTCCGGTTAATTACTTAGTGAGTTTCATGCGCTCAAAATTGGGAGACAATAAATAAAAACTGAAGTCTATGGTGCTGTACAAAAAATATTTCGTTGGGTTCCAAATGCATATATCTGATCTTTGCGTTTAAGCGAAAAAAAATATCTGTGAACCACACGTAACAGCTGCGGCTATAATTCAATAACAGTTTGTATCAACAATTGTTTCCATTTCCTATTGGTTGAACATTTTATTGTTTTAATTAGATTTCGAGGGAGCAAGTGCCCCTGCCAGCCCCCACCCCCAATAATAACCTGCTGTGGAATAGTTTAAGGAACTTAAATTATTTCCGCAAACTTGAATTATTGTTCTAACCGCGTAGCTTTGGATTCCATTCATAACGAAAGCGATCAACATATGAATATTTTGATTTTCAGTCATGTCGTTTCCAACGAAAGAAGAACGTGCGCAGTGTTGGAGTTCGCGTGATGAATACTGGAGTTGCCTGGACAAGAACAAATCTTCCGAAGGAGACAACATTTGCATGGAATTCAGGAAAATGTACGAGAAAAACTGCACCGCTCAGTGGGTGAAACACTTCGACAGGAAGAGGAATTATCTATTGTTTAAAGAAAAAATTGAAAAAGACGGGTACGAGCCTTTGAACGAAAATAATTGATTTACAGTTTGTACATAGTTGTGTGAGGTGTTTGTGCGTAATAAAGTTTTTTGGTAGAGTTTTCGGGCGTTTTTCAACCTTTTTTTTCTTTCCAGAATTCCCAACAAGGGCAAAAATGACAGTTCATTCAATGAGCCCAGGAGAATATACCACCAGATAGTATGCTCTTAAAACTGGAGATTATAATTCTCTACTCATGCCTGTGATAAAAAAATCATTGTGACCTCTAACACAAAAAAATGTATCTTACTAACAAAGTGTTTTTGAATAGATCTTCGTTAAAAGTTTCCTATTATCTGCTTTGCATTTACTGATAGGTGGTATAATGCTGTATACATGTTACATGTTTTTAAATCCACAATAATAATTTATTGAAATTGTTAATCTCGTTTTTCAAAGTCAATGTGGTTGGCAGTTGCGATTATTTTGGTCTAGACTTCGACAACACATTGCAGAGGGGATCCGACAGATAATGGAAAATGAAATACATCTCCTTCACAGATTTACAGAAATTATAATAATCTAATTCAAGCTACGTATATATGTTGGTGAATAGTAAATGAAAAAACTCAAAACTTAAAAAACTCTTAAGTGATTCTGTCATATTTTTTTGAAATACGAAACCAAAAATATGACACTCGATGTATTAAAATATTGAGGCATTTAACGAAAATGAGTCTTCATTTTTTGGCCCTTCTCAAGGTTTCTAGTAATTGGTAGTGTGATATTTACATATTAATAAATTTTTGTTGGACTTTCTATTGACATTTTGATAATATGATAAAAAATGAAATGAAGTATCAGGTTACATTTTTAGCGTTTGATAAACATTCGATAGAATCTCCAGGAATTTCATAACTTCGTTGAATTTTTAACCTCATTCAGTGGCGAATAGCCAAGTCATAATTCATAATAACCCACACGATTATTTGAAGTTCACCCACAATATAAATATTTGTAAATACTTCAGGAATTTCATAACTTCGTTGAATTTTTAACCTCATTCAGTGGCAAATAGCCAAGTCATAATTCATAATAACCCACACGATTATTTGAAGTTCACCCACAATATAAATATTTGTAAATACTTTGTAACACGTACTTGTCGCTGTTGATTGGTTATTAAGAAGAGAATATTTGGGAGTGGATCAAGTGAAACACATATCTGCAGAGTGATAAAGATTATAATTAATGTGAAAACACTAAACATATTCAACACTGTACGTGGTATTTAGCGTCCTCGTTCTTATCGAAAATTCAAATCCAGTTATAATAAGTAAAAACACAGTACTTCTTCAATCATTGTTTCCCTTCTTCAACGTCTTTCCTAGAAGACAAACTATTCAAGATTAGAAAAAACAAAATCCGGGTAGCAGGACATAGTCAAAAGGACCTTGTAGTACTGAACGTTTCGTTTGCCACTGCGGCAGACATCTTCAATACTGTAGGCGTCGTTTGCGAGGACGAAGGTAGTATCTAGGTCTATACATACATTGACCGATCGACCAGGACGAGGTTAATAGAAACTTCAAATCATATTATGCCGTTAACCCCCACCCCCCAATGTACTGCTTCTGAAAATATCGATCAGACGTTAATTAACTCCAAGGCAATCTGTCAAGTTTCTCCAATGAATGTGAATGATTCTAAGGATATAAAAAATGAACTTTCATGGACGTAGTCACGATTAGAGAAAACAAAATCTGGGCTGGTAGGCCGTGATCATGGAACCGCCGTGGTACCAAACATTTGGTACTGCCGTCAAACATCATCAGTGGTATGTGCATAGATTATACATCCAAGTCTTAGCAACGTTTAAACGATGTCTGCCGCAGTAGCAGACGACCATCCTACCAGCCCAAATTTCATTTTCTCTGAAATGATAAGATAATGATAAGAGGGGATGTCGAGCTGCAGATTATAGTCAGTTAGGAAGGCGGATTATTTCAGAAAAGTGATTGAGCGACAGTGAAAAAGTGCGATAATCATTAAGGCAATTGAAGTATAGTATTCGGTTGTTACTTTAAATTATTGAATAAAGTTACTAAATTTGAAACTTATTTGTGTTATTGAACTCGGCATAGACTTATAACATTGGGAAGCGCGACAACTCGTAATTTCCTAAAATAAGTGAATTAGACACTATGAAGTAAATGTCAAGAAAATGTTAGAGCAGTATTCAACAAACAGTTGAGAAATGTAATTCATTTGCATGATCCTAAGTCAGATGAAACACTTTTCAATATTGCGATACTCCCAGGTACGTAACGAGTAATGGAAGTACAGAGAGCCAGTTGTAAAGAAACCAAAATTTTCATTTTCACCATCCATGGCCTGATTCATGTTCCACTCTAACATATTGCCAGAAAGTGTAAGAGCATTATCGTCTGCTAATAGGATGATATAAACAATTTTCATATACTTCGAGAAATCATTTATATAAATTCAGATAATGATAGTCCTAAAATTAATAACTGCAGTATCCCGAGCAGAATATACTTTAATTTGAAAATATATTAATTTTTGTCAAAGACCAAAGGGCAAATAAAAAAAAAACAATTCATCGGTCACAAAAAATTGACAGTATATTTTTTTGTCAACTTGAAAATAATAAATACTTAAGGATAGTACATCACATAACTTCTTCAGGATTCACATCTTTACTCAGGAGTTTTTTCACTCCTGGCACATACTCGCTTGGATCTATTTTAATGCTAACAACATGTTTACCAGGAATCATTACCAACCCCAACATTCTTGGTTCTTCATTTAGAACTTTACCTTTTTCTATTGGCAAGTATTCAGAGCATGATCCTAAAATTATGTTACCATCCCTATCAGTGCACAGAAATATTCCTATGAGAATTCTTCCATCTGTCATTTCCACCCTGAAGGATTTATTCAACCAAGAGCGAAGCTTACAAGCTCCCGCGGACATCTGAAACGAAGTAGAAACATTACAGTTTGGTAGGGTGGGGTAATAATGGACAGCTTGGTTTAGGAGTGTTATAAATGATGGAAGATATTTCCAATAAAGCAATCGTGAGTTAAATTCTAAAGTTGTGAGTAATTCGATATCTGATGCCACAATATTCTTAAATGTCATGCGATTATAATCTCAAAGGAAATATAGTATAGTATTTTTGTGGGTATCGGCTAGAGGAGGACAATTTGGATGGGGGTAATCAGGAATGTTGATAATTACCACATGCATCAATTTTGGTTTGTTAGGTTTTTCACACACCTCATAGGATGCAAACATCTTTCATTGTCAACCACCTTCAAACAAATCTTTCATTAGCTGGGCAGGTTGATAAAATATGTAATTTATGTAATAACATAAGTTTTATGCCCATCAATGTACCATAGTTGATTCAAAACTATTCAAATCCTACATATTTCAGAGAAACATGAATACAAATACAATTTCGAAGACTTAAAAAAGTTTTGCACACAAACATCACTTTGATGCTAATTACTTGTACTATGTTGACAAGACAAGTATTTTCAATGTTCAAATAAGTTCAAGGATTTTAGTACCAAAAGGCTGAAAACAGCAGCATTTCAAAAAAGTGGTGAAAAAGACACTTGAACAACTACAACATTCAGCGCTTCCAGAAAATATGTTCCTTCTTTAATTTAATTTTCTAATAGGATCAGCATCAACATCAATTAGGCAAACAGTACTAACAGCTGATACATATATCAAGGTGATTTTTCTGTGATTATTGAACCATTCAGTCTATGTTGATGATTATTCCTATGTTCCTGATTATCCCATTACCATCCGTAAATCGGCACACCAAAGATTTTATTTTTTATCAGAATATAAGCTGATTCAGAAAATGCATCTATGTTGATTATAAGAGCATAAGGGGAATTAGTTCAAGTGAATTTTTAAGAACATAAGAGTAATTAGTTTAAGTGTGAATTTTTACTAATGTAACTTGAAACTGATTTGATTTTATTTCAGTCCTCAAGTGTTCGAAATTACCCCACTCTCCACTAAGTTTTTATCCTGATTTGTTCACATACATTCAAAGGTTTTTCATTTTTTGTAGCAGCCTCAGGAACATGAACTACAATGGGATCAACTACTGGCACCGCCAGTACTTCCGGTACTGAAACAGCCTGGAGAACAGGAACAACCACTGGGTCTCCCAGTAGTTTTGGTACTGGTGATACATTTTTATGTTGAACCTCAGTGCTGGTGCCGGGCAAAGTTTCCTCCATCACTATTGATAAAACTATATAAATATCAGTTGATGAATGAGAATTTTATATAACGCATGGTATTCGAAAAAAAAATAGAAATATAATTCTGCAGGTTTTACTATGGTTTTACTGTACAATAATAAAATATAAAATATCAACAAATAACCTGAATGACAACTTTTAGTTATCAATCTTCTTCTTTTTCTTACTTACACCACCGTACATATGTTTACTTCTATACTGTGCTGACACGCAGTTCTGACTCTATGGTTTTGATCTTCTGAGGTCATAGAAGAGTAAGCAATAAAAAGAAAAAACATAGAGAGGGCTGCGTCTGAGAATGAGACAAATTTTCGAAACGGAAAGCATTCCGGTAGCAATCAATAATTGTTTTAGATTTCAGTTCAGTTTCCACTTTTTTCCTGTTTCTTTTAATTTTTGCACTTTTCATCATTTATCATCAGTATATTTTGATTTTTTATTTTTATTGTCCTTGTTCTTCCTAGCCAAAAAATCTGTAACAGTTTTATTCATTTTCACTTATCCTGTTGCTAAATTCCAAATTTTTCAACACCTTTCTGATGTTATGAAATGAGTTTAGATGAATTTCAATTCTTTGAGATGTCTGAGGACCTCATCAATTATTTGAATGAATGAAAAAATAATGTTTTTCCCTATATTTTCATAGGACATATAAATGTATTCCAGTGCGAAGGTTCATCAAGAGGAAAGCCAGGAAAATTTTACCACAGAAAAAATCGAAGAGGAGCATTATTGATTTCAATAAAATGCCTGAAAAGTTATTGTCAAACAAAACTATTATGGAAAAGTTCTGAAACAGTCTTCGAAACATAAAATCATAAATAATTATAAAGAATATTCATATACATATGTGAGAATAAATCATCTTCAAAATGTTGACATTCGAATTTTTCACTATTCCATACATTTCTTCTTTCACAACTTGATAAAATAAAAAAAAATTTAGTGGTTTGAGCGAATATAAAGAAACTTCTATACTTCTCAACGATGAGTAACTCTATAAATCCAATATAATTTTCTCAAAAACTTTACTATTTATGAGTAACTTGTTATTTCTAGGTATTTAATCATAATAGCAGGGGGGTTACACCCACACCCGATCCCCAATTCATTATTTACAATCCTAATATCATATAATTTTTGCAGGTATACTTTGTCCGGTGAAAACCTACCAGAAAGTGAAGATAAAACGCGGATATTCAAGCCAAAAGTTTCAATTACCCAACAAACGTTCAATTTACGTGGACTTAGTGTCTATCAACAACATAAAGACGTTTATGATGCACTGTTTGGAACCTTTGGTGTAGTAATGAATATTACTGGAATATTACCAAATCGGTAATTTTTTTAAAACAAACGATACTCTACAGAGCCTCTTGGGAAGTACAAAAGACAAAGTTGAGAATTCGGAAAAGTCTGGAATTTACGAAATTGAATGTATGGACTGCGATGCAAAATATTATGGACATACAAAAAGATCTATTAAAGTAAGATTTAAGGAACACATGGCACACTTAAAATATGGAAGACCTGAAAAATCAGCAGTCGCCCATCATATTTTGCAACAAAACCATTTTATAGACTCCAGCTCATTAAGATTAGTTAGACAAGTTAACAACAACAGGCAACTAGATGCCTATGAGAGTGTAAGTTCCAGGTTCCCGAGGAAGACCAGTCTTGAGTGATCGGGCTCCTTTCAACCATACTATTACTTTGTTGTTAGATTTCATACACATATGGTTAATAAAGATTACTGTTATTATTATTATTATTATTATTATTATAAGTAAACACAATAATATTATCGTTTTCTTTCGGTATGTGTTTTTTATCGTAAATAAAAGACAAAACAGCTTTTGAGTCGTGATTTGTTATTACTGAAAAGAAATAACAGATGACAGAAGATAACACATAGAAATTCGCGATTTGCAATTCGCAATAAAAATGCAAAAATTTGGATAAGCATGATCTAGCCTTCCGTCTATTATAAATGAAGCATATATGTGACATAGATTTGGCCGGAAGGTTCTGATAATCATAGCCAATGTAGGAAATAATGAAAAAGGAAGATAAACAAAACATTATTGGGGTTAAGATACAGGACTGAAGATTGAAGTTCAATTGAATTGAAGGATAGAGCTTGTGAATTAGATTTAAACAAAATTCTGTGCAGAAGTGGAGTTGAAAATGTCGTCAATTATTGAAGAAATGTTTGAAAGCTGCCACGATGATCCGTGTCTCATTATCGATTATCACAAATTTGGTAGAGGAATGGAAAATTCTACATCTATGACAAATTTTCAAGTAAAAAGAACAAAACTGTTTGTTTGCTGGAAAATCATTGATAATGAATTGGTACCTATAGATAAAAACATCTACGGTATCCTATTCGATACTGAAAATTATTTAATTCAATGGACTTTTGAATTCGTTTTAGAAGATACAAAACTGAAGGAAGAAACAATGTTTTATTATTGGAGAGGTTATCAATCTTCTAAAGGTCTTTCCCCTTTGCCCCCTACCTTCAATAATGAGAATACAGTTGTTGAAAGGATTTGTCAATGGAGTGAACCACCTATATTTTTTCACATATTATTTCCAAAACATGTTATTGTTTTTAGTGGTTCCGAAGTAAACTTCGATCCATGTAAATCTCGACTCTTCATGCTTAGAGGAGAATTGCCAAAAGAGATTCATTTATATGAGTTACAATTTTTGAAGAAGAATTTGAGAAGCAGGGCAATTTTTTTAATTGTAGTTCCTCAAGAGAAATTCATTTATATTTGGCAGGGTGGAGCTACGATTGAGAATAACTCTTCAGTGTGTCTGAATCTGGCATCAGAATTGAAACAGATAGATAATAACTGGAAACGTTTTACAATTAAACATGTTAATGAAAGCAACAATGACATAATTTTTAAAGATGACCAGACTGAATACTTTCATCTAGAGGGAAAGTTAGATTTTACTCCACGGCTTTTTTATTTCAATTCTATTACAGAACAATTTTCAGCAACTGAGGTTCAGTATTCTTTGAGGAGTACTGGTCATGTGGCAGCATTTCCATTTTTGCAGTCTCATCTTTACAGTACTGAAGAACCAGGTGAGCTGATGAAACACAAACTATGCTGTTCCTCATCATTAGCCATAGCAGCCTCTCAACTACTAATGCCTTCATATGCTGTCAGTTCAGACTAACATTTTTTTATTCCTCATATTACTATAATCTCACTGAAATTCTATAAAAAATAAGTTAAATATGTACATGGATAAAAAGGAAAAAAAGTGAAGAGGCAGAAAGACAGACAAGTCAGTCATCAACTCATATCAATATTGAAAATACTGAGTTGACAAAAATTTACTCAGTGATGAAAGCATCGCAAAGTGAAGCCACATTGATGTCCATCATGTTATTTCTCAGGGAAGTAGTTGTTTTTTTGCAAGCATTTCCAGATCCTAGTGTGTAGTAAAGCTGTGAGATATGAACAATCATTTGAAATATTTTTTTTGCCATATGTACCTGTACTAGATACAATCATCTGACTGATTTCTGTTATACTGGTACATGGGGTGACTCTAATATGTTTGGGGATCTGTTCATGAAATGGAGCTGACACTAATTTCAATTTAAAATCGAATGGAAATTTCGTACGATGCTGTTTTAAATAATCTCACCTTCATTGGTGAGTGATACTTCGAAACTGGTCACCCAATCGATTGAGCAAGTCCCTGCTTTCAAACAAACTAGATATGCAAATTTTAACAAACAGATCTGTAACAGTTTTCTCGGTGATGAAGCTTTCAATCCAATGGTAGTGTCGTGGTATCAGCTAAAAAAGAGGTTGTTTCCGGCAGGGGTAGTGTCCTGTTTCTGGCAGGAGTTTATGATTTAGAGGGGAGAATGAAAAATTTTTCCACCCATCTCTCCTCAACAGAGTCAACAGAATGATTTGATTTCTATAAGTTTTATTGAGTATATGGAGTCTAGCCCAGTAGTAGAGGTCAATGCTGTATTGGTTATATCTGTCCTGAATAGGTGAATAGAGAGGTGCCACTGAATAAGCGATAAGTGCCTACAAAAATTTTGTCTTTGGGGAAACACAAATATTCAATGGATATATATTAACCAGGAAAGTAGTGCTTTCTCAACAGACTTGCCAGATACTACTGTATTGGAAAGCTGGGAGAGGTTATTATACAGTCATCAGACCATGTTTATTTCTTTAGAGATTTGGTATAGCATTTGTGAATATGTGTATGCCACTTGACAGTCAACGCATTAAACTCGAAAACTACTGAACAGATTTTCATACGAACTCCCCAATGGAAGGAGTGATCCAAGAGGACGATTTACATGTTTAATTCATCAATATTTTATATAAATTATCACAGGATCACAAAAAGGATAAGGTCTATCAAATACACTACAACATTTCCTATGCAAACTAAAAAGGCAGAGTTCATCTTGAACATCTGGAGTGCACAAAGAAACAACTAATCAAAATTTGAGACAAACTATAGATATATGCTGATTCAAATAACTGGTTTCTGAATTTTAGAGGATTCCATAAATTCAAACAAATGTTTTCGAAATATAACGATGTTATCTGTACAAAGTGGGACGGTGGTTCTATCCGTGCGAAGCCGAAGATATGTAATCGAAAACGCTTTGAGATTCAACAAAACAACTCAATACATATTGTTCTTCTTTTAGAGATTTACAGAAAAGTTCGCGATAGCACATGCTTATATTTTAAGGTTAGCCCTTCTTAATGTTTCAAAAAGTGATCAGAGAGCTATTTCGACAAATACGATATTTCATGCACATTATAATTGCTCTATACACCATGCAATTAAAATTATTATTCCAGTTATCGCAAAATCAAAAATATTACGCGACAAAATGAATTAATTCCGCCTCACACACTGGTGCGACACGCTTGATGAAGAAACGTTGCAATTGCGTTTGTTTGGTTTATGTAATCACTTCAAAGTTAAGGTTGCATTTTTGTTTTGTGTTGTCTTTTAAGTAGCTAGGTACATACCTGCCCCACTGTTGCATATTAAAAAGTGGTAACTTGTCCACACAAAATTCGACTTTTGAGGGGACAATACCTATTTAACGGAAAAACCCATTGAACCCTCTAACTCATCTTCTAAAAATAGACTGAGCTGGCTAAGTGGAATGATCAGATCGTAATGCCGGCAAAATTACGGCACAGTTGTCGGGCACTGTTCTTCCAAAGATTTTTTTTTAAAACAAAACACAAGCACTACAGGAACATCTTTCCTGTAGTCTTTCGAGTGTCAAGTCACCCGAACACTTTCCGTGAAAGTATCTATGGAAGAGAGACAAATGTCCAATCTATCTTCTATGTTCTACGCTGTTGAAATTACACGTTATGTTCGCGAATGGCGAATGGCTCTTTTCTGGATGGAATCTAGCAACTTCAGGATATGTTTGGGGGCAGAGCTCCATACATGAGAACAATACTCCAAAGAAGGTCTGATCTGAGCTTTATAAAGCATCAAAAGTTGCTGAGGTGTGAGTAGTGCTCTAAGCTTTTGAGAAGCAGCCCTTGAAATTCCAGCGACATGATTGTGCCAAGACATATTGGTGTCCATTTTAACCCCCAACAAACTTATCGAAGCAGAAAGCGGAAGTGTCTGGCCTGACATTATTATCACCAGTTCAGACATTTATCTTTTTGGAGAAAATCGATGCCTGGGTTTTGTGTCATTGAATTGAACCTAGTTACTTTCACACCAATTCGAAATTACTTCTAGATCTTCATTAAGATATGCTTCCTCCTGCTGCCGGTGATGATGTGCTTCCGTAGCCGATGTCCTGGAATCCAAATGGAATGACGAGACAAGTGTGCTGTCGTCAGCAAAGCAATATATTGTATTCTTGGATTTTTCCAATAAGTCGTTGATATATAATAAAAAGAGGGTTGGAGACAAAATGGATCTCTGGGAACACCAGCATTTTCGAGAGATATCCATCGACGGCCACTTGCAGGCAACGTTCTTTCAGTAAGCTGAAGAGCCATATACAAAAATGATCCGACAAGCCATAGCATCGAAGTTTGGCCAGCAAACCCTCATGCCACAAACGGTCAAAGGGTTTAGAAATATCAAGTGCTACACCTCTTGATTCTCCATGTTTCTCGATTGTGTTATTCCAAATTTGTGTGACATACGATAGAAGGTCGCCTGTTGATCTTTGTTTCCGAAAACCATATTGACGATCACTCATGATGTTGATGAAGCCTTCCAAATATTTGAGGATATGGTGGTTTACGACTTTCTTCATGATTTTTTGTATCATTGATATCAAAGAGACTGGCCTATAGTTATTTGGAAAATTGTTCTTACCTTTTTTGAGAAAAGGCTGAACGCGAGCAATCTTTCAACAAGAAGGAAAAACGCCTTTCTTATAAGACAGGTTGAAAAGTCTGCAAAATACTGGTGCGAGTTCATTTGCGCACTTTTCAAGTACGATGACGGGCACTTCATCAGGGCATACGCCTTGTTGGTATTGAGCTGTTTCAAAATTCGTATGACTAGACGCTGTCGAAAAGTTATTTCCGACATTGTGGATTCTGGTGTGGGAATAGTGGGTGTTGCCTTTCTCAGAAAATCGACTGTGGAGTGGGACGCAAATTGTTCAGCTAGTAAATTTGCTTTTTCTATGTCTGTTGTTGCAATTGAACCATCCGCTTGTGTTAGTGGTGGAATTGTGGATTTTTTGAAGTTTTGATTAGCAGCTTTAGCTACCGATCGGAAGAATCTAGACCCGTTGGGATTGGCAAGCAGTTTATCCCTAATTCTCTGATTGTGAAGTTTTTTGCTTTCATTTATCCTAAGTTTGCAGCTGTTGCGAGAATTAAAAACCTAGTTCGGTTTTTGGCACTGGGATTTTTGCGCCACGAGATTTTTGGAGGCGACAGTTTGCTAGCAATTTTTGTTGAACCAAGGTTGCCGTTAGAAGGTCGTTTCATTGAAAAAACAATATATTTATCCATGGACGATAGAATAACTTCCGTGACTTCAGAAGCACAAGTTGATGTATCTTCAGAGCTGAAAACATCTGGCTCGTGGAAATTTCGAAAATGGTTTTGAAGATTCTCCCATTCAGCTGGTCTGTAATTTCAAACTTTGCGCGGCTAAGATTGTTCCCAACATTTATCAGTAATTTACTCAACACTGAAATGAGTTTGTGGTCAGAAGATCCCAATGGAGGCCTTACGGTGACTGTAAAATTTCTGGATTGATTGTTAGGTATACACTCGTATCCAGAAGACTAGCATATTCTCCATCACGGTCAGAAATCCTGTTTGGCTATTACTGGAGTTTTTCCCAACACTAAACCGTTATTTTAACACCTCGACACAAGTTTCGATCACCAAGTGATCATCTTCAAGAGTTTGATCTTTCTCTTGGAAGTTGGGAAAAAACACCAGTAACATTCATTACCACACCAAAGGTTCCAAACAGTGCATCACAAGTATTCTAGTTGGATCATTTATAATCTGAGCAAGTCCACTGCTTATTGCAGTGCCATCGCTGCCTAAGCCGTTGCGATGGTATCTCACCGGGCGATGCCGGGTGGGACCAGCATGTACCATCTAGGAAAAACCCTTTATAGGGTTATTAGTCAATCTGAAGTTCTAATTTTCAATTCTGATCAATTACAAGACATATATAGGTAAATTTATACCTAAAGTTTTTAGTGTGAGATTTAAGTTTGCGGTGCCCTGGTTTCCCATGTTGAGAAACAAGAAATGGGGCTGAGTTATAACCGAATGAATCGGTAAGTATATTAACAAAGTTTCCAAAACAAGGTAAATATCTCCAACAATGCTAAATCTTGGATCTCGAATATGCTTTATGTGTCTGGAAATCTTTTCACCAAGAACTGGTGTTTGAAATCTGTCAATGCTACTGATGATCAAGTTTCGAGACTGGAGAAGATAATTGGTTCGATTCGGAATATTTTCATATAAATACTTATGAAAAACAAATTTTGTATTATGAAATGCCACAATGAAGCCACCTTTACTACCATCATCAAATAATTGGATAGAGTTGTACTGGAAT